CACTGCAGGGTATTTACATTTATTCAAGTGTTGTGCAAATCATGGCTTCTAAAAAAACAGAAAGGTGATTTCAATTGAAACAAAGCAAAGAAATCATCAGAAGGAATGAAAGTTGACAGAAACTTCCTTGTCNAAAAGTTACCGTGCCTTGAGAAATTTGTAACGAAGTTATGCATACGCTATTGCATATGATACCTGTAGCTTGTATGCGATACCATTTGGTCAACCAGTACCAAACAGATGGCTTACTGGTCTCCTATGCAATACTGACATAACTTCAATGTTGCTGCGAATTTCTCACTGCAAGGTAACTTCTCGGACACCTGTATTAACGACTCTATTTGAGTGTTTCGGCACAATGTTTTAGATTCCCAAATAGCAATAACGTTATTCAATTAATTCGAAAATTTTCAGTCTAGTTTATAAGCGGTTGTTCCATTTTTACTTATCAGATAGTTAAATACTGTTTTAGTTTCCATTAAAAATATATATATATAATGTATTTTTCAGATTTTAATAATGATAGAAGCACAGTGGTTAACATAGTTTTATGTTGGAGCATCATAAAATTTTAATGAAAATATTAGGTATAGACACGTACGATTTAAAAAATAGGCAAAATGGTTCGGTTCCACTCGTAACAGTTGTATTATTCCATTATTTTGGTCGAGTTTGTTAAGAAGTTTTTTTAATACTGTATCGTTTGTTTCTTTTTCGTGTAATTTGTAAAATGTCTGACTGTAAAGCACACTCTAATCAAATAAATATTTTCTAGCCCGGTCGAACTATCCTGTGGTTACTAGCAGACTAGCATAATACAAATTTGCTCAGAAATGTACAGAGATGAGAATAATTTTGCCTTTGTTACTTAGGGTATAGTCGGTTTAGAACGGATAAGGTGACAGAATAACTTTTAGAACATGCTTTAAATTTAAAGAATAGAAAGCAATAAAATACATAATTTTAAATTTGCAACCGATAAATTTTTTAATGAAGACCGTGTATATATTTTTATTAACACGTACGAATGACTCGATAAACTTTTATGAATCGAACGATCGAATCAATTTTTATCAGATTTTGTTAATTTACCTTAATGTAGCCTGATAAGAGACTTGTAAATATGTTTAACAAACTTTTGTAATTTTCTTAATTTTTTGTGTTTGTTTTCGACAGACAACAGTGTAAAAAGATATATACTGTGTGCATGGTGAAGTCCTTATACACTGACGCGTGTAAGCAATGCACAACGTACGTTACGTCGTAATGAATGCAGCACAAAGACATTGAAAAACAAAAAATGCCCTTATTCTGAACATGAGAAATGAATGAGAGCAGAAGAATGAATGCTTGAGAGAGACATCCGTGCTTGATGTACATGTTAGCATTTTGTGCTATCTATTCATTCTATTCATATGGGACGTCCTTCTGTTCTAAATCAGTTGCAATCTTCTTTGTTAATGGCTTTTCTCCAATATTATGCATTGTTTTCGATATGGGTGCACTAACTTCTGAATTTTATTGCTAGGGATGCGAGTGGTCTTATCTCACGGCATGTAACGACCTTACTTTAACTGTAAGTCACGTTTGTAACTGTATCTAGCTATCTGCATTTGTCAGTTATGTAGTGTATAAGGACTTAGCTATCACAAATACATACAGGGTGCATAGTAATGTTCAATTTTTTTTTTTAACTTTCTCAAGGATATAAGTTATATAAGGTAATGAGATATTTAACATTAATTATTCAATGATTAAAGTAATTTTATATTTAACTGTTTGAAAATGATAAAGTTAAGTTTTATAAATTACGATTGCAAGAAATTTGTAAGGGGAAATACGAGGGTCATCGGACTAGTGACGTCTCCAATTATATAAAATTAGTTTGAGAAGAGTTGGGATAATGTGACCAGTTTTGAAAAATAGTAAAAGTATTTTACTTTAATTACACATGTTCGTCTTTCAATATAATCACTATCTCTATACAAATGGATTTCTTCTCATTTTTTAAGTATGTAATAGTTGTGACGCGCACATACATTAATTAACCTATTTAGGATGACGAAAGTAATGTTTTCTCCGTAAATATGAATATTTTAGAATTATATCTGTCTAGAGGCATTCCGAAGGGTAGAATAGATAGGAAACTTGTGGGATTTTCCTCAAAATTTAAACAAATCAAACTTGTAATGAAATAAAGAGTATATTTTTTTCCACAAAATGCAATGCCACTACCTATAATCAAAGAGGTAAACATAATAAAGGAGTCATTTGGGATGGTAGAGTTTATTATTACTCAATCTTCGAGATTAAAAACTAATGTACGGGTGACAAAAACTGGCAGTGCTCGGCGGAAGTTTTCTCGAATGCTCTGCACAAAATCATCACTTAACCACAAAATTATCGAATGAAATTGCATCTTACAAATTTGTAGAATTTTTGATAATAATTTAATAAGTAATTGATACGATACTATTGAAATATGTCTATCTGTAGTTTTGCAGTTTGTGTCAAAAAATTATTTACAGTGGTGAGAAGAAGGTAAATAAGGTTAGTCCATTGGCATTTTGGATGTTACCGACGAATGCAGTCTAGTAGAAGGAAAGTCCTTTTGCGAGGCTGCTGGCACTCTTATTATTTATTATGAACATAAATAAAATATAAGAGAGGCGGATTATTACTGAATATTTATTAAAGCCAATTTAGGATTTTAGCCCTGATAGAAGAATAGATTTTTGTCATCCTAAGTAAGTCTAATTGTTGTATGTGCGGTGCATCATTTAGGAATCACCAATTCGTGTCGTGTTCACCGATAATATTTTGAATTGAGCGTTTCGTAATCTAGATTTCTGGCCAGTGACTATAGTTTAAGAGTTATTTTACTTTTTGTATTTGCCGACCTGATCTAACATTGGAGTGGGAAATTCTTGTATTGAAGTGAAGAGCCAAGTTATGAGCTCTTGAATTTGTCGTGATGTGTCTGCACAGATTGTCATGCTTAAACTAAGTACGTGATTTCACAGTTTAATGGACAATGAATTCCAGTAGTAAATGGCACTATAATAATTACAAGACAAGTATTATTAGAATTAGTTGCAAAAAAAAAAATGTATTAGAAAATAAAAACACAAATGGGATAATAAATACAGAGAGAAATATAAATAATGAATTTAATGGTTACTTGGAAATTTTAACACCACAAAACAGTAAGCAATTGTTATTTCGTTACAAAAACTTAAAAACTGAAGCAAAGAAAGATCAAGCTTGGTCAAGCAGATCTGATAGCATGCTCAACAAAAGCGAATCAAATATTAATTTTGTTTAAAATAAATTTTATAAATTTTTGGAATCAAGTAGTAGTTGCGCATGTCCACGCACATGCGCAATAAATGGATTGAACTGAACATAACACTTAGGTAATGGAAGTGAAGTCATTGCGCATGCGCGTGGACATCTGACAGATGGACAAAAGTCTTAAACATAAGCACTTCACCGCTATAGTGGAGTGTGCTGAAAAAGGTAGAAAGTTATAAAACTGGAATTATATCGACAAAATTGTTTGATAAACAATTGCTTATTCTTGGTGCTGTCATTGGCGAGTTACTTCTCAAATTACGGATTAACACAGGCACTATTTGCATATTTTGTAAAACGACACGGATGTATTCGAGTTTTATGACGATTTTAAATTTCATGTAGGTCGTCGCAAATAAGCATCTATATCATACATGACTTTTGTATTCGAGTTAAATCCAGAAATAATGCATAATGAATACTGAATTTAATCAAACTTGGGATTTGAATCTTAATCTAGCTTTAACTTGTGGTAGCCATTAGAGTGACACACATTTTCAAATGTTTGATCCCTTTCGCCTTTTCATGCAAAATAAACCAATTAGTTTCTCTTTCACCCACTCTCGTATGGCAGCTCAAACTTTGTCGAGATCAACAAAAAGTTTCGGCATTTCATTACATTCCGTAATTTTTGAAATAACGGGGTAGAGTCTGAAAATCTCGATCCAAATGGTGGGCACTGTGGACAAGGAATAAGATATACAGTAAGGAAATGACAAATATGCTAAAAAACCCAGGACTACTGGTTATTCGAAATCCTATTTACAGCTCGGATCTGGCTAAAAGTAGACTTCTACTTGTTCAAAACTTATAGATGTTAAAAGGTTGACACTTTTTATCAGACTTCAAACTTCAAGCTGCCATACTGGGGTGTGGGTGTGTGTTTTTGACAGGGCTGTGGAGTCGCGTAAAAATCTACCGACTCCAACTCCGACTTTTCCTTACAATCCGACTCCGACTCCGGCTAAAACACCAAAACTCCACGACTCCGACTCCACAGCCCTGCCAGGGCTGTAGAGTCGCATAAAAATCTACCGACTCTGACTCCGGCTAAAACACCAAAACTCCACGACTCCGACTCCACAGCCCTGGTTTTTGAGTATTCGGATCATGGAAAAATCTGAAAGCTTTCTGTGCAAAGAGTGCAAATATGGATCAAATGTTTGAAAATCATTTTGCTTTAAATGGCAATTATATTGAAAAATGAATATGTATGATTAAAATAAATGGTCTTTACTATTCATTACAAGGTGATCATATTGTTCTCTCTTTTCTAAAACTATTTTTATACAAGTAAGAGTCATTGTCATTTGTTTACTTAGTACCGGGCAACATTTTAAAATAATTAAAAATAGATTGATTTGGTTGCAATCAGACAAACTTTTGATAATAAGAGTATTTATTGACAGATTAACGAAGAAATATTTCGATTTTAATCTGGAAAATGAAATAGATTTTGCTAGCAAATAATGAAATTTAATTCATTTCATCTAAAGTTTGTGAAATTTGTTACACTTGAAGTAAGATGAAGTAAGATGAAAGTCAAATATAATGAATATAAAAATTAGAAGATTATGATTTGTAGTTTTTAATTTTTGCTTTAATTTTCACACAAAATATATCTATGTTTGTAAATATTATTTGTGTTTCACTTAATACGACAGTACCAAATTATTTGTTCTGACAAAACAAGTTCAGTACAGTGAAAATTAAATGTTTTTCTAAGTTTTATTTGGTTTTAGAACTGCGTTCCTTAATGATAACATATAGATTAGTGAAATAAGTTAAAATATTTGGGACAATATCTATTCAGATATAAATTTATGTTCTTATTCAGAGAAATTTCTGTTTTCTTAACAAGCATATTGCTTCGATCACCTTTGCAGAATTATATCGGCAAGCCTTTCCCAGCACTGAGTCTCTGGACCACGTGGTCGCTATGAAAGCTGGGGCGTCGCCTTCTTTTCCGCCTTCCCGACACGAAAGGGAGCCGCATGCCGGCATAGATCTCACGTTTCCCCCTCCGGCTCTAGTTCCTCTCTCTAGGAACTCTTCTTCTTCTTCCTACCAAAGTCAGCTGCACTATTCGCCTCGCCTTCCTCCCCACCATCTCCGATGGCCTTCCGGAGTGGCGCACTCCTCTCTGTATGCCACGGGACGGAGGAGACCCGGCGTCCCCGAGAAATCTCTCCCCTTTTCACACTACGAACTGAAAAAGTCTAGTAGTCTGACATCTGGCGGAATGCGGATGCCCTCCACGCCCTCTGCTCCCAGTCTCAGCCACCCCAGTCCGGCTCCCGGCTCGAGGGGAACCGACGACCTGGAGGCGTCCGACAGTATTACGGACGACGACGACACACTCTCTTCGGGCCTCAGTGGTGAATAAAATTCTTTTACTCTTGCAATTTGTTTGGCATCTTGTGATGTATTTTTATTATTTTTTTCCTTTTGCCTTTCTTTCTTTAAACTCTTGAATTTATTTTTTACATTTTTCTTGTGATCGATATTGTTTTTTGAGCTCATTCCATGTCTGATGCGATAGACCATTTCAATATAAAATTAAATCCCTCGTGGAATTCATTTTTATTCTGTTGTACAATCTCTTCCCTTTATAATAACTATTTTGTATTAATATTTTTACGTGAATGATTAATAATTTTTTATTTAAAACAGAAGCAAATAAGGATTTGATATGGAATGTCTCAATTAAATGAATATCGTAAACCTTAAAGAATTGTGCAGGATTCCAAATTTAAATAATCTTATCTAAGAAACTGCCAGAATACATTAAAGTTAACTAGGGATACACATTCTAAATAATGAATTTTGTACAACGCACCTGTTTTCTTATGAATTAATTATCCCTTTAAACATTATAATAATTTAGATACTTTGAAAATAAGTTGTTTGGTTAGCCAACTTAAAATGAAAGTTATGAAAGAAAGTTGGAAAGAGTTGCCAGTGTAATAAATGTATAAGTGTGCGCGGTCATATAGGCATTTGGCCAACACGCTGTTTCATATGTAATGCTTTTATACTCTTAAGTTGCTTTTGCCAGATTTGGACTTCTGTACGTTTTTGGCCGATGCGCATATGGCAATTAGACCAAAGATGAAATTGGTTTTAATTAAATGTTTTTTAATAACTCATGCTCCTAACTTCACCTGCATTTCACACATATTTGTAATAATAACAGTACTACGAGTCCCACAAGATAGCATTCCTTCTTCTATGGTACACCTCCATCGATTATGTCCAAAATGTCGACGGAGTAACCATGTCTCTTTTTCTATTTGTTACTATTGTGAACAATATTTTGGCGCAGAGATGCAAATCTATGGGTATGCACATTCTAATTATATTATTATAACAATTAATTATTAAATTATTGTCAAAACATGTATGCATTTGTAAGGAGAAGTCTCAGTCTTGAAAGTTAAATAATAATAAATTAAGTACAGTAGACCACCCTATAACATGGGTTCATATAATGCGGATTCGTATATCGTGGTGAAAAAATTGCGATTGTATTCGTATAAAGACGCTAAAAGAAACTCTTAAAATGCGGTAAAACGTCATCGCCAACTCGTGTTGCGACAGGATTGGTCGAATCTAGACCAATAGCGGATATTGCACAAACCATTGGGTTTAAATGAGCAGCGGACCTACTAAAAACCATTTATTATTTAACGTCCATAAAAATTATATTTATATTAATGATGTCTCCAAAGTTCAGCAAATTTTTCGCAGAAAAATAATTTATCAGGAAACGAGTGCCCCTGTTCGATGTGCCGCTCCGCGACGAAAACAAGCTTAAGCAATGGCATCGTCGAACGGTGCACATTTGGTAAGTAATCCTACAATTTTTTGTTTATAGCATAGTTTTTATGGATTATTCCTAACAAATTATACTTGTGTTGGAAATGTTGAGTCAAATTAGTCTAGAATCAATTAATTTTATGGAAGAAAACCTTTCGAACAGCTGTAGTCCATAAAGTGCAGACGTGCCGGGCTGTGATTGGCTCATGTATTTAAGGACTCGTAGAACGTGAATTTCATAAAAAGTGGAATGTGTCTACCGTGTTATCGGGGGGTCGATTGTATCTCAAATGACCCGTCTTTTGTAGACTTCTTTGTTTATGGGTAGTCGTGATGTGTGCATGCCACCTTCCGTGAGAAAAATGCATTCTTTATTTTGTGAAAGTTTTGTGTGTTTAAATTAACACCTTTTGAGCGGTCAAAAAATGACCCTCCGAAATTTTTAATTTTTGGACTCGGGACACCTTGAAATGTCGAGATACGCAAAAGATTCGATTTTCTCTGTATGTATGGATGTTAGACTATGTATGGGGGCATGATTTTATTCACCCTGTTTGAAGCCTAATAATTTTTGTGGTTTTTAAATTGGAGTTGGATGTTTTAACACAGAGTTATTAAGCTTTAAAGTGGTTGAACTAAATCGTGCCTCTATATGCATCCTAACTTTGCAGGCGAGAACATCTTAATGGGTTCTTCTGTATTATCATAAAATGACAAAAAGCTTAATTTTGAGGGAAGAAATGAGTTTTATAAAAAAAAATTTGTGAAAGATAATAAGGAGTAAAATATTTATTAAGTCCAACCACATTGGAGATACAACATGACTCCTTCTATGTCTCCATCCTGTTAATGCTATTAAATATTGGTTCTTTATTAAGAACCAAAATTTAATAGCATTAATGCCCCTTTATACACAAGTTACTGCACCAAATTTTGTTTCTTAAACTTTACCCATTCAGAGATAGTATTTAATATCTCAGAACAGAGAATAAAGAAAGTAAACAAATTATACGTCAGCACACGTGTACACATACATGAAGTTTCCCCTTTTATTTGACAATTTTTGGGTTCAGGTGGTTTCCAAACATGTGGATTGGATTTGAAAAAAATTCAAAGGGTCAAATTTGACATGATTCCGATACTTTTCCGTTTTATATACATAACAAGTTGAAAAGTAAAAGGGAATTGGAGTCAGAGGATTTTTGATGACTCCAACTTTGACTAAAATGCCACGACTTCGACTCCAATTCCACAGCCCTGGTTTTTAGGATTGCCCCATTCAAAAGTTGGGGACTGCCTTTACTACACTCACTGCCAAAAGTTAAGCACGGAGCAGTAAACTGCGAAAAAATTGACAAATAAAACTGTGATTGACACAAAATGAGGCCGGAAAGTAGCAAATATGTTTATGCATGAAACAACACAAAGAATTACATAGAAAGATGAAAACAATATTGAATTCTCATAAAGTATAAGATGAAATCATATTGGAATCATTAACAAAACAATGTTTAAATTCAAAACAAACAAACAAAACCGACATTAATAGGGTAAATGGTCACACCTCATCCTTACACAAAGTTTACAGCATGTAACCATGCTTTCCATGAGGTGATCAACCACTCCAGAGTGAAATAAGTGCCATTTCTCCTGTATAGCAGTTTGCAACTCTGAGAGTGGCAGGGGGTGGAAAACGTGCACACACAGCACCGCCAAGGGCATCCCAAAGATTCTCAATGGGATTGAGGTCTGGCGAGTATGCTGGCCAATCCATATGCGTGATTCCCTCAGTCAAGGTAGTCGTCGACGAGGGCAGCTCTAAGGGGTCGTGCGTTATCATTCATTAAAACGAAAGCAGGACCAACTGCTGCAGCGTACAATTTCACAATGGGTTTGAGGACTTCATTCCGATACTGGACAGCTATCACAGAACCCCCTCGATAAATGTGCAGGTCGGTGTGATATCCCAACGAAATGCCTGCTCACACCATAATGCTTTCACCTCAGAATGCGTGATACTCGATGATGTTCTGGGGATGATTGTGTGCGCCTTTTTTTCTCCATACTCCTACATGCTTGTCATCTGGCTCCAGGGAAAATCGCAACTCATCCGTGAACGTAATGTTGCCCCAATCAGACACAGTCCAATTCACATGTTGCCAACACCACTTTAATCGTGTGCCTCTGGATTGGACGGATAGTGGAACACAAACTCGTGGTACTCGGGCATACAGTCCGTTCATGTATAGACTTCGGCGCACAGTAGTAGCAGATATCGTTTTACCAATGACTGCTGCAACCATCGACGTCACATGTGTAGAGTTGCTTTTCAATTCTGCTTGGCTACAACAGCAATATAGCAATCTTCCTCAAGGGTCATAACCCTTGGGGAACCGGCCATAGGTCTTTGGACAACTGTTTGGCTTGTTTGGAATTGTTTCCATAACTGTGAAATGACGAAATGATGAACACCAAAGAAAAGGAGCAACATTTGTGATTGATTGGCCTGCTTCAAGGCGTCCCACACACTGCCAGCGCTCACTGTCTGTCATTCGTCTTCTGGAAGCCATAGAAACATGTCAATCACGCACAGTAATTATACGACAGTTCTCCACACTTTTTCTCGGCACTTACATGCAACTCCTCTCACACTTCAGAAGGCTGGCTTCTTATACGACTGCCTGTTTTGCATATTTCAGGACACATAACCATGATTGATAGTAACGTAACATATTTGCATACTTCCACCTACCTCTGCAGTGAATTGCAGCCTCTCAAATGCTGATTGCTTTCCAGACATGAACATTTTCTGCTCTGTGCTTAACTTTTGGCAGTGAGTGTACTAGTATTTTATATAAACAAGTTGCTTATATTTTTACTTTTAATGTGATATTTGAATTCATTTTTATGTTTTTGTCTGTTATACACTGGTGTTCAAAATTAAGAGAATTTACACATGTTGTTGAATTTCTGAAAAACTAATGGACACACTTTAATGAAGTTTTGCATGGATATGCAGTTATATAAGAGAAAATATATACAGTGGTGCCTTGTATAACGTACGCCTCGAATAACGGACTTTCTATTTGGCCGTTACGTGACTCGAGCAACGGACTGGCTGCGAACAACAGGACTTTTTGTTCGGCAGTTACGTTAGGTGAACAATGGACTTTCTGCGAACAAGTGCGAATGATGTTTCCACTCTTTTGCCGTTGCCAATGACAATCTGCTATTTTTATAATATATTAATATTATTAGAATATATTATTAGTGTATCTGAAGTACAGAGCTCCCGTTGGGATTCGGCTTGCTATCTTGTTTATTACGTACATCACCTCAGTGCAGGGTATTTACATTTATTCAAGTGTTGTGCAAATCATGGCTTCTAAAAAAACAGAAAGGTGATTTCAATTGAAACAAAGCAAAGAAATCATCAGAAGGAATGAAAGTTGACAGAAACTTCCTTGTCAAATGGGGAGAGGTTCAGGAGTTTACCAACACTCATTATCCAAACACAGTTGAGGCCAAAGGATCAATGATCTCTACAATGACACCCTTGCCCGTCATTTCCGACAGGTGTTGAAGAAGAGAGAGAAACAGACCGCTTTGGACATGTTTTTCAAAAAGCCAGCTGTCAAAAGACAAAAGATGGAACAAGAGGAGTTGACCCTGGAAGCCCCAGTAGCCTCTCCTGAATCTGACTCTGATTAAAAAACAATAAAAAGAGACCTGCTGCAATGTGTAAAAAGTCTGTATCTGTATGAATGTGTGAATAAAGTGATCCTCCACCACCTCCTCACAACATCTGACTACCTGGCATAATTGGTGACTGCTCCATTTTCATTTTTTTTTTTTATGGTACAGTACAGTTATTTTGTGCTGCGGAACGAATTATATGTTTTAATATGTATTTCTATGGGAAAATGCGTTTCTTATAACGGACTTTTCACATAACGGACGTGCACCTGGAACGGATTAAGTACGTTATACGAGGCACCACTGTACTATACAACAGTCATGGTATGCACTTGTGATTGTCAGTAAGGCTCATCAATGCAAGAATGTCCAAAACCTACATTGCAAGATCAAACATAAAATGACTCTAATATGGGGTATGGTCATCTCTCGCAGTCATACAGCTCTCACATTGCAATGTCATACTGGAAACAAGGCAGCTGATGAGTCCCTGTGGCAGACAGTCCCACTCCTGCAGCAGTGCATTTTTCAGCCCTTGGGTGATTCTCAGAGGGGGTTGCAAGCTGCAATTGCCCTCCCAAGAGTATCTCACACGTGTTCAATAGGACAACCTCTCGCACAACTCCTGGGAAGATAAATCAACACAAAAAAAACCTTTTTAATATCCCAGTATGAACAAATTTAAACAAAACAAACGTTTTCGACCATAAAGTTGGTCTTCATCAGTATAAATTCGAAACCAGAAATTCGAACACAGTGATAATAAATTATTTTTAAATTCCAAAATATTTAAATCTTGGAAAACATTTTTTACCGTACATGTTAATAAAGTGACAAAAATATCTTTACATCCACACACACAAATAATAAGATGCAAATACTGGTGTAGAAACGTTATCTACTAGCTAGTGTTATACCCGTTACTTTTTTTCATAGCACCACCTATCATATTTCTATTCCTACCTAACATCCTACTTTATAAAAGGTATGTGGATGACATTGTCATTCTTTGGAAGGCTGAGCCCAACATAAATGATTTTATAAATTCCATGAACAATAACCCATATGGCCTTACTGTCAAAATGGAGCAGAAGAGTGACACAAATGCGCATTTCCTGGATGTCAACATTCGCCTTGACGCATGCAGAGTGCAAACCAGCGTATATTACAAACCTAGCTACGTACCAATGTTTATTCTGTCGAACTCTGCGGACCCTTTTTCTTACAAGATCTCTGCGTTCTGAGCCCTAACTAGAAGGGCTTACGCCCACCATACTAGATGGGATGATACTGTGGCTGAATTAAGGCGCATTGAAAACATAGCAGTAAAGCACGGGTACAGTAGAAGCATGATACGTAATTTATCGAGCAAATACACCAACTTGCTAAAGGCTGACCACACTCATACCTCACAGGTAAAGCCTTATAACACACATAATCATAACAGCAACCAATCACGCACTGTGATTGCAATACAACCAGCACCTAAGATGCATTTATAAGGAAATTGCTACGCATAAGGACACAAAGATCACATATAAGAAATCTGACACAGTATATGGGCTGTTACGCAATGACAAGACAGATGAAAGCCGGGCATCAGGCGTCTATATGGTTCCTCTCAGAGATCACAGATTCCAGCGAGATCTAGTTTACATCAGATCCACGAAGCGCTCTTTAAACAAAAGGTTACAAGAACATGGTATGATATCGCCAACCAGAGACATACCACTGTCCTATCGGCCTATGCTACTGATCCTGAAATACAAGCCGACCTCCATAAGGCCAAATTGATAAAAATGTCTGATCAAGTTCAACACCTTTGCAACCTGGAAGCGTTAGAAATATACAAAGCAGGCCTGTCTGGCAACTGCATTAATGCAAAGGATGCCGCTAGTATTTCATATTCATGGAGGTGGTGCTATGAAAAAAAGTAATGGGAATAACACTAGCTAGTAGATAATGTTTCTACACCAGTATTTTCATCTTATTATTTGTGTGTGTGGATGTAAAGATATTTTTGTCACTTTATTAACATGTACGGTAAAAAACGTTTTCCAAGATTTAAATATTTTGGAATTTAAAAATAATTTATAAACACTGTGTTTGAATTTCTGGTTTCAAATTTATACTGGCCATTAGCCTGATGAAGACCAAGTTTATGGTCGAAAACGTTCGTTTTGTTTAAATTTGTTTATACTGGGATATTAAAAAGGTTTTTTTTTGTGTGTGTTGATGTTCAATAGGGTTTAGATCTGCTGATTTGGCTGGCCAATCCATTTGGCAAATATCCTCACTTTCAAGATAATCGTTGACCAAGTGTTGTCATCCATAAAAATGAACTGAGGGCCAATTGCACCCCTGAAAAATCAAACATCTGGCGGTAAGATCTCATCCCTATACCTCTCAGCAGTCAGGGACCCTCTGTTAAACAGGTGGAGAGATGTATGGCTGTCTAACATGATCCCTGCCCAGACTGTGACACCTCCACTAACATAGCTGTCCCTTTCTCAGATGTTGGAAGAAAGATATCGGGTGCCAGGTTCTTTCCAGATGAAGGTGTGTCAAGAATTCATGTCCATATGGAATCACGACTGGTCTGTGAAGAGAACTGGTCCAAGGTTAATGTCTGCACCATGCTAAATGCACTCTCTTGTGTGATGAAGTGAACAAGATGCAAATAGCAGGTCTTCTGACTAAAAGCCCTCTGTCATGAAGCCTCAGGAAAATGGTAATCCTTGAAACTCAGGTTCCAGTGGTGGCATGCAGCTCACAAGATAGCTGTAAAGGTGTAGCAGTCCTGTGGTGCCTCGCTGAAAGTGCCAAATAATGATCTTCATTGGCTGTCATGACTTTTGGATGACCTTACCCAGGCTCTCTTGATATGGATCCGGTTTCTTTAAACTGTTTTCACAAATTGCAGATGACAATGGATATTACAGTGATCTCTGTAGCAACCTGCACTTGTGATTGCCCCGCTCCAATACCCACAATTCTCCACCTCATTTCGTCATCAAGAAGTGTGGCTACTCATGTTACCTGATTGCTTGTGAAATTGAACCAACTCTTGCAAGAAAAACAATGAATGTCACCAAGGAGTATGAGGAACTAATATGCGGACAGAGTCACATGTGCTTTTCATGCCTTCTGCTGTGTAAACTTTGCCCCAGTGCATTCTTATTCAGTGGCATAATTTGTACTTTCAGTTCATTATTTTTTTGTTAAAAATCAACAAAATGTGCGTATTCTCTTAATTTTGAATAACAGTGTATATAAAAGGGATTGATCAGTAAAAAAATGACCACAAAGATTTTTACATTTTTGGGCTCAAGACACCTTCAATTGTTAAAATGTGCCAAAAAATTTGGGGGTTTTTATGTATGGATGTGTGTGGAGGGAACAAATTTTGTTCACCCTCTTTGAAGCTTAATATCTGTGTACTTTTTGTCGAAAATTTCTGAAGTTTTGCAGGGAGGTTTCTTTATTAGGGGGATTCGTGCTATTAAATTTTGGTGATTAAAGATTGAGGGGGTGGGGAGATAAAGGATGTTGTGTATATCTTTAATAGGGTCAGACTTAATGACAATTTTACTCATTATTAGCATTTACAATTCTTCATAAAACCCATTCCTACTCTGAAAATTAAGCTTTTTGCCATTTTATAATAGTTAAAAATATATAAAAAAAAATTTTGCCAGGAAAGTGGAGCAACTCATTGCTGGAGTTTTTTCTAGTATGGATACCAAATTTTTAAACAAGTGTACTGTACTTTTAGTTCATTCTAAAACAGAAAATGGACATTTTGTCTTTGCCTTTAGTATTATAGAATATAAGTTGTTAGTTGAGGCTTTCTATTGGCAATTCAAAACAGTTTCCTTATAGTCTGACTAATTGTGAAAGAATGGTAGTAACTGAAGCTTTTAGTGTTTTTGCTTAAAGATACTTTTTCTTATTCATACACTCCTCAAAAATGAAATTGCAATACCATGAAAGAATGCATGAAACCACATGCAAATTACAGACTGGTAGAGGTGACAGAGATATACAATTGTTAAGTTTGTGTACACATCAGATCATCTGGTACCCAGTTTCGGGCTATAAAGACCAGCAGCCAGCTTTGGCCATTAATGCTGTCAGTGATGGTTTGTAGCAGCTGAACTTTCGAAGAAGCATAGAAAATGCTTTGAAGACAACAGTAAGCTGAATACCAGTTAATGGCTGGGGAATGAGATTGTATCCTTCAGCTGCACGACCTTGGTTTGTCAATATGAACAGTTGCCATAATTGTATAACAGTTGCCATGATTGTACTCATATAACAGTTGCCATGATTGTACTCATACTGTGCCCAACAGTATGAGTACAGTCCAGCAATGTGTGACAATGGACGTAGGAGCATCTGTGAACATGCCAAAGAGGAAGTGGACTACACTGGCGCACAACAAAGCACAGACTGACAGATTTGCCAAACAACCTGTTGGGACCCTTTTGCCAGCCACATTTGAAGCCATCTATTGTCCTCAATGGGTGCATCTGTATCCACCCAAATTATTTACAATAGGTTGCATGAAGTCAGGCTGCACATATGACATCCAACAACAGGGGTTACATTGACTACTTGATGCATGGCTGCACCCTTGGTATGGTGGTGTTGTTGTTGCAGCTGGACCACTGAATAGCATTGGGTATTGTTTACAGATGAATCATGCTTATGTCTGTGGTGGAATGAAGGATGTGACGGTATCCCGGGGAATGAGGGATGTGACGGTATCCTGTCCTTTTCTCCAAGCATCCTATATCGGGCCTTGTGGTTTGGGAGGTATTACGTTCAATCAGCAGACAGCCCCGGTGCATATTTCCAGTACTCTGACAATGGACCGGTACATCACACAAATTGTGGAGAATTGGTTCAGCCACTGGTGCAGGCCACACATCACACAGTATTATAACAAGACAACGCCTGACTGCGTGCTGCAAGATGAACTCTCATCAGCTTCAACAGAATTTGCATCCTTCTCTGGCCAGTAGCTTCTCTGGATCTCTCTCTCATTGAACACTGTGGGACCTTGTCTGTCGTGAGTTGCACCAAGGACACCGCATATTGTAGCTGACACAGGTGTTGCAGTGGACGCTACAAGGCAAGGGATATATTAGGGAATCATTAATTGTCTCATTGATAATATGCCATGCTATATAGTGACTTATACAGCTGCTTGTGATGGTCATATTTATTACTGAATAAACAGGTGCGGTTGCACATCTTTGTTTGTTGTTTTAATTATTTGCATATCTTTGTCATTTCTATCGGTTTTACAATATGCATGTGGCTATGTGCATTTCTGCATGGTGTTCGATTTCACTTTTGAGGAGCATATTTTATCCTTGAGCGCAGCAGGCTTAACTGCAGAAGTTTAGACATTGGATCTAAAATCCTGGCATTTGATGTCTTTAAACACCAATAAATTGTTAGAATTGTTTGCTGTTTTGTATCTCAATGTTCCTTCGTGCAATTTTTTATTTCAGCATATGTACCAAAATATATTTCGGAGTTGATCGTCAAAAGCACGTCGTTTTGATGTATCAACATTAATTAATATAAGCTAATATTGTGAGAATAATAATAATAATAATGCATTGATGCCATTTCACATTGTAACATGATAATGTATCATTTGTGCATCTATTAGTAAAGAATTTTACTGGTTTAACTTTTGACTCCTTTGTAAAATAATACCAATAATAATAATAATAATAATAAACAATTAAGCATTGTTCGATTTATGTCAATTGTCCGATTATTCATTTTGTTTCTTTTGAGCAGTTAATTTTGCAACTATAAATGATTTGCTTCTTGAATCTTCTTATTAATAATGATTTTTGCTCATAAATTTTACATTTTGTTTTGTAATCGTTAAAAGAATAACACATATTTATCAAGCTAAATATAACTTAAGGATGTCGCAGAATAAATTTTTGTGCAACATTCAATGCTTCAGTTTTTCTTCTATCATTTCTTGCAGAACCTTGGAATCTGTACTTTAATTATATGTGATCGGTATATTATTTTACCATGATATACCATGATATATTGGTCATTTAAATGATTCACATACTTGATATGCCAGTGCAATATAGTAGATATTTGGTCATTAATTGTAACAGGCTAAAGCCGAAAGAAGCCATTTTCTTACACTCAGCACATCTTAGTTTTATCCAATCAAATGCAACAAGTAGAGAGAGAATTTCTGATCAAGGAAGGCCGTAGGCCAGATTTTGTATGCTTATTGCACTTTGGTCGAGGTCTGTCTTTCCATACTACGGTCTCAACCTGTTGCTATTTGAATTGACATCTCAAAACAAGTTCTTAAATTGTTGATGTTTCATGTTGGATGACACTGCCCATAGAGTTGTCAAAGATCATCCAGCATCTATTTTCCTTTCATGCAGATTGTCTCATCACTTCACAAGTTTCTAGATACACAAAACTAAAGACAAGAGATAATTATATATAACAATTACTGGATATTATTGCAAATATACCCTGTTCAAAAGTAATCCCTCGGGTTTATTTTTGGTACCGTATTCGGGAGAACTTTTGGCGCTAAAACTTTGAGATGGCAATTTTCTCCTAAGAGACAAGGTGCAAACATTTCTCTGAATCATAGATTGTTAACAATAGGCAGTTTATCTCATTATTGAATAGTACACTGTGCAATCTTTAAAGAGGGTATAGTGATATAATTGTGTGTAAATATTTTTCTGATGTTGTTGTTATAGTGTAAACTAATTTAATTTTATTGTAAGTACGTTTGTTTGGCTTTGTGGTGGTACTTTTTTGGGAAAGAAAACTGTCTCCAGCATTAAAAATAGAAACTGACTTCTATTTTTAGTGGCATTGGTGACTATATTGGTGGGGCTTCTAAAAAAATTATTCTAGAAACTGTTTTCCTCTCTGTGATGGGTTTCCTTCAGCAGCCAGCCACTCAACTAGGACAGTCGAGAAAACTCCCAAGAATTTGATTAGTTTTTATTAATAACCAAATTTCAAAAGATAAGCATGTGGGCATATTTTTATCATTGGTATAAGTTTTAGTAGATGTTATTAAAAGCAAAATTGTTTAATCTAATATGTAATGTTCTTCATTAGATATGACATTTTTCCTGTCAATTCTGACAGTTTTTCAGTGCCTTGTAAAAAAAATCATCAGATTTTGATTTAAAGAAACATTTTTGTGCACATGGAAAACTTCTTTTGAATTAAAACTGTTTCGAAGGGATTGGAGGAGGTAGTAATGTGTGCGTGCCAGATGGGCCTATCGGGACAAAGGAGAATTTTCCAATTAAGCTGTTTCAAATTTTGTTGTATGATTACTACAGTAAGGGATTGAATGTTATTTTTTATTTTTCATATATTTCTCGGAGTTCTTTACAATGTTTTTCTTCAATTGCTGACACCGCAGAGAGCATTTACTGTTTCATTGACACAATGCAGTATTTTCTTTGTAATCCATCACACATAAGAAACTTTCAAGGATGAAGACCACACTTTGGTTCAGGAGCTTGAGTAACCTTTGGATCTAGTCACTGTCTTTTACGAATGACATTAGTATATAATACCATTTCTCATCTCCGATTACCATTCTGTCTGGAAATGGGCTTTGCTGTTGCCTATTAAGAAGAGAAATGCATATAGATAATCAATTTGGGTGGTTCTATTCGGTAAGGTTACGTTTAATTCTTATACCTTGTTAGTGTTTTACTATTTAGTTTAAGGGACCTCGTGGTCGAACCTATATAGATTAAGTGTCTCTGGAACCTTCCATCTCTGAGAGTTATCTTACATATGCCTGGTGCTCTGTTGTTGTTAATTGGGTCTTTTTATTTCTGAGAATTGTAAACATATGAGGACTGTGTCTGTGTGTTAATCCTGTGCCCGCATATGATTCTATTTTTTTATATATATATATTATGCATGTAATGATTGTAAGCCAACACATTATGGCAAGATTTAGTTTCTAGTGCAGGTCATCTAAGGGAGCATCTTTTGGTATTCTGTCTGGTTGTGTTTCTTTTGTTTTGTTAGGTAGTGGTGTGTGTGTGTGTAAATCTACAGACCCTTTCTTATAAACAGTTTATGCAATCATCCTTGATTTTTTTCACATTCTGTGTTCTCAATGCACTGTAATAATGAAGGTGTATAGGATTCTCTTTTCATTAAAACCGTTTCTAATTCTAAACTGTGCTTTCCAGTGGAAGTATTTTTTTTTTTGTGTTTCATTCATTCTAAGAAGGAGGGCCTCAATGTCTGGCATGATAAGCTCCATTTTCAGTTTATATGTTCCAGGGACATACATCAGACCATTTCTCAAAACATCTATGAAGTATGGAGGTGGAGAAAATCCATGGGAACTTGTGCATCTCTTTGTTTTTGGCTTTTTGTATTTAAAAATCCACTGTAATTTTTTTTTTTTTTGTATTTTTTACAAAGGGCAAACAAATGTAAGTCTCTCTTGTATGTTAATAAATTTAATGTTTGCCTCCTAGAAGTGTGTACAGCCTTCTTTAAACAGGCAGTTTTCGAAATTAATCAAACTAGATAGTCTCGAGTACAAAGTTCTGCGTATTGTCCTGATAACCTTCCTCAAGCACAGAAATCTTAACTTCGGCAGGAGGGAATCATATCTCTTGGGCAATCTGATGTAAAAAATAGACATAGGAAATATGTGGCTTCTTCTTTATTTCATCAAGAAATGAAGTTTGACACTAGCCCTCATTAGGGCTAGGACATTCTCAGTTTTATCTGAGTTGAATCGGAGGAAGGATGTATGATGACGAGAGAAAACAAAGTTTATTACTGTTTGATTTGCTTGGTGATGCATTATATTTGTCACATTACCTTGGAAAATTGGGTTCTACTATGCATGTTTTCGGATAATTGATTACAAATTGTTTGTATATATTTTATTGTGTAGACTTTAATTATGTTTTAATTTGAAAAACTTTCAACTATTGTGTTCAAATTATGCTTTGCCAGTGACTTTCATTTATAAAAGCATCCTTGATTTGATCGTGCAAATTCTTATTATAAATTGCTGTTGTGTATTTTTCTGTATGTGTTACGTTCGCTTAAACTGGGTATCTGCACGAGTGATTTCACTGTGTCGTATAAAATGCTTTTTGTGCCATGCATGATTGAAAAAAATGAGCAACGTGTCTAAAGTGCACCTAACTGGATGAGTGATCTGGATGTACTGTACTTTTTTGTTGCGCAAATCCATTTATTTATTTTCCACCAGATAGCATACAAATGAAGCATAGTGGATATTAGCCATGCAATATGTGCGAAAGTCATGTGATTATATATTAGCTTGGTGCAGTGAAATTGTTCATGTGGATATCCAGCTTAAAGGCCAGTTTATAGTCCGATGTCAGTGTGGAGTTTTGAGATCGCTAGTCGTCGTCATTGTCAACACAAATGTCATCCAGTTTATGATCACTTTGGCCGGTGGTGTTGGGACCAAACATGGAAATCATTTCGTCACTAGACCAGAAGCTTACATCTATACTTTGACTTCTAGTGGAATGGACGATGGTATACATGGTGGAACTCTACTGTCACAGTACCACGCTGTCATTGGACTGTAAACCGACCCTTAGAGTTTATATTTATAATTATTCGGAATGCAGCTTATAAAAAGCATTTGGTTATCTGTATTATGTGCATCTAATGCCGATTCCATAGTACTGGCTGTTGTAAATCAGTTTAGCATCAGAAAATCAATAAAAATATTATTATTATTGACTGAACGTAAACGAGATGTTTATAAATAAATTTATCAGTATTTATTACTACATTATTATAACTGTTTTCAAAGAAAAGTAACATTCCAAATTTAACAAATCGAAGTATAAAAATTTACCTGAAACAAAAATTTTGTTGTGGAAAACCGATTCTTACTACAGTTAGTTTGTTACAACAAATCGAAGAATGAATCTGAGCTCACTTTTACAAATTGTTGACATACAAAGTATTTGTTTTGATTCTGTAACATTTAGCTAAAAGGACAGCCGTGCATCTCTTATCAATAGATATATTTATAATTTGGTTGCTCATCCACTTTAAACATTTCATTTTTAAAAATTACAAATTTAGAATCCTGCATAATTTTTCTTCTTATGATAAAAGTAATATAGTCACGTGTTACGCAAAGCCGTTTGAAAGTTAAAATTTCGTCTGTCTTCCGTTCATTTATCGCCGACCAACCGGCGGAACTTTAACTCTCGTACCGCTTTGCCCGGAATGTGACGATATTATTTTGATCCTCCTTATTTTCTTTCTGTTGAACTTGCTATATGACTATCCTTGTTTATATTTCAGTGTTAAATGATATACTGTACTAATTATTATACTTTCCTAATATTTCCTGTTGGAACTTCTGTAACTAATCTCGGTATAAATATTTGATTTTACGGTAGTTTATTTTATTGATGTTGAATATCAATTAAATGTTAAAAAGTTCTTTAAAAAATTAAATCTTTTTTTATTTATTTATTTATTTATTTCTCTTTCTCCTATAAAAATCAAGGATATATTCTATAGTTGATGTCGGTTTTATAATTTTATTTAATCTTTGTGTTTAAACACTTGTTAGTATTGATAATACTGTCTCCCTGAAAGGCTACGGGGCTTACCCGCCACCGCCAGAACCGGCTCCTCCGGACATGCCGTCGTCCCATTTGAAGAAAGGACCCCTAATGCCTGGTCATCACGTTTCTCACACAAGCTTGGACGAGGGTACTTTCAGTCGCCTAATTTTATTGTAAAATTTCATAAATCTAGTGAGATGACTGAACTTTCCTTGTCTCTTTGTGCCGACGGACCCGTTTCACGAGTACGAAAAATTAACATTGGACTCTGTTTTTGTCCAAAGAAATTTCTGACAAAATTGTAAACGGATGCGAGAGGTGTAGATTTCACGTTCAGTCTGTTTTTATTGCATGCACCGATCCCTCCCCGTACTTGCGTTATGCACCGATTCAGTTGCATTTTCTCTGACCCATATGTTTTCTAGTTAAATTTTGTTCTTTTCTATGCATTGTTTTGATTTTTAACCTTTGGCATGCCTCTGTCAAAAAAAAAAAGAAAAAAAAACTAAGCCTCCGAACTCATGCTGCATGTCCGAGATGACGTGACGATGTACACCTCTACCGTCGCGAGTTCTCGGAATTTCAGTCATCCGTACACAGGGAAAACTATTTAAACAAACGGGTTGCATTGACTGATCTTTTTTCTTCACCATTCTGCTTTCTCCTTCTGATTTCACCTATCCTCAGTGTTGCCTCTGTACCTTCTGACTGGGATCACAGGGTATTCAATAGAAAGTGAGTAAATGTCTCGAAATTCGGTAAAGTTAAATATTTACTATAAATGTTTTCCTTTTAAAATCTTTCTTTTTCTTTTTTTTTTTTAAATAAAAGTAAGAATTTATGTATTAGACATACTTTGGAAAAATGTTTATATTAAATATTTTAATTAAGTCGGAAAATGTTAAATTTAAAAAAAAAGCAAAGCACAAATGTGAATGGGGTTTAATGTTTTGTATTGTGTATATATTTTATAAATTGATTAAACTTTTAAGGAGAAATTTTAAAATTATTTAATTGAAAATAGGAATTTGAAGTCACTAATTGAAATCATGTTTCTTGCATGCAGCAGAGGACAGAGGATCTCAAGAATCCCTAGAAAGTAGGGAGTCAGGTGATTGTCTGATATCTCAATTACGGCGGCCAAAAACCCAGTTATACGCTCGAATAAATATACTTAATTTAAGCTCGTAATTTGGAACCTCCCGTCCGCCAACTCGCTCGCTTCTAGAATAGTGCCTGGCTGATTTTAAACAAGCTTGCTCCCCGCTAGCATAGTTAATCGTAACGTTGACTTTATAGTAATTTCCGCATTTACTCGTCGTGATAGAAATTGCTATTACCTAAGTAGATTTATAATTTAAGTTTTTTTTTTTTTTATTTTAAATTCACTGTCAGTTTAATAGAATAACTTTAGACGTTTGTTTGAAAATGCATTGCATCGAATTTACGTTTAAGCACTTATTTTTCATAAATGAAAGTATATTAACATTATTTCTCACTTCGTAATACTTAACATTATTAATACAAACTAGTCGTAGTTTCAAATTTCACTTAACGTACAAATTTTGAATTGTTATTTGTTACTTGGATTGTCATTTAGATGTATGCCACTCAGAAATGGCAGTCTTTATGTTTTTTCCCAAACGTAAACCAGGTTTCCTGGATGGCACTGACATTTAAATGCTAATTTAAACTATCAAAAAATTTTTTTATGATATATAAATGCGTAAGTGAAATTTGAGCAATATATTATATATAATTATTTTATAACCATTTGAATTAAAATGTTTGCTGATTTGCTAATTCATTAAACTGTATAAATGCTTACTGTTGTGCAAGGTATTTTTTTGGGGCTTAAGTTATTGGAAAACTGCTCCGTGCATTAAATAATTTGGAAATCGTTTCATTTTAGGTTGGGTGGAAAACAGGGTATACGAACCAGAATTTCGAGGAAGGGAAGGATGGTTAGTGAATGAGGTCTATCACACGTATCACACGGACAGGCATAAGGCACCTCCTCCGACTCATCCGAAGCCGGGAAAAACAAAGGTAAGCTGAAATTTTATTTATTGCCTGTATATAACTACAAGTTATCCATATTTAAAAGACAACTTGAAAGCAGATGGAGGTTATTTGATTTATTCGATTATTATGAACTTGTCTAAATTTACCAAAAACGTCTTATAAAATGTGAGAAATCTTTTGTCTAGCGCGGACGTATTCATTTGTTGTTTCGATTTTCCATTCCCGAAACCACTAAAGGGCTCATATGTTTTATCTTTAGTTTAATGTTCACTATTCTAGTGATTATTTGAACTAAAGATGAAGCACTATTATGTTACAGCACTATCCATAGTTTAATTGATATTACCAGACACTCCTATATGAACTTGCATCTTAAAAACTGGTAAGTATCCATTAACTATCTCTATACAATAATTCTTGGAGAAAATTTAAAACTTCTGTTTAGATGTCAATCTTCACTTTTTACCAGGGCTGTGGAGTCGCGTAAAAATCTACCGACTCCGACTCCGTTTTGTATACATAACAAGTTGGTAAGTAAAAAGGGAGTCGGAGTCGGCGGATTTTTTAACGACTCCGACTCCGGCCAAAACTCCACGACTCCAACTCCACAGCCCTGCTTTTTACCTATGTTATAGTTCTCTATAGTTGAATACAAGCGGTGTGATCATCTCTGTGATCATCTCCCTGAATATACATAGTTGGATATTATTGTCATTAATAATGATTTTAATCTGTCAAGGCAGTTCTATACTTTTGTATGTAGATGACAATATTCTTTCATCTTGAAAGATTATATTGGAAGTGCAATTGAGTTACGGTATTAGTATTTAGGGTAATGCCCCGCGATATGTTTTATGTACAGTCAATTACAGGCCATTTAAAGTAAATTCTTAAGAGAGTGGTAGAAGATATATAAACGTGTTATTTTGATCCAAATGAATCAGTTTCTTTATTTGAGAGGAATCTTCCTCTAATAAAGAAGCTGAGATTATATTTTATTTATCATTTAACTTATTATTAATAAAATATATTACTAAATATGAAAATAATTATGGAAAAAGTTTTAATATTGGTAATTGTAATATGGGTTTGATAGTTGATAGTTTGGCTCCTTATTTGATGCAGAGTATTGCTTGTAATAATATTAACCCCTTTATTCACTCAAAATACAGTACAAAGTCAGAAACAGAAAATGAACTCTTTGCACTATTTAAATTTGGAAATTGTTTTATGTTTGTTATGTCTTTAGCATATACATTTACCATTATTAATTCATTTCTGTGACATTTAAAAAAAATTAGGCATTATTTCTTGTTTTCTTAAATTACGTTTAAACTATTCTTCTCTTAAATGTTTATATAAAATGTTACAAATGAATAAAAAAAACATACACTACAAGTTATAAAATCATTTTGTGTTTGTCATAATAATTAATTTCTTAAATTATATTTTAAGTAATAATTGTGAAATGTATTTATGCAAATTTATACTAACGAAAGAATTCTATGTAAATAATTTTGTACGGTAGAGCATCGATTATCCGACTCAATTGGGGACTGGGGTTGGTCGGATAACTGAAAAATATGAAAAAATACATTATTAGTATAGTATATTAGTATATCCCCGTGTAATTAGTATATTAGTATATCGCTATTAACCTACTGTGTGTTGAATTTTCATCGATTTTTTAAAATAATAATAGTCGCTATTGTATCGTTAAAAATTAGAAAATTAAACCTTATTTAAATAGTGGCTCCCTTTCATGGTTGAGCCAGCGTTGCCAGCTGAAACACTTAAAAATAATATTAAAGTAGCCAAGACACAGCCAAATATTGTTGCGCCACATCACTAGCCGACATTTGAATTTACCGACTAGAACACGGTCGGTTAACCGATGTGACGGTTGATCGGGGGTCGGATAATCGATGCTCTACTGTATTTGCATTTTAATGATATCAAAATTATTAATTGCAATAACAAAGGATTAATAATTTTGACATCGTCAGCATGAAACTTCAAATTTATTAATCCTTTGTTATTGCGATTCTCAATAAATATACTTTACAAATAAGATTGATGCCTGCATTTACGAGAAAAGAATTGATAATTATTAAAGATGATTTGGTATGAGATAATTGGTTTTATGTTGTTGTCAATTAGTGCGGGGGCACTGCATTGCCATATTACATTCTTAAATATTCGATATTTTATTGCTATTAGACGGAAAATGAAACTTACCTTTGTTTTGCTGTCTTCTCTTAAAAATAATCAATACTAATAATAAAAATAATAGCAAACATCAATGTTTTGTATCCTGTATTGGGTGTCTACAATTGAAAGGAATGTTATAAAAAACAATAAAAAATTTTTTCTTTTAATATCTGAAATGTTCTTTTGTGCTTATTTTTGAAATTATAAGAATAATATAATCGAATTAATCACAATGTTTTACTCAGCAGCCAAAGAAACTCGATTTAAAGAGATACAACAATCTGACAGACGTAATTGGGAGGCTGAGTCTGACTACTCAGAAGCAGGGCGGCACGTTTCCTAAAGTCGGGCTCCTGCACGCTCCCCTCGCGACGCCCGAGAGCGTCGATTTGGGAAGCGAATACGCGCAAGTAAAAGTAAGTTCGAGTCGATGATTTCTTCTTATTTTTTATTTTAATATTTATGAGAGTGATAGATATTTTCTTTAATTTAAAGTAATAAATTACAATCATTATTTTAGTTTAGAGTGAAAAGTTTGTAAATTTCGTGTTTTTTCATTTTCAACGGCATCTTTGATTCTGCTTTACTTGACTGGATATTAAGGGAAGAATTGTGAATTTCTCTTGTTAGTCATTTCTTGATTTCATAGTATATAAAGCTGCACATAAATTTTATTACGATGCTTAGCTTTTGTTCCTTCAACCATATATTTGGTTCCTTTCTTCTTCAACAGATAATTCTTATCATCTGATTCCACTTTAGTGAAGTAACACTTCTTGTATGAGGTCTGCTTGTCTATCTTGTGTTTTCTGAAGCCAGTAATGCCAAGAATGTATTCTGCTTCCGAGAGAGAGAGAGAGATTGATAGAGGAAACCTTTTCCTCTATAATCTTGTTCTGAGATCCATGTTAAAATAGAAGAGAAGGTAATTTTATCTAACGTGATAACTTTAGTTATTTTTCATCAGTTTAATGTGTGTTTCAGTGGATTAACCAGTAATCTGCCCGAGTCTCCCATCTCTACTGTTGTATGTAATAAAATAGAAACATTGCTGAGAAGATACCAATCGTAATTTAGTTTGCCTCTGTTGCATTTTACATTCTTCTTACTTTGTTATAACTTGCTGATATGGCATTGTATGTTATTGCATTCTTTATCGTTTAGGTTGCCACTAATAAAGAAAATTCCATCATTTTGGATCCATCAGATTCTGTCAGTCCAACAGAATTTAATGTGTTTTGCATCATTCCAGAACAACAATTTTGTTTTCTTTGCTATCTTTCTGTGGTGTGTAGCATGTTGTAATGAGTGTGTGGCATCTTATGGAATCTTTATTGCACTTATGCTCTCATCACAGAGATAAGTGGAGACATTAACCTGAAAATCATTTTGGGCTCATACACAGTGGTGAAACATTTTCATTCATCATCTAGTTTCCCTGTCTTTGCAATTTTTCATCTAGTTTGCTCTAAAAATGTAAGATCAGTCTTCCTTCTTTCGAGATAGTCAATCAAGTCTCTGCATCTGCTAGATATAGTTTTGATGTCAAGACTGATCAGATGTAGGTATTCAGGCGGCCATATATTTTATCTGTTTTGTCAGTTATTACTCATTAAAAATATTTATTATTTGTTTATTAACATTCTTAAGTATAGCATGAGAATAAGGTGGGCATATTTTCATTATAGTTTTAGGACTTGCGTAATTAATAAATATGCAGTAGAAGTTTGTTAATTTGGAATTTTCAGTAATAGGATATGCTAATTGGAGTTTGTTTGAACAAGTGGCACAATAAAGATCCCGGGCGGGGCAGCCAAGGAAGTTAAGGCATTGGCCAACCATTCTGTGAAATGGGGGATCAAATCCAGGCTCACAATCTTGGGAAAAGTTTTCACAGCAGTTTATCCTAATATATTGGCCTGCATCTCTTATCTGCTTTCATTGTGGGTATGGAATAAAGATGCTCTTTGTACCCATGTGGTGGGAAGTATTACACTAGGTTATTAGGCATTGGATTAACAAACTTCTACTATATATTAATAATTAGGTTTTAAAGTACATTTGTATAAAAATCATTGCATGTGAGTATTTAAAAAATAATTATTTACAAAATTTTAATTTAGGATGCCGTACCTCTGTTTTCTGCTGATCCTCACGAGTATGCCTACGCCGTCGTTCACAACGCGTTGCCCGACAGCAAACCCCAACACGTTCGTTCCCTGACGAGACGACACCCTAACAGGGAAGCCTTCGACAAAGGTAGGAGTAAATTAGCATTTGTGTAATCGGCAGATGCTTTTCTCCTTTATGTATTATGCACTTTGATGAAAAGCAAACTTACTTACTTTTGCTGGTTAATTCTAATTTAAATTTGCTCTGCTACATTCTGTCAAGAATAAGAATGAGTAAATTAGTTAAAAATGTTCTTGTTATTTTTTTAACAATACTGTAATACTTCAAAAATAAGCCAAAGTAAGAGTTTAAAATGGAAAATTAGAAAAAAATTACTATTTATATATGTGATTTGTGTCAATTACAGGGTATCATCCTTTTCTTTTAGGCCCTGAGAATGATTTTTTGTCTTTTTTACAGTAAAATAATTTTTCCTGTATGACTCTCCAACAACTCTCACTTTTTTCGCCAACTGTAAGTCTTTACTTGCTGTGCAACTTCCGATTTCTTTGGAACACAATGTAACTTTTCTTTTGAATTCAACATTATACGTAAACCATTTTTCCATTATTAGTGAGTATGGGTAATAAAAAAAGTTTAAAATTTAATTCTACATAGCTTCTATCAAACAGCAAATGGATTAAATCAGAAAAGTATAAATGGTGAACCACCAAATAAACTGCTATCAACAGTCATAATACTATGCACACACGTAGATTGTAAAACAAAGACCAGATCGTTGGGGAGTGGGAGATTGGCAGAAATAAGAAGTTAAAATATTTGCTTTGAATTTAAGCCGCATCCTAATTTTAAATCTTAAAAATTGGAATAAAAAGTGCGGCTTAAATTTGAAGTAATAAGGTATTACCTGAAAAAAATATTTTCTTAATGATTCAGGTTTAAAAATAGAGAGGTTGCGGCCGATGTTTTCAACGCAAAAACATGTACGTCGGACATTCAGCGCCGCCTTCCTGTAAGCCTAGATGTTTGAAAATGGCATTTGAAATGTCAGTGGAATCATGCTTGACGTTCCAAACGCCATTGTCAAACTTCTAGGTTTACAGGAAGGCGGCGCTGAATGTCCGACGTACACGTTTTCGCGTTGAAAACATCGGCCGCAACCTCTCTAATAGCAGTTGATGAAACTTCTGGAATTCTTTATCCTTTTGTTCGAAATTTAAGTTGCTAAATTTGATAAAATTATCATCTTCGTTACGCGAAATACATATGCAGAGAAGCCAATTAATGCAGAATTATATAATTTCTGTTGCCTGTACTTAATAAAGTGTTGCCATTTAGTGTACCTTAACTACTTCATTTGCTACTGCAATCCTTTGTACAGACTTTGATACACTTCACTAATGAAAAAATACTCTCGTAGTTTTGATACACTTACCCTGCCATTTGATTTTTATTTGCAACTTCCTAGCAATAATATTGGAGGGTGTACTTACTCCCTAGTAAGGGAAAAGCCCACTAGTGGCCAAGTGATCTTCGTACCCTGAACACTGGGAGTTCGGTTGTGGGTTTGCACCTCGCTCGGACAGGCTGGCCACGTGGAGTTTTCCGGGTTTTCTCCACGTCTGTAATGCCTAAATATGGGCCAGTTTCCCTTAAAAAAGACCTCCCAGAAGGGCAGATTATAGAAGTGTTGCATTGCCATAACTCAAATAAACCAAACCAAAACTCTAATAAGGGTAAGTACACCCTCCAATATTATTTTTAAAAAACACATTGTTACTCAACAAATAACACTCACTCAAGACCTGTGATATTCATAACCTGTTGCTATGTTACCAGGTAAGTTATTCTGGCAATTGGTTTCTGAAATTAGGTGATCTTTACTCTGCCTCACTGGCCGAAACCTTCAAATTCCAGAATTGAGTGTGCACTTTCATTTCTTTATGTGCGCAACCCCACTAAAGTAATCATTTGTACTGTATTAGTTGACAGTAGTGTAGATGACCAAAATTGTTGTAAGTGATAGTAAGAGACGGAAACTTTACACACTTTTATTGAAAACAGAACAATTAAATTGTTGCTGTGTATTTGGTAAGATGTTGCAAGAGCAAGCATTTGTCTTGTGTGGACGTATTGTAAGTTTGCCGAACACTCTGGTTTTTCTGACAAGAGAACAAACTGTCTAGGCTTAAGCCACTAATTTTCAGGCTATCTTATATAAAATTACATTATTTTTATGTAAGTTAATTTAATATAAATATTTTATATAAAAACTTATTACTAATATTCAGTCTTTTCCTTTACTGAATTTATTATATTTCAGGTTGTATTGTAATAGAATATAATATTAATTTAAGTGATACATTTTAAAAAATATACAGGATGATTTAAATATTTGTGATTATTACTTAATTTTTATTTAAAGTAGCCAGTCGAATTTTGTTCCGACTGATGTCGTATTATCATATTCCTTACGCTTAGGCTCGGATTCCGACAGCGAATGGAGCTCTCTGGAGCGCAGACAGAGAGACATATTTAACAAGGGGAGCCACAAACCGTTATCGCACAAGAAAACTCGAAAAAAACGAGGCATTCCGGTCGCTCCCCCGAGAATACCATCTTACGAGGGGCCACCACCCTCACTTCCACTTTACTCTGGGGGTGAAAGAAGAATGATGACTGCTCATTCCCTTGATCCTCTAGATAAAGGTACTGCACGATACACCGTGTTCTCCGTTAATGCACAGCTACAAAGAGTCTGCATGTTTGTTTGTAAATGTTTTTTATTGTTTTTTTTTATTTTTGTTAAAGTTGGAAAAAAAAAAGGTTTTTAAATAGAAAATAAAAAAAATGCATGAATTAGATAAATTGTTAAGAGGTACTTTTTTCTTTGCAATATTGTTTTTTGTTTATTTTGATGTATTACGTACCTCCTCGTAGAAAAAAAGAAACGAAAAATGTTAGTTTTCGAAATTTTAAATAAACAAAACAAAAAAAAAAAATAGAAAGAATGGAACAGATCATGATCTCTTGAGCCGACTTTCTGTATGATTGCAGTACGTGGTAGTGGTGACAACTCGCCCTCCGATGGAAGCGATTTATCCGACGACGACGACCCACGTTATAAGTCTGCGCATCGTCCAAAATATAAACATAGACGTTCCTTTCGCATGAGGCGTAGAAAGCAGCAGCAGCAGCTCCACCATCAACCACCCCAGCCTTCCATGGGGGAAAATCGTCAGTTTAATGCACTAACCTCTGATAGTGATCTCTTCTCTCCCTCATGTAAGTGCTTTCTTCGTCTTTCCTATTTTTTCGCCATTCTCCGACTAACCCGTCGGCGATCGTCGTCGACAGAAGTACTAACGCTTGCTTTGTTTCTTTTATTTTTATAATTCTTTTAAGATATAAAACTATAAGCATGGCATATTTCATTAATTTGCTTTTATTTCTTATCTAAAGAAATATTTTTGAATATTATACGTTAAACTAATGCTTACATTAACTACGTTCAGACTTAGGAATTTTTTTTTTTTTTTTCTGAGACTTAAATGCATCTTGATTTTTAGATTGGATTATTGTGTGTTACATAGGTCATAATTCCACATAATTTTTATTTTTTAAATATGAATATACATTTAAAAACAGGTAGCGATGAAACTTTGTTCCTAGAAAGTTTCTTTGTACACTTATTACTTTATCAATAACCTGTAATGATTTTTTGCAGCCAAGACAAAGCTGGAACAGTCGCTGACCTGCATGCCTCCCCACGAAGACGACTCCAGTTACGAGATGGCATCTCCGCGAGATCCCGCCAGTGCAGCTCGAGTAAGTCATAAGTCTGTTTTTTCGACGAAACCTTTCTGATAAAAATGCGAAAATTATTTTTATTCCTTTTTTTTGAAGCATTATTTTTATTTTATTTATAAATATTTAGTTTAGATGGATAATTTGGAGTGACACGCAAAAAATTGATAGAGGCAATTTCAGATCTTTCTTTGTATAGCGAAAAAAATAAAATATCAAGGGAAATGTCAGAAACAGGTGATGCTTAAAATGCACATTTCAGGTATCATATGTTGTTTAATGCTATGTAATCTTCATTTTTTTGTGCTAACAGACTAGTTGCGTGTGAGAAAAATATTCCCTTTTAATATCCCCGAATTAAACAAATAATTACCGTGTGGATTATTATACTAACATTAAATTAGTTAAAATGTACAACTAAAAACTAAATTTACCCATAAAGAGGTTTTTTTTTCCTGGTTCATTCCAATTGAGTGTAATACGTAAAGGTATAACTCTGACTTGGTGTGGGTCCTAATAATAAATGGTCAAATAGGTCACTTTTTATGAAAGATCACAAATTTGAATTTCATCTAGGACCGAGTAGTCGTTTCGTTTTGAGATTTTCTTGTTCGGGTGCTCTCATGACATACAATTTACAGTTACACTTTATTCTGTAGAAGGAATAGTCAGTTTGAGCAAACTTAAATGTAATATAAACATATTCTTGTTTTTCGGTAGGAGAGAATGATTAATTATATTTTCAAATTAAGAAGCCAAATATCTAAACCCTAGCTTGAATCGTTGATGATAAATGCAATGCGTCGAGTGTAAATCGGGAAACTATTAGTACAATGGTCTAAATTTTGAGAATTGTACACTGAAAGCCTTGTCAATTTTAAAATAACCAGTTTGAATTATAGAGTTTTTTAGTTAGAAGATTATTAAATTGTCATTGAGGAATTTCTTTTCAAAATTTCAAGTGTGTTCTCAGTAAAACTCAGCAGCAACCTGTCGCAGGTTTTACCAAGGATCGGGAAATTCTCAGGAGAGTCGGATTTTGAAAACAACAGATGCAGACAATTCTTGTCTGTGCCAGTAAAAGGGTTTTTAAAAGATGGCTCTGTAAACTATAAATTCTTCTTTGTTTTTATTTAAAACTACAATGTAAACATCAGATTTTCGATTTTCTCACTTGTTACAAACCCAAAAGTTTCAATTGCGTGCGTTTTAAATGCTTCTTTTATAATTTCATTTAGCCGGTTGGTAAGTTTTATTACATAATAAGTTAGATTAAATGAGATATTTAAATTTTTTATTTTGTCCTCAGTAGATTATAAGAAATGAATTTTTCTAGCATCAAACAGTTAAGTTCTGTTCAATAAAATCACTCATTATCGCAGCTGTATTTTCTGTATGAAAGGAAGCATTGTGTTTTAGTGAAGCTCTCTATTCACTTCATATCTTTGTACTAAGAAATTCATTTTGATGAAGGGATACGACAAAAATGGCATTATTTGAAGTGACAATTGAGGATTCGGACAAGAATTTCTGAAGTTAACTAAAAGAATAAAATTTCTCTTTTGTACTAAATAGTATAATAATAATAATATACTGTTAAAAACAAATCAACTTCCATTCTCTCTTATTAAATCTACTTCGACTCTGAAGCCTTGTTTAAATTCTATAAAAGTTAAACGAAGTAGCCACAAATTCTCAATAAAATTGTTCCAAGTTTTAACAAATTACTAATAAATGTTTGAGACACTAAGTTTTAAATTAATTTAATGGAGTCGATGTATTATGATTGCTAAAATGCTTCTTTTGAGATTTGCAATTACACTGAGGATATATTTGAATTTATTCTTTTCAGAATTATTTAAATATAATATCAGTTAATGCGAAATAGTGGTGATTTTGTGCAAAATTACAAGTAAAATCTTTCATTTAAAATTCTGTTGTAATTGTTCTAACAGTGCATGTTGCTTGAAAAAAACTTGTGTGAAGAAAGGCGAACGATTCAGAGTATCTCGCCATTTAGTTAGTGATTTGAAAGTAATAATATCATGTAACGTATTGTACAGTGGCACCTCGCTTAATGAGCACCTCTCATAACGAGTAATTTGCATAATGAGCAAAACAAATTGTAAAAAAGTGACTTGCTTAACAAGCGACGTTTTGCGTAACAAGTGACGAGGAGAGGGGAAGTCCCGGATTTCGCACATGCTCCGTCAGTCTGTTTACCACTCATTCTGCTATCATCTTAGTGTCACTTGCAATCACACATTTTTCCATACTTGTGTTCACACTTATTACGTGCAAACATCAACAGCCATAGTCCATTATGTAATAAACACGTCACGCGATATGCCAAATTCTTCGGCTATGTAAAGTCTATACTTAAATATTAGAAATTACTGTGCTTTGATCATTTTTTGTTTTTTTGCAAATTGAATTCGCATTCCAGGTTTGTTCATTCCATGCTAGAAGAAAATATGAAGATGATTCACACTCCTTAACAATGTATATTGTATAATTTTCTTTGAATAAACATTATACATAAAATATTTGAGTGTTTTTTCCGGCACGGAACGCATTATCATATTTCACATTAATTTACATGTGAAAAATTGTTTTGCTTAACGAGTGTTTAGCATTACAAGTAAGATTCTGGAACGAATTATGTTCGTTAAGTCAGGTTCCACTGTACTTGTAAAAGGATATATTAATTTAATTAAATCGTGTTTAGAAGTTATCTTAAATTTTGATAATTACCGGAAAATAATTATCCATTTAAAGCTATCGGCATTTGTTTTTTTTTTCTAGTTACATTCTGTTTGTTTTCATCATAAAGATGCGTCTTTTTGTTTGAAGTAAATTTTTGTGTCTAAATTTCATTTTCTATGGTTTAGAATGGTCTTTAGTTACTGCATATATGATTAAATATCTTCCCTTTTTGATAGTGCCCATTAATGATGAAATGCTACAGATCATAAACTTTCTTGTTTCAGACTAGAGGTGACCAAACTTTGTCGTGTATTTCTAATAACCATACTCTGCCTATGAGAAATACATAAGAACTGCATTATCCATTATTATATATAGTTAAAATACTATAATTATTACTCTTTTACAGTAAACATTGCAAGTTACACTTAAAATCTTTGTATATTGCACTATCTAATAGTCAGAAAGCAATATAAAAATATTGTTTGTGTAAGTAGTATGTAACAAGGGTATTAAAACAATTGTGTTAGTATATTGGAGTCACAGTAAGGGTTAAGTAGAACCACGTGCGGCTTGCAAGCCACTGTTTGGCCGTCGTGGTTCTAGACACTTTTCAAATGATAGGAAAAAAATTAAAGACCAACCAGACAGATTCTCTTCAACGCGTGGTTTCCAAAGTCAAAAATATGGAAAATAAAGATGTTTAAAATGTTTTTGTATTTATGGTACTATAGGTTAAAGGGTTTATAAATGATATTTTGTGTTGACTGCTATTTAAATACCAAATAATATATTTATATCTGAATTAGGACTTTTACTTTTGTTTGGAATTAAGAAAATTGAAATTGGATAATTATTTTCGATAAATTATCGAAATTGTAAAAGTGAAGTAGCAGTGTAATAACACCTTGAGTTTAATTGAAATTTTTACTTAGTAAATTTTTCAGTTTAATTATAATTCGTATTGTAAAAATCGAAAATCAAATTGTCATATTTCCATTTCTTCTTTTCAGTTGAATCTCAGAGCCCAGTGCAACCTTTGGTTAAAGAAGTTCTCTGTTAAATGCTGTACAAATAATGAGATTTCTTTAAACTTTGAATCCTCTCTTTTACAAATTAAATTTAAAAACCAAAATGATCGAATTCTGTTTGGTCATTTCCACTTTCAAATTAATTTTATCACTTTGTACGAAACGATCCAAAGCCAGTGCGAATTTCAAACGTTTGTCCAAATATTTAATATGGTATTCATTTAACCAAGGGCTTTTTTTTTTGGAGGGCTCTTGAAATTAAATGTAGAAATTAACTTTGTTTAATTTCTTTATATTTGTTTTGTGAAGCAAAATATTTTTGATTAAAATAATGCGTGATACTTGACAATACTTTAAATAATGAATCTAAATTATTATTGTATATTATTTGGAATTAAGCACAAAATTGCTATGGAGAACTTATCATACAGGAACACTTTATTCGATGGAAAAAGTAGATTGTATTTTCTATTTTTTATGAAAGGCAATGTATTTTGGGCCAATGCTCCCTCTTTAGTTCTTATTATGGTATAACTAATATAATGGTAAAACTATATAAGAAATTACATAAATACATTTAATAATTATTTCTGTTTTACATGTGTACAACTCATAAAAAATTGCCTAAAATATAACTAATGGTGACTACTGGAATAACTTGTGTGTTAAAAATGTAGGGTAAAACCGGTAAAACTGAAACAAATTTAAAATAAATAAATAAATATATATAGTAAAATGACTAAATACTAATAATAAATAATAAAAGGGTATACCTGTAAAATGAAAAAATAAAACTTGTTAAAACAGAAAAAATTTGACAATTAAAAGAAGTAAAAATACAGTAATACCTTGACTTACGCTACCCTGACTTACGCGAACCCGGAGTTACGCGATTTTCAAATCTCGTCGATTCGTCTTTTGTTTGAGCGGCATACAACTTTTGATCACTCACTCCCCCCACACTATTGTTTGGCTTACATGTTTGGACATGTTGCATGGAATCGACACATAGCTACAATTTATTTTGTGTTATTTATTTCTGTGTTTGTTACATCTACGGAGACTCGTGAGACTCTATGTGATGATTTCTTGTAACCGTGAACGAATCAAAAGACGTGATAAGATTAACGAGAACATTTATTAGCTTACATACATCTGACTTGGATTTTATACAAATTGCGAAATTATACCACGACTTATGCGAATTCGACTTATGTGGTTATCGCTCGGTCCCACCTATCGCGTAAGTTCGGGGTATTACTGTATATAAAATCTTTAAAACCAATAAAAACTGGCTAAAAAACAATGTATAATATGCTTTACTGTATGTTTATCCGGAAGTCTGATACAGTACAGGGGTTCATTAGATTATTATTACTTGTTTAACTCCTTTACTGTTCAAACACCTCTGCTCTGCAGAGTATTGCTGATGTTATAAGATACATTGGAAACAATAAAATTATGTACAGAAGATTACATAAAATACTATTAATGAGATATATTGTATGTACACACGTATTATAATGATTTATGTTACGACTACTTTCATTCACAAACACAACAATTAATAATATATGTAGGGTTGAATCAAAAGTTCATTCAGGTATTTACATAATTGCTCATTGATAAGCATGACAGAGGTCTCACAAAGTTTTAACTTGTTTAGGAGGTCATTATAAATATCTGCATATTTAATATATAAGTTTAGTTTTATATTTTTTAAAATTGTGATATATTTTAAGAAAAAAGAAACATTAAAATGGAAGATAAGAAGATGTATTTTTGACATCTCATGCTGTATTATTTTCGAAAAGGAAAGAATGTGACAAAAACTCAAAAGAAGCTATATGCTCTATATTGGGAGGATACAGTTACTGATTGAACATGCCAGAAATGGTTTTCAAAATTTAGGGCAAAATATTTTTGTTTCAAAGATGCACCTGGATCAGGATGGCCCTTGATCATAGATGATTCCATAATGGCCTTAATCCAAAACAATTGGCATAGAACAACACGAGAGATAGGCAACACCTTAAAAATATTCCAAACATTTGTTGTTAGACATTTGGCCTTCCTTGGATACACTTCCCGTTATGATGTTTAGGTTCCTCATCAGTTAATTGAATGAAACCTTATTGAGCGTGTTTCTGTTTGTGATTCACTTTTAAAATGCAACGAAGACGATCCATTTTTAAAGTGATTAATAACAGGAGATGAAAAATGGATTGTTTATAACAATATTCAATGCAAGAGATCTTGGAGTAAGCCAGGTGCTCAGTCACTGCTGCAACCTAAAGATAGGGTTTGTACTACAGAAAAGTAATGATTTCAGTTTGGTGGATTGGAAAGGGGTTCTTTACCCAACAAGCAAACAATTCCAATAAATATTGTCTCCAACTGGATGAACTAAAGGCTGCAGTGCATCAGGAATGTCAGGAACTTTCAAATTAACAGGGAGTGGTATTCCATCATGATAATGCAAGGCCTCACGTATTATTAAACATGTGCCAGAAACTTTTAAGACTTTAACCAGGATGTTTTGAGTCACCCTGCATATTCTCCAGTTATTGCTCCCTCAGACTATCATCTTTTTCATTCATTTCATTATAATTTAAATGGCATAGAATTTCAGTCTTTAGAAGGTATCAAAAATCACATTGATAATTTCTTCAATCAGAAACCCACCCAATTCTACACAGATGGAATTATGAAACTACCCATCAGACGGCATAAAGTTATCAAACAGAATACATTGTGAATTAATGGTTTTTATTTATTCTAAAATAGTATATATTATTTCTCTAAAAATTGAATGAACTTTCGGTTTAATCCTACAAAATACCAAATTAAACGAAGTAAGTATTTAAAAACTTGGCAGACGGAGTTTAATTTCTAAAAATAGAAAAAATTTCGCAAACTTCTTTACAAAATTTTTTGTATTTTTAAACTGAACTCATTACTTTTACTTGTGGGGATGTAGTCTCTAAGGAAAGGTCATCTTCGTATATAAATTTGTTCTCGAACAGCCGTGCCTGGTGAAAACCTGAACTTCCTTGTGTGAGGCTGCATTTGTGAAAGTGCCCCATATCATCCACTGTGGGAGAAAAGAGATATGTAGTGGCACCGGAGTCTTCTCACATGCGCTGCCAGTGGTTATGATTATGCAGTGTAATCTGATGTTTCAAGGTATTACTTGAAAGGATGCTGTAGATGCATTTGCCCAGCCTGCTGCATGCCACTGTTCTGGCATGTGTATCTGCCATTTTATTACCGTAAACCCCTCTGTGTCCCCTTATCCAGATCAAGGCATAACTATTGTTAGAATTTATAATGTTTCAGTTTATTTTATCAGCGATGGGATTAGTGTTCCCACTGTTCATAAGGATTTGAATGGAGATTGCAGACTCTGTGAAAATGTCGATCTTCTGGGAGCAACTTTCCACTGCCTGGGGAAGAGACCATTTTATAGATACGGGTTTAGAGGCAATTTATAAACAAAGTGCCAAGGGTCCTTTGTGTTAGAAGTGCAATATTCCCTCCAAGAAGAAACTTGCTTGTTTAATTGCTTCTTTGTATTCCTTCTGAAAGCTTAGGTATGACTCCCTTCTACGCTCCCTACAGCTCTGATATCTTCTTCTCAACCATTTATTTTGTTTATGCAGGGTTGTGAGATTATCATTCCACCATGGAATCTTTTGATGCTGGCATTCCTCAGGAATGGTCATCTTCATGCTGAATTTATTATCTCAATTATGTGAGAGATGAATGAATTTGCTTGGTCTCTGAAGAAACCAATGGTCATGGGATGTAGTATGTCAAAGAAAACATCCCAGTTGGTCCTTCTGATTGTTATATGAAACAGTGAATTAAAAGGGGGTTCCCTTTTTAATTCACTGTTTCATATAACAATCAGATTTTCTGATAAATGTACAGTGAAACATTTTATATCTTTATTTTTAGCCAGTTTTTATTGGTTTTAAAGATTTTATATTTTTACTTCTTTTAATTGTCAAATTTTTTTCTGTTTTAGCAAGTTTTCATTTTACAAGTATACCCTTTTATTATTTATCATCTGTATTTAGTCATTTTACTATATTTATTATTATTATTTTTTAATTTGTTTCAGTTTTACTGGTTGTACCCTGTGTTTTTAACACTTAGTTATTCCGGTAGTCGCCATTAGTTATATTTTAGGTAATTTTTTGTATTTTTTTATGAGTTGTACACGTGTAAAACAGAAATAATTATTAAATGTATTCTGTAATTTCTTATACAGTTTAACCATTATATTAGTTATGCCATAATAAGAACTAAAGAGGGAGCATTGGCCCGAAATGCATTTCCTTTCGTAAAAAATAGAAAATAAAATCTATTTTTTCCATAGAAAAAGAGTGTTACTGTATGATAAGTTCTCCATAGCAAATTTATGCTTAATTTCAAAGAACATACAACCAAAAGAGAGAACAAGTATTAAGTTATTATATTGTCCTTATTAGAAACCCACTGGGTGTAAACATTTTCTGAAATTTGGCCTTCTATTGAGATCATTATTGGGCTGTAATTTAAAAAATTGTAGACATATAAATTACCACTGTCATACAGCTATCCTTCCTTAATTTTGAGAATGGAGTTAGATACATGAAATAACTATTAAACAAGCTTAGGAGCAGGAGGCCTCGATTAACTATATATAAATTTCCGGCGCAAACTAGAAGTCACATTATTTCAATTCAAAACTTTTTCCCTGAAAGGAGTTAGATAGATGACAGGCACAACTCAATTGCTAACAGAAAAATACTATGTACTGTACAGCGGCAAGACACTACAGTACTAATTTGAGGTGGAGAGCATATATTTTAAATAAAATAAATTTAAAATATGACAAATCACAAATCATATATGTGGCAATTGTCTTTCTGTACAAATTTCATTAGTATGCTGTTTACTGTATATTAAAATAGTGATTTCTCAATAAAAATATGGTACCATAATGGGGTGGATTTCTATTAGAATAGTTTTATACTGTCCAATTAGAGCTGTATTTAGAAGTACTGAGGTAAAAGAAAAATAGGAGTAGGCTTCTAATGGGATAATATGATATTCTATATTACTTGAAGTGTTATCAAGTGTTGGGCATTAGTTTGATCAAGGTAAATTGATAAAGTTTTGTCTTTTCTGTTTTTAAAAAATCTCATTAGTGTATCGTTCTAACCTTTTACGTAATATTGCGTGTTAATTTTTCCTTCTTAAAACATCGGTCCATAAAACAATTTGTTTTTGCAGTATAAATTACAAAAAATACGAGTCAGTTCTAATTTAAAATGGATTTTGTAGATGGGAAGTATGTTAAGAACCAGAGGTGAAACAGAAAAGATTTCTAGGAAAAAAGAAGACAAGAAAAAATTGAGAGAGGACGAAAAACTAGAAAAACGCAGGCAGAAAGAAGAAGAACGGCAAAAGAGACTCACGGAAAAGAAGAAGAAGAAGGCAACTCAGTCCAAGAGTGGCAGCACCGCCCAGCCAGTTCAGGGTCTAGAAGATTTTGTACAGTCGGAAGACAAGGCCGTGCCTCTCTTCGTGGAAAAGTGCATCAAATTTATCGAGGAAGAAGGACTCGACTCCGAAGGTATCTACCGTGTTCCCGGAAACAGGGCTCATGTTGAACTTTTATTTCAAAAGTTTGAAGAAGGTAATTAGACAGATTTTCTTAGTTTTTATTCTCAAAGAACTAATTACACATAAAAATTAGCAGTTAATTACTATCTTTACCTATTAATTTAAAGTTAAAATTTAATTGTAATTGTGCAGATTGATTTTGATGCGTCTGCCCAAATACAATGATCTTGAAGACTTGGATGAATAAGTCTATTAAACAAAAATATCTTAGTTATGCAGACCCTGCTTGTCTACATATATAATTTGATCCTCTAGAAGTCTCTAACAAAAAACATGCATACTGATTGCATCAAATTTTAACATGAATAATTATATTTATATATAACAAATTAAACACAGAAAATACATCCTTTTGGAATTTGATCTTTGTTAAGCCTTCATTCATTTTGTTCTAAGGGCCTGTTTGATAATGCTCCACAACTTCTACTATTTCTGTCATTAGTGGAAAATTTATTATGTCATATTGCTATTATCAAACAGACTTTCCACTTTTTTAATCAGTAAAAGATACACAATGGATGTGTGTCGAGACAAGTTTGGAGATTGCAGTTAATGTTGCGGAAAAGTTGTAATATGTTCTGCAGAAACAATTTTCATCTGAAACTTCAAAACCCTTTCCAATGTTCCTCCCACCTTCTTAAAACATGGAAATTGTGGAGCATTAGCAGACACACATTAAAATACCAGTACTGCAAGTATTTCAGATTTACTTTGGATAGCAAGATCTGGAATGGGTATTAACTATTTCATTGTCAAGTGGGATTGGTTGGAAGAGTTTTTACTTAGAAATTTTAAATAAGCAAAATAATTTTTTTATCTCATTAATGTAATTAATTAATTGCAACATCGAATAAAATTTCTCTGTAAATAATTTTCTTTCTAGATCCTCAGATTTCTATTAGAGATTTAGACATTCCGGTCAATGCCGTCGCAACGGCACTAAAGGACTTCTGTAAACGGCTTCCACCCTTAATTCCATCCCAACTAATGGATGAACTAACAGATATATCAGGTATTTCATACCGTAAGTACAACTCTTTATTATTTTTCAACTTCTATGACTTTCTGCTTACTTTAATCTGAAATTATATGACAGATGTTTAGTTTTCAAACAAAATAGGAAAAGTGACTGACAATATACAAAATACGCAGATTATATCCCTTTATGACACTTTACAGTTCCTGACTGCATCCAAGAACAAATATCCAAAATGGAGTTGTAAACCACATCCTACTAACCAGCAAGAAAGGAGGAAAAGTAGCAATTACATGTTTGTAAAGAAAAACATGCTTCTATTCGCTGCACCCATTTTGCATGTAACTGTAAATGTTTAGGGTGCAAAAAAATAATTTCTAGAATAACAACATAATAGAACTATGACATTGATACAAAGCATGTTCTGCTTCTTTGTGTTTCTCCTAATATCTGAACATCCAGAACTTTTACTTTTTCAAATCGCTGGAAGTCTGTGTTTCTGGCCTTGCATATTAGCACAGCAAAGAACTGACTGTAATATATTTCTTTGGTGATTTAGATATTTTCGTGTTTAGGGTATTGCACAAGAAGAAAATGCTATTTTGTCAGCATTGTAGCTATTCCTCGTTGAATATTCATGATAATTTTTGGCTGTTCTGTTTTTATCTGCAATTTGGCTGACACAGAAGCATGACTTTTTTTTCCTCTGTGAGTATATCTGTACACACGTTTTCTACACTGGTCAAACCACATATTGGTTGCAATAAAAATTTTTCCATATTTTTCGGTAATTCTTCTGCTTTACAAAACTTTAGTGGCCCATTAATAGATACGTTATTTTCTCAAACATTACTATACCAAACGTTCAAAGCTAAATGTGTTTTCCAGTACAATTTCACTTGAGAATTCTGTTGTCAAATGCTATCAAAATTTTGCACAGAATTGTTTATGAAATTTTTAACTATGCAGCAGCAGCAGCAACATTGCATTGACTCATTTTTGACAAGCTTATCTTTGCATTTCATATTTGTTATTTGTATGCTTTGGGACATGTTAATTCCAGTAATATCAGATGCCTAATAACAATATTAGTGATTACAATAAGTGTATTAGTGATTAATGAATATTAGTGATTACAATAGGGTATCTACTGTAAATTATGTTCAACTTAAAGCAATCCTGAAAACTGAATTAAAGTTCTTTTATTTTACTTATTACTTTCAGATTTTATGACAGTCATTTGATAAGAATTTCACACAGTTTTATATATTTCAGGCATACAAGATAGGAGCTGTCGATTATTTGCTTTGAGGGATCTTCTGAAGAAGCTTCCATCTGTAAATTTCGAGATTATAAAGTTCATTTTCCAGCATTTTGTAAAGTGAGTAATTTATCTATTAGTTTTTTTTAATTATTTTTTATGTATAAGCTTTGCTAGTGTATGTCTGTTGGCTACCCCCATCATATTTATTTAATGTAAGCCTCAGAGATTACATGAAAGAAATTTCATATTTTAGAGTGGCAGAAAATTGCCGGTTAAACAGCATGGACAGCAAGAATCTAGCCATCTGCTGGTGGCCCACACTGCTTCCTCTAGAATTCACCGACATGGACGTTTTTGAGAGGATGCGACCGCACCTGGAGGATTCCATACAGACGATGATCGACCAGTTCCGTTTCCTGTTCTGCGGCGAAGAAGAAGTCGTAATGGTCTGAAGAGACGAAGCCACGATTCACTCATCGGTCAATTTTTCTGAGAATCGGGGGGATCGGATAAGCCGCACGAAGGCATCCCTCTACTCGAGTCGTCAGGCGATTGGAAACGGGCCGTTCTTATTTCGGACAGGCAGTAAACGGTACTCCAGTCTCCGGGTTTTCGGCAAAGTGTGTGGCATGATGATAGGTGGTGCAAGAAATGTTTGTAGGAAAAAAAAGAAAAAAATCTATGTTATTTTACAGTTTTCTCTGTGAACAGTAGAATGCACTTTAAAAAAACATGTGTCGTAGAATGTATAGACTCAAAGTCCAACAGCCATGTGAATGAAACTACAATTCCCAATTTAAATTCTGATTTTTATATATATATATATATATATATATGCATATACATATATATATATAAGTCAATCAATATGGGAATACCGATTTTGTTTATTTGTTTTTTTCATTTGTTGCACTGTTAGGAGAGCATGTAGGTAGAAGTGGAGATGTTAGGCATTATATAGAAAAAAAAAAATCTAGCCATAAAGAACCAAAGGATTCTCACTGTCTGTCAACATGCTCATCTCAGGTAAACTAGTTGTAATTTGCTGTATTTGTACCACACAAAAAAAAAGATCTGACTGAATAATCAAAGAAGAATGTTACGGGCAGGTTACGCCCCACGGAATCATCTCCCAAAAACAAAAAAAAAAAAAAAATCGCAGGACGTTATTTTCCAACGCGAGTATTTACCTTCGACGCACCTAAGGTGTCGGCGGCATTTACACCCCTCAAAATTTCTCAAAAACAAAAATAAATAAATCACAGGTGACTACAGTGTAACCACGTAACAACAGCAAAAAAAAAATTTTCTCACTCGGCATAACTATTCATTCCTCACATCTTTGTACGTTGTGTATTGTCATTTCCTGTATCCAGGTTTTGCAGCACAGCACGGTATCGTTAAAGTGGTCAATGTTGCCTTTTAAGTGAAAAATTTTCATTGATGTATGCAGATATATATATATATATACATATATATATATATATACATATATATATATAAGTATATATGTGTGTATATATATATATATCATATCAGCTTCTGTGAAGGAAAAAAAAAACAAAAAAATTTAATTAATTGCTTTCTGTAAATTTCAGTGACTTGTGATATGTAAATTTTAGTTTTTGTACAGAAATAATAATTAATAACACAGGAATATAGGCATTTCTTTTTCAAAACAAAATATATATATATAAAAGTGGGCCCGAAAAGTTGATGATAACGGCGATTTTCGAGAGAAAACGTGTACTTAAAGGAAAAACAAAACAAAAAAAAGCATGTACAGGTTTTTTAGAAAGGGTGCTGCGAAAAGTAGAGTGCATTCATCAAAATGTTTGTACAGAATATTAATGAATTGTTCGGTTTTTTTTAGTTTTTTAATTATTATTAATTTCTTTGCACATACTGCAGTCGAGTTTTGCGGTCGTAGTCTTGTGTCGTCATAAAATCCCCCCCAAAAAAGACAAAAAAAAAAGAAAAAAAAGGTTGGACGACTCGAGCCTTTCTAACTACATTGGCTATACTGCTACACTATTTGTCAGATCGAGGTTTGAAAATTTAAAAAAAAAATACGGTTTTTTCCTATCTAGTAATAATAATAATTGAGGAAAAAATTATATGTATATTATTATTATTATTATTATTTAACAAATTATATATATTTACCTTGTATAATACGCAGCATGTATGTGATCTAGTCATAATTATTGCTTTCTTTCCACATCAGTTAAGAGAGAGAGAGGAAAAAAGGAGTTTTGCATGAGAGTTTTTACATTTTTTTAGTACCTTTTTCTAAAGTGTGTCCATAATATCGAGGAAGAAGAAATATAAATAAACATTTTCTGCACCTTTGTGGATGGTAAAAAAAAATGATGATAATAATAAAAATAATGCATGAGAGAGTATTTGTTTCTAGTATTAAATATAGTTAGTTGCAGAGATTTCTTATTATGTTAACGCATTGGTCAAATCGAAAATATATCGACTGGTACGTGCCAAAAAAGAAAAATTAAATAAATAAAAATAAATTGGAGTCAGGCATTTTCCAGTTCTAGAATTCCCAGTTCCGGAATAATCGTCATCTCAGGTTCAATTCTAGATTGTGATATATGTTAGAAAAGAATTCGTGTTGTTCGAATGGAATCTTTGAGCTTTATTTTCTGTCATTTTTTTATTTTCTATTCTGTAATTATGATTTCAAATATGGGAATAGATTCCATCCTGACTAGATCCTTTCTTTGAAAAATAAAAAACAAAGCAAAAGAAAAAACAAAAACAAGAGGGAAAAATATATATATAAAAAAAAACAAATCCATTCTTACTTCTTGTTAATCCTTGAAGTACAATGTAAGTTGGTTTNTATGTTTATATATATTATATAAATATATATAACTATCTCGAATGAATTGTGTATTTGTAAGATTTAGTGGTTTGTTCGCAATAATTAGAATCATGTTATTTGCATCATCAGACGATTTAGTTAGCGGAATATTTGGTGTACGTTGCTGTTTATGAGAAATTAACCTTCCCCCAAAGCAAGCAAAAAAAAGAAAAAATAATAATAATGTGAAACATGTCATTTTTCCTGTCCAAAGTTTCAAAAAGACGAAGCGAAAAAAAACCATGAGAGAACTCTTTTCTGTGTTTATGATTTCTGTGATTTTTCCAGGCGAAAGATTAATTATTATGTTAATTTTTTACATAAAATATTTGCTGTGTTGTAACAGCAGCACCTTCGACAATTTTTTAAGTGATAGAAACGAGAAGAGGATTTTTTTTAATGCCGTCAGTATAGAGGAAAACAACAAAAAGACAAAAGAGTAAACCGACAATCGAGGATATAAAAAAAAATATATATAAAAATATATATATATATATTCAATTCACGTCCGCCAATACTTTGTCTACTAGATTTGATAAGAATATTTTTTAGATTATGTTTTAAGATATTATATATATTTTGTGATATTTGTCCTTAAGTTAGGATCTGAAGATTTCTTTCTATCAGAAGACATATCAGTTTTGTCCACGAGCCGCGAGACTACTCACAAAAAAAAAAATCAATTGTGTGAATTATAATATAATAAAGCGTGACGACTATCGGAACTGCAACATCACCCCCTTTCATTGTAATCAGATATTTTGGCCTGTCTGACAAAATTTGTACCATTTTTCTACATTGGTGTTCGAGTGTTTCGTTCGATACCACACACGCATATCTTCGGAGTATTGTAACGCAAATCGATTTTTTCCTTTAGAGAAATGATGAAGAAGAAAAAAATCATAATAATAATAAGAGTCTAAACTTCAGAATCCTGTCTTATTATTGTCTCATGTTAAAATTTTGTTATATATATATAAAAAAAAAGCATGAAACAGATGGATTGTCATATTTTGAAGTGTCTTAATTAAACTTGTTCTTAATAAACATCCTGTGTTACCTGATGATAACGCGCAACCCTTTCTCCATACACCTACACTTTAACATAACTCTCATGCATTACTCTAGGTTAGTACAGCTTTTCTGCTAGACGAGGGGGTGAAGCTTGTAGTGGAGCTATATATATATATAGCCTATATGTGTGTATATATATTCCTGATTAACACATAAACACGTAAATTGTTACGTTTTATTAATATGGAACAATTAAAAATGTCACGTTAAAGGTTGCTCGTCCGGATCGATATTCGATGAGAAATACAATATATAAAGTTGTGATTTCTGTGACGCTCGCTAGTCGTATTTATGTCGCTTACTCGATCGTAAAATAGGTAATTGTAACTAAAGCAAAGCGCACAACAGTGTTTTGATACTTAATCTATATAAACGGTGCGAATATACACATATATTGACTAGTGTCGATGTACTGAGTTAAAGTGTTTTTGTGTGTGTAAATTAATCGAAAACACCGCTTTAATTGAAAGGGGTGCTTAAATACTGTTACGATAAAAATAGAGAAGTTGCAAAAAATCGTTACTTTTTATGAATATTCGGTATCGTGGACAGTTTTGTTACTCTGGTACCACTTATAGATTCCTGCAATAGTAATAATATATCATTTTTCTCGGCCGTAATCTGGAGAAGATAAGCTACAAACGCGAATTATTCGTTCATCGTAATTACTATTAATGAAGTGCGTGCACATTGCGGTTACTGGATCCATTGTTAACGCTCGTTACGTCTTCATTAATAAAGTTAATGATAATTCTGGACAGTCGGTCTCTATCTGCGGGATATTAATGGGAAAGAAATTCCCAGAATCGTAACAATTGCTCGTTTCGTTTGGATGACCTCGGACGAATACAAATTTCGTCACTCCCATCGTTTCTCTACAGTAAAATCAATGACATTCAAAAGCCAACTGGAAAATTTAAGTCTCTGATAGACTGCTAATTGTTTCCAAGTTTTAAAATCTACCGAGAATATTCAAAAGGATAACGCGCAGAATATCCCTCTCGGTATGCAAATGAGGTGATTCGTAAGCTAATTAAGTTACGTGAAAACCGTGTGACGTTAAAGTCTGGTAACGTTGCGCGTGTTTATTACATTAAACAAGAATTAGAACTTAATTCGAATCATTCTTTATAACGTTAGTGGATCAATTTTCAGAAACTATAATTATCCAATTGCATGTCATTTCCGTGGAAAAGGGCAAGACCAAATGAAGAGAGTTTTATCTTCTGTTGAGATCCGAATCCAAATTTCTTGGTAAATTTGCTTAATATTCTCCATATAAATGTTGCGGATTTAAAATATCCACGCTGCAATATAATTGAACACGTGCTAATATATCTTACGAGTTAAGTGTTTTTCGCCGGGAAAGTTACGCAACTTTTCGCTGTTTTTTTTTTTTTAAATTTCGTTTCGGAATTCAATATTCGAAGAACAGTTAACGATTTAACTTAAATACCGTATCAAGGAGGAATAAACACCATTTTTTTCGGCGTTTAACTAATTTATAACGTGTCAAAGAAATTACACAAGTCATTGTTATTCTTTAGATCAGTGTTTTTCAACCTGTGGGTCGCGACCCCCTGGGGGGTCGCGAAGCCTTACACGGGGGTGGCGGGTAGAAGAAAAAGACAAGTGTTTGAAGGTCCTACACTACATTAAAAAAAAACTACAATTTCAGCGAGAATTACGGCCCACCCCAGAAAATGATAGCGGAAAAAGTGTTGAGCTGATTTGCAAAAAGAAATAAAAAGTAGAAAAGAAGAAGCTGAAAATTCAAATAATAAAAAAAAAAGGTCAACAGTTCCCTGTGCCTAATGTTATAATTAAAGGAAGTTTCATACTTTGTGTGTGTTAAATTATTGTCGATTCTTCTGAAATTTTCATTTTAATAAACAATAATTTGTCTCAACAGAAAGAAAATTAAATACATAGTTTTTAAAATCACTGATATAGTTTTAATATGGCCCTAGGGGGTCTCCAGAATTTTTTAATTTGTAAATGGGTCGCGTATTCAAGAAGGTTGAAAAACACTGTTTTAGATGATCTCAGAAATCCGAGCATTTACAGTTCAGTGTGTAAAACAATTTTGCATATATACCGGTATTTCTGGTGTTCAAAGAGTTACTATTAAAGATGCAAAAATGAACCAACCCAAGGGCCAACTCTATACTAAGCGGGCACTTGGTACATTATTTAGTACGGACAGATATAACGCTTTATAAAATAAAAATTTAAATATATTATTTTGTAATACTTCATGCAGCTGGGGCCGCCGGTTGCCCATCCCTGAACTAAAGCATGTGTTGTGCGTATGAAATTCAAGTTACATATATTTTCGTTGATAACAGGTGTTATCAATAAGATATTTCACATTAAAATCAATGAGTACTTTATGCAATTAATTTAATTAATAAAATTAATTGCATAAAGTGGTAGAGTTAAATAGCATACTTAAGAATGTGAATTATGTTATAATTCATTCTAAAACTAAATACACTCACCGAAATTCAGCATACAAGCGATGAACCTTTCGTCGTCTTCTCCAATCATTTGGACGCCATATTGAATTTATCACTGCATTGAAACTTGTTAAATAATTGCATGCATATATGTAAGGTAAGCGTGCTACAGTCTTATAGAATTGTCAATATTTGAAGTATAAGCGAGAATTTAATTAATTAATTGATAGATTTATCGTCTGCGTTTTCGCGCCCACGACGCCATCTTGAATTTCTCATGACGTTGGTGATTTGTTTTTTCTAGAACAATCGCTTTACCGAGCGCTTACAAACACAATTTTAATTTGCTCACTTTTCCAGAAGTCGAAATATTTAATAGAATGTCCATAATAAACATTAAAATGCCTTTAACGAAACTTTTCTCCGTGTTGTCGTCTGCTTCTCTTATTACGACGCCATCTTGGATTCGTCATTTTTAATTCTGCATCGTTTATGCAACAGGTAACTCGCTCTTTGGCATTCAGAAGTCGAAGTATTTAATCTTATTTCATTTATAAGACTTAAAATTAGATCCAGAGGACTTTGTTTTGACTTAATTCTTTACTTACATCGGTGTGGCTTTTTCTGGTCGTCTGCTTTCGACGTCGAGCGCCATCTTCCACATTTAACATAAAAAATAATAATAATAATAAATTTTGTATTTATAAAGTGATTATTAATTGCGATCGTAATTTGCGAAAAATATATTTCTCGCGGAATAAAAAAATTATAAAATAATTTCATTATTATAATTCGAAGTTTGAGAATCATCGATGCGCTTCGTAGGTAAGTGAACGTATTAAAATGGCGGCAATTCAAGGTTCTTATAAATTCTAGCTGTGTAAATTACATCTTAACATGGTGCCAGAGTTATTTGTTTACAATTAAATTATTCGACTTTGTAATATTACGACAATTACTATTGGTTTAACACGCTTGAGTCGTGTTGACCCAAACGTGACGTTTCTTATTGGTGGTGACAAAAATCTCCAACCAATAAGAACATTGGAGACGAGAAAACCATTTTATAAAACGTGTCCTCATTGGTCGAATTAAATTCAAATTACCGGAGTGGTTCAATCCAAGTATATTATAGCGCAAGCTATTAATTCTACAAATATATGGCCTCATTTTCGCCATTTTAACTAGTTTAATTCTAAATAAAGCTGGCATATGTGTACGCGCGAGGGAAAAAGTCACTAACTGCGCTTGAAAATAACAATTATAAACCGGAATCGAACCCGTAATCATCTTGTAAACGGGATTAACATTCCGATTAGGACGACGAAAAATAATTATATTTGTGTTTTTACAGATTAATTTTATTTCGTATCTAATTTACTTACAAAGAAAATATAAAAAGAGTAGTAGTTATACGAATAACAATTAAAAAAAAGAAAGAAACGTGACTGCGTAACAATACAGTAATGGTGTTTATTTGACGGAGAAGGAGTCGGAGTTGATTCTCCAAAATGTTCTGAAATTCTGAAGGATGGTTGCTCTGTAAAAGAGGTATTAAAACTTGTCAGAATTTTCTTACGTGCTACTAAATCGGGGGGTTGTTTCGAAGCGGCGACGTTTACTCACCCTACATATAAATTGACTGGTCCTTTCAAGGAGCTAGGAACCTCCCAGGTGACTTTCAAATCTCTCTTTTCGTCTTTTCCGTTTTGGGTTATGGAGTCCTGAAATGATTTTTGACATTTAGAAAATGGTTACTGCGCGAATAAACTTTTTACAATGACGTTTTCTTACCTTGTCTGCGTCACACTTGACGGGGTGTGCTCCGTCTGTGGATCTAAACTGTCCACTGACTGGTTTATTTGACTGGCTGTCGAATACCCTCAAGAAGAATCCTTGGAAGGAATCTTCGCCCTTTATGGTAACTAAGATTGGGGTATTGTTTTTTTGGTTACTTAAGTGTCTATCACTTTTGTCTAGCAGCAAAGGGTGTTACTTACAATTGACTAATCCTCCTGGTTGTGCGTTCTTGGGGGAGATCTCTATTCTGTATGGTGAGTTGGATCTCTGAGCTTCGTAATGGTTTTCTAACTTTTCGTTCTTCTCGTTTCTCACCTTGTGACGTGGTAGGAGATCAACACAGGCCGTCGAAGGTGCACCAGATGGGTACCCTTCGCACCATGCGACCAACGACAGCAACACGGCAGCAAACACAGCCTTCATTTTTTGATATCTGCTGAACAAATGGAAGGAATTCAGAACGTATCTAGACAATTCGGTGTAACCGGGCGGAAGCGATAAATTTTGCAACGCTTTATTTTTAAAATTATAAATCCGCTTAGGGGCTCAATAACGGAAACTAGGTTGCTTATGACTCAAGACTGTAATAACGTATTATCGAGGGAAAACTCGTTTTAACGTTTCCTATTCGCCCCCAATCGATTAAGCTGGTATTTTTATGTGTCTTAATTATTGTTTACACTTGATAAACAATGAAATTTGTCAAACTTACTGTTACGGTCGTACAAACTAGTGTTTAAGATCCAGTTTGACTCGATTTTATGATGTAAAATTCACTTTTCCGGAGGCATTGCATACTCGACGACCCCGTTATCGGAGGTTTACACGGGAGAACAGGATCCGAATTCACCTTGGCTGTAACAATTAGCCTATTTTCTCGGGTTGGCTAAAAATAAATGTACAGAAAAAAAAAGAACAGTCCTTCGCTCTTTTTGAGTATCTCGATACAACGCTGAAGGGTCGAGTGAACACGAAAGAAAATGACGAATCAGGATGTCAACACTTCCTTTGTTATTGTGGCGTTGAAATAAAAAGGGTTAATGTTACACAAAGATGCGACTGAATCTGGAATAAAAAGCCCATTACGAATTACTTCCTTTTGTCTGTTACCGTATTCATAGTCATTATATCGAGGCATACTCTATATTGACAACGCCCTGTTATACTTAATCCCGAAATGATGGGGTTGTTGCTATATCCTACACAAGTATAGTGAAGCGCCCAATGCGGGTTACATTCTGGGCGTTGTGACGATTCGGCCACGTGACATTTGTGGTCCCTATTGATCTTTTGCATTTGAGTGAAGGGTTTTGAGTACTCGAGGGTCACTTTCATCCTTCTTGCACCCTTTATAACGTTAGGCGTCGGTTCGAAAGATATGCAAAAACGGGAAGGACGAGTTCAAAAATAGTTCGTTTAAAAACGGGTTCGTGAAGAAAAAGTTGTTTAATCAACTTTTCAAAGAGGTTTTTGATCTTTTGTTAACACAAAGAAAAGAATTTAAGGAGTCGAACTTTGTTAAAAACGCTCTCCACCGCGCCTTACGCCGGACAATTTCTACAGTTCTTACAATGCGTAACGCGCGACGAGCTGCAAACGCGACGCGTAAAAGTGGCGAATTCTTTTTACGTTGCATCGCGTCACGTCACGTTCGCGACAATAAAGTTATTAATTTAAAAAAGCGACGCTTCCCGTAACCGTAACCAAAGTGGGGGGGAAAGAAGGTATAAAAAAATCGCGCGGGGAAACGCGAAACGACTTACCTGCGAAGCTTTACACCCCACCAACTGGTTACGCGGGTGGTGGTTACTCAGTTAAACGACTGGGAAATCACGTGACCGGCTGGAAACTCGCTTCGCTATTGGACATTGGAGACACTAGAAAAAGTCACTCGGCACCTTTTATTTTGTTTTACATTTTGAGTGAACGGGTGATCGGCCGTTTAGATCATATCGTGACAGAAAATGGGTGTCGAGGCGTAGAACACTTGAGTTTTCTGTCGTTACGCCGGGTTACCTTCCTTAAATTTTACACTAAATGCAAAGTTTTCTTAATAGAGAAGCGTCACCGAAGGACCGCGTTTAATTTCTGGCTTTATTGTGACGTTACGCTTGACGTAACAGACTTCGATCGCTTTTACGTGTTCGAATTTATCTTTCGGAATTCATTTTATCCAGCTGAGGGTCAATAAAATTAACTGTTAAAGCTGATTTTCCAGCAATATTTCCGGAGGATTTGCGTGCTCCGCAACCGAATATCTTCAGTCTAATGGGTTCATTTTTATGTAAATTCGCTCAAACCACGTGATTATAAATCTTAACTATTTCCGCATCCCTCCCTCCTGAAGATCCCACTGAAAATTCGTTAGGAACCTCGCTCCTAACGAGCGAAACCACCACGTGACGCGAATTTAGCAACGTAATTAATTGTTCTTTTGCCCCCGAGGGTGAGATGCAATTAATAGGCGCCATTTTGTCGTCACCGAAACACATTAAACGTGCGCGTGACTGGTTCCTTAACATATTTACTCAGTCCTCGAGTTTCCTGCTGTACACTTTTTTTTTTTTTTAATTTTGTAAATGATCCTAAAAGATGTCAAGGATGCTTGATTTGCATTTAATTGCCTTATCTGTAGGATCTGCAGTGACTAGGCATTTTTTTTTATTTCCTTGTGTTTCTTTTCACAATGGACGGTGCGTGAAGGAGGTACAGTAAATTCCCTAAGGGAAGCGTCTGATCGCGCGTGTCGATGCGTCGAAACGGAAGTTACGCGTGATTGCGCGTCGCGTTAAAGATTTATTTAGCGCCCGGTTTTAATACAATAATAAACTACTCTGTCTTATTATAGCTATTTATAAACACGTAAACCAGTTTTGTTTGTGTTAAGTGGCGCGAAAATCGTATAACTCGAGTAGCGCCTTCGGGCAATATGGCGGATGGATGATGGTTCGTTAAAGGCTCGAATAAGATGGCGGTGAAAAGACGGTGCGTATAGCTTACGTGTTACAAAATAATCTTATTAAATTTTATTTATTAATTAAATTGCTTATGAAATAAATTTTAATATGTAAATTTCTTATTTAATAACAAATTTAAAGAATTTTATTACGTTTTTAATTAGCAAAATAGATTCAAAAACGAGTTGGCGCATTTTAAGCAATATGGCGTCGGAAAGACGATTCGTTAATCCATATTTACTTTATTTCTAGGAAATTCTATATAAATATAATGTTAATAATAATTTAAACGGAAAATTTACTTTTTCCCCTCTTTCTTTATAAATAATATGATTTTCTCAGACGAATTTTTTTTATTCAGAAGAAATTATAAATATACCTAGAGACCGACCTCGAGAAGAACAATGTAATAACACCTGGAGTGAAGGAAGAGCCAATAAACGGGATTTCGAGGACGAATATAAACCTAAATTAACAAAATTACGGGGAATTGTCCCTATTTTATGTGACTGTTTGATCAGCTTTATTGATTTCTTCGAAAACATACAGATAAACTAGGCAAAACGTGACGAAACCCTTTATTAAAAGTGAAAAGTATTTTTACTTTTACTAAAATGTTATTGTTACCGATACACAGAGTTGCCTAAAAATCTTTTAACCATGTTTTGTGAACACTCGGACTTTGCTAAGGCAAAGCAAACCTGGGTAATATGAATGACAAGAGGGGGTGCCTCCCGGGAGGATTTTCTTTAGAGTAAACCATATTTAGGTGTTAGACATGTGAAGAAATGCATGGCCAGTCGATTGGCCAGGGTTGACTGGCTAAACCCGTCACCGATGCTCCGTGTTTTAGCCAGGTGGGCACGCGCTCAAGGTAGGCTCGTGAACACGAGTCATAAGCTGAATTTATTAGTGGCATAATTACTGTATTGAAGGAAACACTCGGTTGAAATAACTTATTTGAATAAGACAGAAGTTTATTCTTTACAATAGTTAACTGACTTTTGGGCTCCATACTCCATAGCAACAAGTCTGGCCTCCTCCTCCCTCAGCTCATATACACTATCTCGTACTTGTCTCTTTAAGAGTGCTCGCAGTCATTGGTGTCTAAGGGTAATTTGGAGTATAAACCTTTCACGGTGGAAAGTACCACAGAAGCCCCATAATTTTCTTTTGGTGTTCCTCGCATATTTGTTATAATCTTTCAGGGAGTTCTTAAAAGCCTCCTATTCACCTGTTAGCTTCCTTACTACCTTCCTATGCTCTGCAAGTTAACCAAGAACAATTGTTCCTGTGCTCTCTTGCTAGCTATGGGCAGTTATGATGACAGACTATGCGTGAGGACTTCTTGGAGAGTTGCTCATCCGATTCCATCCTGGGTCCCCAGAGCGGCAAGGTGAGGCCATCCGGTTTTTCTACTTATCCTGACTATTGAACATTTTTGCATAGGGGCCTTAAAATTGGAGTTATCCCATTAAAGATTGCTTCATTTCTTTCAATACGAGATCACCAGTGACCGAGTGGATAACACCAGTGAACAGGTCACAGGTTCGCGCCTGACCAACGAGTTGACAGCGTGGAGTTTTCCAGGTTTCTTCAAGTGTCTCACACCTATGTAGCGGTCAGTTTCCCATAGAAAGTCGTCAAGGGAGACATTTCCTCTTGGAAGATCTCCCACGTGTTGCGTTGCCATATTCCATCAAACCGAAACCAAACCCTACAATATTGTATTCTTATATGTATGTTGCTGTTGTATTTTTTGCATATAGGTATACTGGTTAATTTAAAGTTTATTATGAACTATCACTTGTTACAAATCAGCAACATGCTGAGCAGCAGGAAACCTTGTACATTGTTTCTGATGACGTATACATTAATTAATTACTGTAAATACAAATTTATTATTAACATTTTTCCATATAATATTTTCAGTGCCCAAGTATAGCGCGTTGTGTACCCTATCAGAAAAGTTCTTATAGTCAGCTTTTAGTTTGAAGTTTGCATCATCACGAATTCTATTTATTACAAAAGTTGCGTTTGATTTTTTTTATTTTCAAAAATAAGGGTGCATCTCGCTTTCCAGATGACCTCTTGGTCAAAGCAGTAAACTAATTAATTAAGTAATTATTTTTTAACAGGGAAATTAGAGTGGAACTTTACGTTTTGCCAGGAGATACATATATTAAAAATTTTGTCTACCCAGTGCCAAGTTTGCTCAGCGATGTGGCACTCAAAAAATATGTGATAGATATTTTGATTGTGATCACACCGAGGACAACGAGCAGTACTTACACGCTGGTAGGTGTGAAGATACTCCTCCCTAGTCATCACGATGTTGTTCAAAATTTTCCACGGAGGCTCCCAGCATTTACCCAGGTCTCATATAGGGAGCCTCCCAGCATTTACCCAGGTCTCAAACAGGGAGCCTCCCAGCATTCACCCAGGTCTCATACAGGAAGCCTCCCAGCATTTACCCAGGTCTCATTGCAATTGATCGTAGTATCCATTAGATTTTTGTTGATACTTTGCTTACGAATGTTCATGTAGACGGTACTGGACCTTAATTTATTACCGATTTGCTCATTATTAATTATGGTAGTAACAATTTCTCTCCATTTTATATATTTACTGCAGTTGTCGAGAAGAAAGGGGAGATTATCATCATTCTTAGTAATACGTTTAACAATAGGACCTAATATATAATGAGCGATGAGAGCAAGAGGATGGTTCTGATTTTTTATAGCATTAACCATATTAGCAGTAGCTAAATGATTTTTTATAGCATTAACCATGTTGACAGTACTGATGTTCATGATATCACATGTAATGTTGCCGTTAATATTAAGCAATTTACTTTTATTTTCATTGATTCTCATACCGGGTATACTGCCCCAGACACTACTTTTATAAAAAGTCAAACTCTGTCATAATTAAATAAATGAAATAAAAAAGAAAGTTAGTTCATCTTCCGAAGCAATAAAGATTTAAATAACGTAATTGTGTGGATGGTGGGAAGGAAGAGGCAATCAACCTCCCACTCTGGGGTGACCCGGAATGTAGTCATGATGAGCAGGCCCAAGAATTTTTCGGGGTGGTGTGTTTCGAATATGTCGGGCCCTGTCTCCAATTATTCGGCCACCTTAGCGTAAGCCTGGCTGAACCCACTGTGGGCTTGATAAAAAGTACAATGAGATCTGGGTAAATGCTGGGAGGCTCTTTGTATAGTGTCTGTAGTGCTAGAAAAATAAAAAATGCTCTTTTCCTCACCTTTTATGATTGAAACTCTACTGTTTTTAGGCTATATCTTTACAGATATTAATTATAATTATAATTTTTACAGTAATACAGACAAGTAGACAAATACATAAAATAATTTGATAATATACACAATATACATACATAATATAGAGACATACGTAAAAGAATTAAACTGTAAAGTAAAATTTCGCATTGTTTCAATTTTTGATGCATTACTTTAAGCCAAAGAAAGCATGTGTTTGTAGGTTGCATAAAAATATACATTTATCATAGGCCTATGTACTGTACATAGTGCCACCTCATATTTTATCAGACTTCGCTAAAAGCCATAAGTTCTTCTCATTGATACAAAGAATAACAATGCGATGGTAATAAATAATTTCAATATCATAACAAAAGAGCAATTTTCCAAGGAGCATCGTTACAATTTAAATGAACCTTTAGTACTTTGTAGGACCTTCTTGCCTAGATACAAGCAATAATACAGTAGGGCATGGCGACATACTGGTACTGTATCCTGCAACTGTTGATCCTGATTCCTCATACTCGTAGATGTTTGAAGTTGGCATTCCATCTGGTTTCATAAATGCTCGATGAGCATGCAAACCCATCGAGCGTTTGTGAGATGGAGCAATCTAAAACCGGGCATGCAAATAAAGTGTGGCAATGTTATGGATGCATTCCTGAGAAACCTTAGCTGTGTGTTGCCTGTATTATCTTTCTAGAAAATGACTGTTTGTAGCCTTGCCATAATAGGCAAAAGACTGAGCAGCGTGATTTCCTAAGCGTACCGCTGTGTCGTCAAGTCCCTCGTACCACTATTAGGGATGACCGATTGTCATTAGATTTGCCGACTTTCAGAGTAACAAATTCTGTAAAAAACACCAATTTAAAAATAGTGATGAGTGAAGAAAGCCTCCCTTCTAAATCCTGGTGGTCAATGCAGTTAAGGTTTCATTCTATCGCTCTGGATGACCCGAGATCGAATCAACTGCCAATGATATAAGACAACGCAATACATGGGTAATCTGCCGAGGGAAATGCCTCCTGGGAAGACTTTTATGGACAACTGGCCCTATTTAGGTATTACTAACATGAAGAAAATATAGAAAACTATACGTGGCTAGTCCGTTGGGCAGGCTCTAACCCACGACCAACTCCCAGTGTTTAGTAATTTTATTCGCTTTGTCACTAGTGGACCGTTTCACTCATACTATGAAATATGTTGTTAAGCATAATTTAGTATTTTTCTCATTTCTTGTTTCTTTCCTTCCATACATGTCCTTCATGCAATTAATAGCTGAGTCTTTTTTACATTTCTTCTATAGAAATTAATAATTACACTACATCTATTCACGGAATTTCGTATTACAGTTGTGAGTATTTTATGAAGATAAAAACACCAATTTTTCACATGTGTAAGTTAGAGATTTTTCACACTTTCACACATGGAAACAGCATGGTCTGGACAGTAAGATTACTTGACACCAAATGAACTCAGCAGAAGAAGAATGATCGTTGTGACTGTTAAATAAATTCAAACAAATAATATAAATTCCGAGTTTCAGTGCCTTCACTGAAACTTAAATTTATATTGAAGTCGCAAAAATCTTAAAATTTTGGAGTGCATATGAAGAGACTAATGAAACCCTACAGAATCTCTGAGATCCCCGATTGCAGTCGGTAGGTTAAGTCTACTTTCTTCCATTATACTGTTTCTATAAACAATTCAACAGTGGCGTGTCGTGACATTTGATGACAGGGAAGCTGTGTTTCTGTAAGAAGCCGACATCCAGGGGCAATCAGTCAATCGCGTGTCAGTGATGGTCAAAAGAAAATTATAATTAAATAGAGCTTCGTAAAGACAGTTGCTTCCATTATTTTCGTATAATTAAAATTAATACGTATTTATTTTTTAGAAAATACAAGGAAAGCGGCGCATCCACCGCTTCCAATGACGGCAAGCCACTGCAATTCAACAAGCAATAATATAGGTCTAAATGACAAATCAAATTCAGGCAATCAAATATGGCGGATCTCGAAAGCATTCGACGCTTTTTAGACGAATTCAACTTCATACACGCTAGCAATTCGAATATTACAGAAAAAGTACCGAATATATGACGAATACAATCAATTTTTCGTAAATATTTCGTTAATTTATTTAGAAATCCCACAGTTTAATGCACGTTTGCCAACGCGATTGCAACTCAATAGCGATTCACACGGCGATCGAATCAATTTAAATTTAAATTTTAAATTCAATTTCAACCAATGAGAAGCAAGAAACCAGTTGTAGCAGACGTCATTGGAATGTTTGATCAAAAGTTAAATAAAAACGACGATAAAAGTTTTAAAATGTAATTTATTATTTTATCCTCAGTTAAATCATTAAACAATATGCTATTTAAATAATTATTTAAACGAAAATTAATTAAAATTATTTAATAATTCTTTCACATAAGTCCACTTCCGGCAGTTTGGAGGGAGCAACGAAATTTCGCGGAAGAGTTCAGGTATTTAGTTTTAATTTTTCGATTTATAACTTTATTTTCGGTTAATTTAATACTTTATTTACGTAAATTTGATCCAAACGGATTATAAAAATCGAATTTATACAAAATATTCGCTCGGAGAGCTTGAAAATTCCGAATTTTACTCGAAAACTCCGGGTAAGTAGTAGCACGGGTAGAAGTTACTTTTAGTCAAATGGTGTATTTATACGCTTTACTGCAATTAACTAAAAGTAACTTGTACCGTATTGACTTTGAAGTTTAATTATACCTCGATTGTTGCTACATCAAGTAATCTATAATTAGAGCTATTGTAATTGCTGCATCATCCCAAGATGAATGATGCTGCTGATGTTCTTTAAGTACAATAACTGTGTTTAAAGAATATTAACAATATTACATTATAAGGGTAATGACCGACAGAACTGTGATTAGAGATGATGCAGAATTGGCAGATGTTATATAATCCCGTCCGGTGTAGAAACCATAGCTATGGGAGCTGAGATCCTGGTTTAATTGGTACTACCCGCGTGCATTACGTATAATATATACTTTTGCTTTTGTCGTGTAAACCGGGGCTGCTGTTACTTATATGCAACTGGAGATAATAGGTCTAGTGTACGCTGGAAAAGAATAATACCTGTCGCTTTTTTCGGCTTCCCCTCGTTTATAAATTTAGTCCTTGATAATATATTCCTGTGGCTAAGGGAGTACACAGCACTTGGATGTTCCTGTTGATTTCATTAAGAGAGAGTGGCAATGGGTAAGGCTGTCAAATCACTCAAAACTAGAATCTCCCATAGAAAGTAGGACTAATATTAAAGNGACAGAAATTTATCTATTAAATTGATATTTTAATCATTAAATCAATTAAATTTTTATTAATCCGAACCTAAAAGTTAAAAGTTTTAATAACTTTATTCATTTAAAATAAAATTAAAATGATAAAATTGAAAGACAGGAGAGGAGATTAAAAACAGAAAAATGAAAGAGTGGCGTAATTTGCGAAAAATATATTTCTCGCGGAATAAAAAAATTATAAAATAATTTCATTATTATAATTCGAAGTTTGAGAATCATCGATGCGCTTCGTAGGTAAGTGAACGTATTAAAATGGCGGCAATTCAAGGTTCTTATAAATTCTAGCTGTGTAAATTACATCTTAACATGGTGCCAGAGTTATTTGTTTACAATTAAATTATTCGACTTTGTAATATTACGACAATTACTATTGGTTTAACACGCTTGAGTCGTGTTGACCCAAACGTGACGTTTCTTATTGGTGGTGACAAAAATCTCCAACCAATAAGAACATTGGAGACGAGAAAACCATTTTATAAAACGTGTCCTCATTGGTCGAATTAAATTCAAATTACCGGAGTGGTTCAATCCAAGTATATTATAGCGCAAGCTATTCATTCTACAAATATATGGCCTCATTTTCGCCATTTTAACTAGTTTAATTCTAAATAAAGCTGGCATATGTGTACGCGCGAGGGAAAAAGTCACTAACTGCGCTTGAAAATAACAATTACAAACCGGAATCGAACCCGGAATCATCTTGTAAACGGGATTAACATTCCGATTAGGACGACGAAAAATAATTATATTTGTGTTTTTACAGATTAATTTTATTTCGTATCTAATTTACTTACAAAGAAAATATAAAAAGAGTAGTAGTTATACGAATAACAATTAAAAAAAAAGAAAGAAACGTGACTGCGTAACAATACAGTAATGGTGTTTATTTGACGGAGAAGGAGTCGGAGTTGATTCTCCAAAATGTTCTGAAATTCTGAAGGATGGTTGCTCTGTAAAAGAGGTATTAAAACTTGTCAGAATTTTCTTACGTGCTACTAAATCGGGGGGTTGTTTCGAAGCGGCGACGTTTACTCACCCTACATATAAATTGACTGGTCCTTTCAAGGAGCTAGGAACCTCCCAGGTGACTTTCAAATCTCTCTTTTCGTCTTTTCCGTTTTGGGTTATGGAGTCCTGAAATGATTTTTGACATTTAGAAAATGGTTACTGCGCGAATAAACTTTTTACAATGACGTTTTCTTACCTTGTCTGCGTCACACTTGACGGGGTGTGCTCCGTCTGTGGATCTAAACTGTCCACTGACTGGTTTATTTGACTGGCTGTCGAATACCCTCAAGAAGAATCCTTGGAAGGAATCTTCGCCCTTTATGGTAACTAAGATTGGGGTATTGTTTTTTTGGTTACTTAAGTGTCTATCACTTTTGTCTAGCAGCAAAGGGTGTTACTTACAATTGACTAATCCTCCTGGTTGTGCGTTCTTGGGGGAGATCTCTATTCTGTATGGTGAGTTGGATCTCTGAGCTTCGTAATGGTTTTCTAACTTTTCGTTCTTCTCGTTTCTCACCTTGTGACGTGGTAGGAGATCAACACAGGCCGTCGAAGGTGCACCAGATGGGTACCCTTCGCACCATGCGACCAACGACAGCAACACGGCAGCAAACACAGCCTTCATTTTTTGATATCTGCTGAACAAATGGAAGGAATTCAGAACGTATCTAGACAATTCGGTGTAACCGGGCGGAAGCGATAAATTTTGCAACGCTTTATTTTTAAAATTATAAATCCGCTTAGGGGCTCAATAACGGAAACTAGGTTGCTTATGACTCAAGACTGTAATAACGTATTATCGAGGGAAAACTCGTTTTAACGTTTCCTATTCGCCCCCAATCGATTAAGCTGGTATTTTTATGTGTCTTAATTATTGTTTACACTTGATAAACAATGAAATTTGTCAAACTTACTGTTACGGTCGTACAAACTAGTGTTTAAGATCCAGTTTGACTCGATTTTATGATGTAAAATTCACTTTTCCGGAGGCATTGCATACTCGACGACCCCGTTATCGGAGGTTTACACGGGAGAACAGGATCCGAATTCACCTTGGCTGTAACAATTAGCCTATTTTCTCGGGTTGGCTAAAAATAAATGTACAGAAAAAAAAAGAACAGTCCTTCGCTCTTTTTGAGTATCTCGATACAACGCTGAAGGGTCGAGTGAACACGAAAGAAAATGACGAATCAGGATGTCAACACTTCCTTTGTTATTGTGGCGTTGAAATAAAAAGGGTTAATGTTACACAAAGATGCGACTGAATCTGGAATAAAAAGCCCATTACGAATTACTTCCTTTTGTCTGTTACCGTATTCATAGTCATTATATCGAGGCATACTCTATATTGACAACGCCCTGTTATACTTAATCCCGAAATGATGGGGTTGTTGCTATATCCTACACAAGTATAGTGAAGCGCCCAATGCGGGTTACATTCTGGGCGTTGTGACGATTCGGCCACGTGACATTTGTGGTCCCTATTGATCTTTTGCATTTGAGTGAAGGGTTTTGAGTACTCGAGGGTCACTTTCATCCTTCTTGCACCCTTTATAACGTTAGGCGTCGGTTCGAAAGATATGCAAAAACGGGAAGGACGAGTTCAAAAATAGTTCGTTTAAAAACGGGTTCGTGAAGAAAAAGTTGTTTAATCAACTTTTCAAAGAGGTTTTTGATCTTTTGTTAACACAAAGAAAAGAATTTAAGGAGTCGAACTTTGTTAAAAACGCTCTCCACCGCGCCTTACGCCGGACAATTTCAACAGTTCTTACAATGCGTAACGCGCGACGAGCTGCAAACGCGACGCGTAAAAGTGGCGAATTCTTTTTACGTTGCATCGCGTCACGTCACGTTCGCGACAATAAAGTTATTAATTTAAAAAAGCGACGCTTCCCGTAACCGTAACCAAAGTGGGGGGGAAAGAAGGTATAAAAAAATCGCGCGGGGAAACGCGAAACGACTTACCTGCGAAGCTTTACACCCCACCAACTGGTTACGCGGGTGGTGGTTACTCAGTTAAACGACTGGGAAATCACGTGACCGGCTGGAAACTCGCTTCGCTATTGGACATTGGAGACACTAGAAAAAGTCACTCGGCACCTTTTATTTTGTTTTACATTTCGAGTGAACGGGTGATCGGCCGTTTAGATCATATCGTGACAGAAAATGGGTGTCGAGGCGTAGAACACTTGAGTTTTCTGTCGTTACGCCGGGTTACCTTCCTTAAATTTTACACTAAATGCAAAGTTTTCTTAATAGAGAAGCGTCACCGAAGGACCGCGTTTAATTTCTGGCTTTATTGTGACGTTACGCTTGACGTAACAGACTTCGATCGCTTTTACGTGTTCGAATTTATCTTTCGGAATTCATTTTATCCAGCTGAGGGTCAATAAAATTAACTGTTAAAGCTGATTTTCCAGCAATATTTCCGGAGGATTTGCGTGCTCCGCAACCGAATATCTTCTGTCTAATGGGTTCATTTTTATGTAAATTCGCTCAAACCACGTGATTATAAATCTTAACTATTTCCGCATCCCTCCCTCCTGAAGATCCCACTGAAAATTCGTTAGGAACCTCGCTCCTAACGAGCGAAACCACCACGTGACGCGAATTTAGCAACGTAATTAATTGTTCTTTTGCCCCCGAGGGTGAGATGCAATTAATAGGCGCCATTTTGTCGTCACCGAAACACATTAAACGTGCGCGTGACTGGTTCCTTAACATATTTACTCAGTCCTCGAGTTTCCTGCTGTACACTTTTTTTTTTTTTTAATTTTGTAAATGATCCTAAAAGATGTCAAGGATGCTTGATTTGCATTTAATTGCCTTATCTGTAGGATCTGCAGTGACTAGGCATTTTTTTTTATTTCCTTGTGTTTCTTTTCACAATGGACGGTGCGTGAAGGAGGTACAGTAAATTCCCTAAGGGAAGCGTCTGATCGCGCGTGTCGATGCGTCGAAACGGAAGTTACGCGTGATTGCGCGTCGCGTTAAAGATTTATTTAGCGCCCGGTTTTAATACAATAATAAACTACTCTGTCTTATTATAGCTATTTATAAACACGTAAACCAGTTTTGTTTGTGTTAAGTGGCGCGAAAATCGTATAACTCGAGTAGCGCCTTCGGGCAATATGGCGGATGGATGATGGTTCGTTAAAGGCTCGAATAAGATGGCGGTGAAAAGACGGTGCGTATAGCTTACGTGTTACAAAATAATCTTATTAAATTTTATTTATTAATTAAATTGCTTATGAAATAAATTTTAATATGTAAATTTCTTATTTAATAACAAATTTAAAGAATTTTATTACGTTTTTAATTAGCAAAATAGATTCAAAAACGAGTTGGCGCATTTTAAGCAATATGGCGTCGGAAAGACGATTCGTTAATCCATATTTACTTTATTTCTAGGAAATTCTATATAAATATAATGTTAATAATAATTTAAACGGAAAATTTACTTTTTCCCCTCTTTCTTTATAAATAATATGATTTTCTCAGACGAATTTTTTTTATTCAGAAGAAATTATAAATATACCTAGAGACCGACCTCGAGAAGAACAATGTAATAACACCTGGAGTGAAGGAAGAGCCAATAAACGGGATTTCGAGGACGAATATAAACCTAAATTAACAAAATTACGGGGAATTGTCCCTATTTTATGTGACTGTTTGATCAGCTTTATTGATTTCTTCGAAAACATACAGATAAACTAGGCAAAACGTGACGAAACCCTTTATTAAAAGTGAAAAGTATTTTTACTTTTACTAAAATGTTATTGTTACCGATACACAGAGTTGCCTAAAAATCTTTTAACCATGTTTTGTGAACACTCGGACTTTGCTAAGGCAAAGCAAACCTGGGTAATATGAATGACAAGAGGGGGTGCCTCCCGGGAGGATTTTCTTTAGAGTAAACCATATTTAGGTGTTAGACATGTGAAGAAATGCATGGCCAGTCGATTGGCCAGGGTTGACTGGCTAAACCCGTCACCGATGCTCCGTGTTTTAGCCAGGTGGGCACGCGCTCAAGGTAGGCTCGTGAACACGAGTCATAAGCTGAATTTATTAGTGGCATAATTACTGTATTGAAGGAAACACTCGGTTGAAATAACTTATTTGAATAAGACAGAAGTTTATTCTTTACAATAGTTAACTGACTTTTGGGCTCCATACTCCATAGCAACAAGTCTGGCCTCCTCCTCCCTCAGCTCATATACACTATCTCGTACTTGTCTCTTTAAGAGTGCTCGCAGTCATTGGTGTCTAAGGGTAATTTGGAGTATAAACCTTTCACGGTGGAAAGTACCACAGAAGCCCCATAATTTTCTTTTGGTGTTCCTCGCATATTTGTTATAATCTTTCAGGGAGTTCTTAAAAGCCTCCTATTCACCTGTTAGCTTCCTTACTACCTTCCTATGCTCTGCAAGTTAACCAAGAACAATTGTTCCTGTGCTCTCTTGCTAGCTATGGGCAGTTATGATGACAGACTATGCGTGAGGACTTCTTGGAGAGTTGCTCATCCGATTCCATCCTGGGTCCCCAGAGCGGCAAGGTGAGGCCATCCGGTTTTTCTACTTATCCTGACTATTGAACATTTTTGCATAGGGGCCTTAAAATTGGAGTTATCCCATTAAAGATTGCTTCATTTCTTTCAATACGAGATCACCAGTGACCGAGTGGATAACACCAGTGAACAGGTCACAGGTTCGCGCCTGACCAACGAGTTGACAGCGTGGAGTTTTCCAGGTTTCTTCAAGTGTCTCACACCTATGTAGCGGTCAGTTTCCCATAGAAAGTCGTCAAGGGAGACATTTCCTCTTGGAAGATCTCCCACGTGTTGCGTTGCCATATTCCATCAAACCGAAACCAAACCCTACAATATTGTATTCTTATATGTATGTTGCTGTTGTATTTTTTGCATATAGGTATACTGGTTAATTTAAAGTTTATTATGAACTATCACTTGTTACAAATCAGCAACATGCTGAGCAGCAGGAAACCTTGTACATTGTTTCTGATGACGTATACATTAATTAATTACTGTAAATACAAATTTATTATTAACATTTTTCCATATAATATTTTCAGTGCCCAAGTATAGCGCGTTGTGTACCCTATCAGAAAAGTTCTTATAGTCAGCTTTTAGTTTGAAGTTTGCATCATCACGAATTCTATTTATTACAAAAGTTGCGTTTGATTTTTTTTATTTTCAAAAATAAGGGTGCATCTCGCTTTCCAGATGACCTCTTGGTCAAAGCAGTAAACTAATTAATTAAGTAATTATTTTTTAACAGGGAAATTAGAGTGGAACTTTACGTTTTGCCAGGAGATACATATATTAAAAATTTTGTCTACCCAGTGCCAAGTTTGCTCAGCGATGTGGCACTCAAAAAATATGTGATAGATATTTTGATTGTGATCACACCGAGGACAACGAGCAGTACTTACACGCTGGTAGGTGTGAAGATACTCCTCCCTAGTCATCACGATGTTGTTCAAAATTTTCCACGGAGGCTCCCAGCATTTACCCAGGTCTCATATAGGGAGCCTCCCAGCATTTACCCAGGTCTCAAACAGGGAGCCTCCCAGCATTCACCCAGGTCTCATACAGGAAGCCTCCCAGCATTTACCCAGGTCTCATTGCAATTGATCGTAGTATCCATTAGATTTTTGTTGATACTTTGCTTACGAATGTTCATGTAGACGGTACTGGACCTTAATTTATTACCGATTTGCTCATTATTAATTATGGTAGTAACAATTTCTCTCCATTTTATATATTTACTGCAGTTGTCGAGAAGAAAGGGGAGATTATCATCATTCTTAGTAATACGTTTAACAATAGGACCTAATATATAATGAGCGATGAGAGCAAGAGGATGGTTCTGATTTTTTATAGCATTAACCATATTAGCAGTAGCTAAATGATTTTTTATAGCATTAACCATGTTGACAGTACTGATGTTCATGATATCACATGTAATGTTGCCGTTAATATTAAGCAATTTACTTTTATTTTCATTGATTCTCATACCGGGTATACTGCCCCAGACACTACTTTTATAAAAAGTCAAACTCTGTCATAATTAAATAAATGAAATAAAAAAGAAAGTTAGTTCATCTTCCGAAGCAATAAAGATTTAAATAACGTAATTGTGTGGATGGTGGGAAGGAAGAGGCAATCAACCTCCCACTCTGGGGTGACCCGGAATGTAGTCATGATGAGCAGGCCCAAGAATTTTTCGGGGTGGTGTGTTTCGAATATGTCGGGCCCTGTCTCCAATTATTCGGCCACCTTAGCGTAAGCCTGGCTGAACCCACTGTGGGCTTGATAAAAAGTACAATGAGATCTGGGTAAATGCTGGGAGGCTCTTTGTATAGTGTCTGTAGTGCTAGAAAAATAAAAAATGCTCTTTTCCTCACCTTTTATGATTGAAACTCTACTGTTTTTAGGCTATATCTTTACAGATATTAATTATAATTATAATTTTTACAGTAATACAGACAAGTAGACAAATACATAAAATAATTTGATAATATACACAATATACATACATAATATAGAGACATACGTAAAAGAATTAAACTGTAAAGTAAAATTTCGCATTGTTTCAATTTTTGATGCATTACTTTAAGCCAAAGAAAGCATGTGTTTGTAGGTTGCATAAAAATATACATTTATCATAGGCCTATGTACTGTACATAGTGCCACCTCATATTTTATCAGACTTCGCTAAAAGCCATAAGTTCTTCTCATTGATACAAAGAATAACAATGCGATGGTAATAAATAATTTCAATATCATAACAAAAGAGCAATTTTCCAAGGAGCATCGTTACAATTTAAATGAACCTTTAGTACTTTGTAGGACCTTCTTGCCTAGATACAAGCAATAATACAGTAGGGCATGGCGACATACTGGTACTGTATCCTGCAACTGTTGATCCTGATTCCTCATACTCGTAGATGTTTGAAGTTGGCATTCCATCTGGTTTCATAAATGCTCGATGAGCATGCAAACCCATCGAGCGTTTGTGAGATGGAGCAATCTAAAACCGGGCATGCAAATAAAGTGTGGCAATGTTATGGATGCATTCCTGAGAAACCTTAGCTGTGTGTTGCCTGTATTATCTTTCTAGAAAATGACTGTTTGTAGCCTTGCCATAATAGGCAAAAGACTGAGCAGCGTGATTTCCTAAGCGTACCGCTGTGTCGTCAAGTCCCTCGTACCACTATTAGGGATGACCGATTGTCATTAGATTTGCCGACTTTCAGAGTAACAAATTCTGTAAAAAACACCAATTTAAAAATAGTGATGAGTGAAGAAAGCCTCCCTTCTAAATCCTGGTGGTCAATGCAGTTAAGGTTTCATTCTATCGCTCTGGATGACCCGAGATCGAATCAACTGCCAATGATATAAGACAACGCAATACATGTGTAATCTGCCGAGGGAAATGCCTCCTGGGAAGACTTTTATGGACAACTGGCCCTATTTAGGTATTACTAACATGAAGAAAATATAGAAAACTATACGTGGCTAGTCCGTTGGGCAGGCTCTAACCCACGACCAACTCCCAGTGTTTAGTAATTTTATTCGCTTTGTCACTAGTGGACCGTTTCACTCATACTATGAAATATGTTGTTAAGCATAATTTAGTATTTTTCTCATTTCTTGTTTCTTTCCTTCCATACATGTCCTTCATGCAATTAATAGCTGAGTCTTTTTTACATTTCTTCTATAGAAATTAATAATTACACTACATCTATTCACGGAATTTCGTATTACAGTTGTGAGTATTTTATGAAGATAAAAACACCAATTTTTCACATGTGTAAGTTAGAGATTTTTCACACTTTCACACATGGAAACAGCATGGTCTGGACAGTAAGATTACTTGACACCAAATGAACTCAGCAGAAGAAGAATGATCGTTGTGACTGTTAAATAAATTCAAACAAATAATATAAATTCCGAGTTTCAGTGCCTTCACTGAAACTTAAATTTATATTGAAGTCGCAAAAATCTTAAAATTTTGGAGTGCATATGAAGAGACTAATGAAACCCTACAGAATCTCTGAGATCCCCGATTGCAGTCGGTAGGTTAAGTCTACTTTCTTCCATTATACTGTTTCTATAAACAATTCAACAGTGGCGTGTCGTGACATTTGATGACAGGGAAGCTGTGTTTCTGTAAGAAGCCGACATCCAGGGGCAATCAGTCAATCGCGTGTCAGTGATGGTCAAAAGAAAATTATAATTAAATAGAGCTTCGTAAAGACAGTTGCTTCCATTATTTTCGTATAATTAAAATTAATACGTATTTATTTTTTAGAAAATACAAGGAAAGCGGCGCATCCACCGCTTCCAATGACGGCAAGCCACTGCAATTCAACAAGCAATAATATAGGTCTAAATGACAAATCAAATTCAGGCAATCAAATATGGCGGATCTCGAAAGCATTCGACGCTTTTTAGACGAATTCAACTTCATACACGCTAGCAATTCGAATATTACAGAAAAAGTACCGAATATATGACGAATACAATCAATTTTTCGTAAATATTTCGTTAATTTATTTAGAAATCCCACAGTTTAATGCACGTTTGCCAACGCGATTGCAACTCAATAGCGATTCACACGGCGATCGAATCAATTTAAATTTAAATTTTAAATTCAATTTCAACCAATGAGAAGCAAGAAACCAGTTGTAGCAGACGTCATTGGAATGTTTGATCAAAAGTTAAATAAAAACGACGATAAAAGTTTTAAAATGTAATTTATTATTTTATCCTCAGTTAAATCATTAAACAATATGCTATTTAAATAATTATTTAAACGAAAATTAATTAAAATTATTTAATAATTCTTTCACATAAGTCCACTTCCGGCAGTTTGGAGGGAGCAACGAAATTTCGCGGAAGAGTTCAGGTATTTAGTTTTAATTTTTCGATTTATAACTTTATTTTCGGTTAATTTAATACTTTATTTACGTAAATTTGATCCAAACGGATTATAAAAATCGAATTTATACAAAATATTCGCTCGGAGAGCTTGAAAATTCCGAATTTTACTCGAAAACTCCGGGTAAGTAGTAGCACGGGTAGAAGTTACTTTTAGTCAAATGGTGTATTTATACGCTTTACTGCAATTAACTAAAAGTAACTTGTACCGTATTGACTTTGAAGTTTAATTATACCTCGATTGTTGCTACATCAAGTAATCTATAATTAGAGCTATTGTAATTGCTGCATCATCCCAAGATGAATGATGCTGCTGATGTTCTTTAAGTACAATAACTGTGTTTAAAGAATATTAACAATATTACATTATAAGGGTAATGACCGACAGAACTGTGATTAGAGATGATGCAGAATTGGCAGATGTTATATAATCCCGTCCGGTGTAGAAACCATAGCTATGGGAGCTGAGATCCTGGTTTAATTGGTACTACCCGCGTGCATTACGTATAATATATACTTTTGCTTTTGTCGTGTAAACCGGGGCTGCTGTTACTTATATGCAACTGGAGATAATAGGTCTAGTGTACGCTGGAAAAGAATAATACCTGTCGCTTTTTTCGGCTTCCCCTCGTTTATAAATTTAGTCCTCGATAATATATTCCTGTGGCTAACGGAGTACACAGCACTTGGATGTTCCTGTTGATTTCATTAAGAGAGAGTGGCAATGGGTAAGGCTGTCAAATCACTCAAAACTAGAATCTCCCATAGAAAGTAGGACTAATATTAAAGATTTGTTTTGATTTATTTGGTTATGGCAATACAATGTGGGCAATCTGCCAAGGGGAATGCCTCCTGGGACGTCTTTTATGGGAAACTGGCCATATTTAGGCATTACTAATGTGAAAAAAACTGGAAAACTCCACGGCCTGCCTGTCGGCCAGGCTTGAACTCACAACCAACTACTGGTGTTCAATGGTTTTATCCACTCGGCCACTGTTGGGCTCTGCGGAAGAAAACGAAATGTGTAATATAAACAACATACATTAATCAATAAAAAGAAATGTAATTCTGGTTGTAGAGACTTGTGCAGGATGAAAGATACATTGTTTTCTTTATTCTGCAACATACATGTATAATATACATCTATATACAAGGAGCATATGAGTGGATCCTAGGGGGACCTACAGGGGCTTAAGCCCCCATTGACGCACAAGAAAATTAAAATTTATTTGTTCGGACTTCAAAATGTTTTAAAAAACATTTACGGTGGCAAATATGGTTTATCGTACCATCTACAATACAATAATTATGCACGTGTTAATAAAAGATCTTCTATTAATTATTTAAATAATTTTAAGTTTCACAGTTTTATATTGCTTGTTTCAAGCTTTGACACTGTATACATGAAATTTTTAATCTACCTTAAGGCAAAGCTAGGCTTTTGTTTCTTTTGTTTGCTTTATTAAGCATTCAATAACTATAGGCTTGTAAAAAGGCTGAAAAAGTAAACTTAACGATTAATAAATCTTGTAATATGTGCCGCATTGTTTACCACGAAATATTTTCATCCTATGCTTATGGTGACTGACAAATGCAAACTTTAAAAATTCCGTATTTATTGTAGAAAAGGCCACAAGAGATAGTGAAATTTCATAATTATGTTTGTTTTGAGAGCATGATGAAGTTGCTCGAGTACTGTTTATTGATATTAAAGATTGTTTGACAGTATGGTGTAGTGAAGATGACTGCAAAATTCATTCTCTGAACTGTTTAGCCATGGAAAACAGCATTTTCACACATCGCACAGCTCTGTTAAGTTATTGGGTATGTGCCAGAATGTTTGTGTTTCATTATCTAAGGTGATATCTGTAGATAAGAAGGAGAAGAGCATGGATCCATGTGAATCATTGATCTGAAGTGCAAAGCCATGTAGTATAAGAATGGAAATCAATACTTTTAATGAATTCATTCTTGAAAATATCAGTCACCACATATATCAAACATTTTCTCTCATAAACCAGGAAGTGATATAAAATAAACTGGCTCATTGTATTGAATTCTTGTGTATTGAGTACTTTTAAATCAAGTTTATTCTATATTAATAAATTTTCAAATTTATAATTGACAGGAAAATGTCAGAGGTGAAAAGGCTAGTAATATCGTTTGTCCAATTTTTGGGGGATCAGCTGCAGCACGGAAGTCTGTCGTCGGATGCCAAAGAGAGCCTGGAAGGTGAGACTTAAGACTGTACATAACATTAATTTGATACGGATACCAGATTCGACGGACTAACAGGGAGAGATGGTTCTGTAATTGTCATTTATTTATACTCTCTGGAAGATGATTTAGTAGTATTAACCCTTAGTATGTGGCATAACGATATATTGTTACAGTGTCTCTTAAAATGGTCAGGTAACAATATATTGTTACCCTATTTAAATTCAAGTTAAGTGAAATAAATAGGTTGCAGATGTTAGCAAATGATATAATTGTATTCTCCAGCTTATATAAGTGTAAAAAGGATGGGCTAAGTGTTATCGTAGGAGGATGCTGGAGAATTTTTGCAGGATGCTGAATTTTTATCAAAAGATGTTATAGAACTTCTTCAGTGAATAAACACTTAATTATTATTGATAATATTGTGATATCGCATTAAAAATTGTATAGTATTATATGATTGTATTTAGTTTGTTATTAAAATGCAGACGATCATTCATCTTGTTTATTCTATTACTTCTCTTTTTAGTGGCAATTCAGTGTCTACAGTCGGCGTATGGAATCTGTCCAAACAGTGCCGATGAAGTAAACAAAAGCCAGTCTTTATTACAGATATTTTCGGACGCTACTCGAGAGACTGTTGTAAGTACATAAATTTTACATGTGACATTTATGTAGGCATTTTTACGTCTTTAATTTATTTGCAATCTTTACGTATATGAAATTAATTTGCAGACAGAAAGTTAATGTAATGATACTGAAATGTTTCTCTTGCTATAGACACACACAAGACAGAACTCTGTCACTTTTTGAATGTGTTTAAATGTAATGAAGTGTGGAATACTGCAAATAGATTGGACAACATAAAAATGAAATACATAACATTATTTCCTTGGTTAATTATAAAATGTATCTGTTTAGTGGTCGTGAGTGATTGAATGCTAATTAATATGTCGACAGTCATAGAAAGTAGGACTAATATTAAAGGTTTGTTTTGATTTATTTGGTTATGGCAATACAATGTGGGCAATCTGCCAAGGGGAATGCCTCCTGGGACGTGTTTTATGGGAAACTGGCCATATTTAGGCATTACTAATGTGAAAAAAACTGGAAAACTCCACGGCCTGCCTGTCGGCCAGGCTTGAACTCACAACCAACTACTGGTGTTCAATGGTTTTATCCACTCGGCCACTGTTGGGCTCTGCGGAAGAAAACGAAATGTGTAATATAAACAACATACATTAATCAATAAAAAGAAATGTAATTCTGGTTGTAGAGACTTGTGCAGGATGAAAGATACATTGTTTTCTTTATTCTGCAACATACATGTATAATATACATCTATATACAAGGAGCATATGAGTGGATCCTAGGGGGACCTACAGGGGCTTAAGCCCCCATTGACGCACAAGAAAATTAAAATTTATTTGTTCGGACTTCAAAATGTTTTAAAAAACATTTACGGTGGCAAATATGGTTTATCGTACCATCTGCAATACAATAATTATGCATGTGTTAATAAAAGATCTTCTATTAATTATTTAAATAATTTTAAGTTTCACAGTTTTATATTGCTTGTTTCAAGCTTNTACTTTATTTCTAGGAAATTCTATATAAATATAATGTTAATAATAATTTAAACGGAAAATTTACTTTTTCCCCTCTTTCTTTATAAATAATATGATTTTCTCAGACGAATTTTTTTATACAGAAGAAATTATAAATATACCTAGAGACCGACCTCGAGAAGAACAATGTAATAACACCTGGAGTGAAGGAAGAGCCAATAAACGGGATTTCGAGGCCGAATATAAACCTAAATTAACAAAATTACGGGGAATTGTCCCTATTTTATGTGACTGTTTGATCAGCTTTATTGATTTCTTCGAAAACATGCAGGTAAACTAGGCAAAACGTGACGAAACCCTTTATTAAAAGTGAAAAGTATTTTTACTTTTACTAAAATGTTATTGTTACCGATACACAGAGTTGCCTAAAAATCTTTTAACCATGTTTTGTGAACACTCGGACTTTGCTAAGGCAAAGCAAACCTGGGTAATATGAATGACAAGAGGGGGTACCTCCCGGGAGGATTTTCTTTAGAGTAAACCATATTTAGGTGTTAGACATGTGAAGAAATGCATGGCTAGTCGATTGGCCAGGGTTGACTGGCTAAACCCGTCACCGGTGCTCCGTGTTTTAGCCAGGTGGGCACGCGCTCAAGGTAGGCTCGTGAATACGAGTCATAAGCTGAATTTATTAGTGGCATAATTACTGTATTGAAGGAAACACTCGGTTGAAATAACTTATTTGAATAAGACAGAAGTTTATTCATTACAATAGTTAACTGACTTTTGGGCTCCATACTCCATAGCAACAAGTCTGGCCTCCTCCTCCCTCAGCTCATATACACTATCTCGTACTTGTCTCTTTAAGAGTGCTCGCAGTCATTGGTGTCTAAGGGTAATTTGGAGTATAAACCTTTCACGGTGGAAAGTACCACAGAAGCCCCATAATTTTCTTTTGGTGTTCCTCGCATATTTGTTATAATCTTTCAGGGAGTTCTTAAAAGCCTCCTATTCACCTGTTAGCTTCCTTACTACCTTCCTATGCTCTGCAAGTTAACCAAGAACAATTGTTCCTGTGCTCTCTTGCTAGCTATGGGCAGTTATGATGACAGACTATGCGTGAGGACTTCTTGGAGAGTTGCTCATCCGATTCCATCCTGGGTCCCCAGAGCGGCAAGGTGAGGCCATCCGGTTTTTCTACTTATCCTGACTATTGAACATTTTTGCATAGGGGCCTTAAAATTGGAGTTATCCCATTAAAGATTGCTTCATTTCTTTCAATACGAGATCACCAGTGACCGAGTGGATAACACCAGTGAACAGGTCACAGGTTCGCGCCTGACCAACGAGTTGACAGCGTGGAGTTTTCCAGGTTTCTTCAAGTGTCTCACACCTATGTAGCGGTCAGTTTCCCATAGAAAGTCGTCAAGGGAGACATTTCCTCTTGGAAGATCTCCCACGTGTTGCGTTGCCATATTCCATCAAACCGAAACCAAACCCTACAATATTGTATTCTTATATGTATGTTGCTGTTGTATTTTTTGCATATAGGTATACTGGTTAATTTAAAGTTTATTATGAACTATCACTTGTTACAAATCAGCAACATGCTGAGCAGCAGGAAACCTTGTACATTGTTTCTGATGACGTATACATTAATTAATTACTGTAAATACAAATTTATTATTAACATTTTTCCATATAATATTTTCAGTGCCCAAGTATAGCGCGTTGTGTACCCTATCAGAAAAGTTCTTATAGTCAGCTTTTAGTTTGAAGTTTGCATCATCACGAATTCTATTTATTACAAAAGTTGCGTTTGATTTTTTTTATTTTCAAAAATAAGGGTGCATCTCGCTTTCCAGATGACCTCTTGGTCAAAGCAGTAAACTAATTAATTAAGTAATTATTTTTTAACAGGGAAATTAGAGTGGAACTTTACGTTTTGCCAGGAGATACATATATTAAAAATTTTGTCTACCCAGTGCCAAGTTTGCTCAGCGATGTGGCACTCAAAAAATATGTGATAGATATTTTGATTGTGATCACACCGAGGACAACGAGCAGTACTTACACGCTGGTAGGTGTGAAGATACTCCTCCCTAGTCATCACGATGTTGTTCAAAATTTTCCACGGAGGCTCCCAGCATTTACCCAGGTCTCATATAGGGAGCCTCCCAGCATTTACCCAGGTCTCAAACAGGGAGCCTCCCAGCATTCACCCAGGTCTCATACAGGAAGCCTCCCAGCATTTACCCAGGTCTCATTGCAATTGATCGTAGTATCCATTAGATTTTTGTTGATACTTTGCTTACGAATGTTCATGTAGACGGTACTGGACCTTAATTTATTACCGATTTGCTCATTATTAATTATGGTAGTAACAATTTCTCTCCATTTTATATATTTACTGCAGTTGTCGAGAAGAAAGGGGAGATTATCATCATTCTTAGTAATACGTTTAACAATAGGACCTAATATATAATGAGCGATGAGAGCAAGAGGATGGTTCTGATTTTTTATAGCATTAACCATATTAGCAGTAGCTAAATGATTTTTTATAGCATTAACCATGTTGACAGTACTGATGTTCATGATATCACATGTAATGTTGCCGTTAATATTAAGCAATTTACTTTTATTTTCATTGATTCTCATACCGGGTATACTGCCCCAGACACTACTTTTATAAAAAGTCAAACTCTGTCATAATTAAATAAATGAAATAAAAAAGAAAGTTAGTTCATCTTCCGAAGCAATAAAGATTTAAATAACGTAATTGTGTGGATGGTGGGAAGGAAGAGGCAATCAACCTCCCACTCTGGGGTGACCCGGAATGTAGTCATGATGAGCAGGCCCAAGAATTTTTCGGGGTGGTGTGTTTCGAATATGTCGGGCCCTGTCTCCAATTATTCGGCCACCTTAGCGTAAGCCTGGCTGAACCCACTGTGGGCTTGATAAAAAGTACAATGAGATCTGGGTAAATGCTGGGAGGCTCTTTGTATAGTGTCTGTAGTGCTAGAAAAATAAAAAATGCTCTTTTCCTCACCTTTTATGATTGAAACTCTACTGTTTTTAGGCTATATCTTTACAGATATTAATTATAATTATAATTTTTACAGTAATACAGACAAGTAGACAAATACATAAAATAATTTGATAATATACACAATATACATACATAATATAGAGACATACGTAAAAGAATTAAACTGTAAAGTAAAATTTCGCATTGTTTCAATTTTTGATGCATTACTTTAAGCCAAAGAAAGCATGTGTTTGTAGGTTGCATAAAAATATACATTTATCATAGGCCTATGTACTGTACATAGTGCCACCTCATATTTTATCAGACTTCGCTAAAAGCCATAAGTTCTTCTCATTGATACAAAGAATAACAATGCGATGGTAATAAATAATTTCAATATCATAACAAAAGAGCAATTTTCCAAGGAGCATCGTTACAATTTAAATGAACCTTTAGTACTTTGTAGGACCTTCTTGCCTAGATACAAGCAATAATACAGTAGGGCATGGCGACATACTGGTACTGTATCCTGCAACTGTTGATCCTGATTCCTCATACTCGTAGATGTTTGAAGTTGGCATTCCATCTGGTTTCATAAATGCTCGATGAGCATGCAAACCCATCGAGCGTTTGTGAGATGGAGCAATCTAAAACCGGGCATGCAAATAAAGTGTGGCAATGTTATGGATGCATTCCTGAGAAACCTTAGCTGTGTGTTGCCTGTATTATCTTTCTAGAAAATGACTGTTTGTAGCCTTGCCATAATAGGCAAAAGACTGAGCAGCGTGATTTCCTAAGCGTACCGCTGTGTCGTCAAGTCCCTCGTACCACTATTAGGGATGACCGATTGTCATTAGATTTGCCGACTTTCAGAGTAACAAATTCTGTAAAAAACACCAATTTAAAAATAGTGATGAGTGAAGAAAGCCTCCCTTCTAAATCCTGGTGGTCAATGCAGTTAAGGTTTCATTCTATCGCTCTGGATGACCCGAGATCGAATCAACTGCCAATGATATAAGACAACGCAATACATGTGTAATCTGCCGAGGGAAATGCCTCCTGGGAAGACTTTTATGGACAACTGGCCCTATTTAGGTATTACTAACATGAAGAAAATATAGAAAACTATACGTGGCTAGTCCGTTGGGCAGGCTCTAACCCACGACCAACTCCCAGTGTTTAGTAATTTTATTCGCTTTGTCACTAGTGGACCGTTTCACTCATACTATGAAATATGTTGTTAAGCATAATTTAGTATTTTTCTCATTTCTTGTTTCTTTCCTTCCATACATGTCCTTCATGCAATTAATAGCTGAGTCTTTTTTACATTTCTTCTATAGAAATTAATAATTACACTACATCTATTCACGGAATTTCGTATTACAGTTGTGAGTATTTTATGAAGATAAAAACACCAATTTTTCACATGTGTAAGTTAGAGATTTTTCACACTTTCACACATGGAAACAGCATGGTCTGGACAGTAAGATTACTTGACACCAAATGAACTCAGCAGAAGAAGAATGATCGTTGTGACTGTTAAATAAATTCAAACAAATAATATAAATTCCGAGTTTCAGTGCCTTCACTGAAACTTAAATTTATATTGAAGTCGCAAAAATCTTAAAATTTTGGAGTGCATATGAAGAGACTAATGAAACCCTACAGAATCTCTGAGATCCCCGATTGCAGTCGGTAGGTTAAGTCTACTTTCTTCCATTATACTGTTTCTATAAACAATTCAACAGTGGCGTGTCGTGACATTTGATGACAGGGAAGCTGTGTTTCTGTAAGAAGCCGACATCCAGGGGCAATCAGTCAATCGCGTGTCAGTGATGGTCAAAAGAAAATTATAATTAAATAGAGCTTCGTAAAGACAGTTGCTTCCATTATTTTCGTATAATTAAAATTAATACGTATTTATTTTTTAGAAAATACAAGGAAAGCGGCGCATCCACCGCTTCCAATGACGGCAAGCCACTGCAATTCAACAAGCAATAATATAGGTCTAAATGACAAATCAAATTCAGGCAATCAAATATGGCGGATCTCGAAAGCATTCGACGCTTTTTAGACGAATTCAACTTCATACACGCTAGCAATTCGAATATTACAGAAAAAGTACCGAATATATGACGAATACAATCAATTTTTCGTAAATATTTCGTTAATTTATTTAGAAATCCCACAGTTTAATGCACGTTTGCCAACGCGATTGCAACTCAATAGCGATTCACACGGCGATCGAATCAATTTAAATTTAAATTTTAAATTCAATTTCAACCAATGAGAAGCAAGAAACCAGTTGTAGCAGACGTCATTGGAATGTTTGATCAAAAGTTAAATAAAAACGACGATAAAAGTTTTAAAATGTAATTTATTATTTTATCCTCAGTTAAATCATTAAACAATATGCTATTTAAATAATTATTTAAACGAAAATTAATTAAAATTATTTAATAATTCTTTCACATAAGTCCACTTCCGGCAGTTTGGAGGGAGCAACGAAATTTCGCGGAAGAGTTCAGGTATTTAGTTTTAATTTTTCGATTTATAACTTTATTTTCGGTTAATTTAATACTTTATTTACGTAAATTTGATCCAAACGGATTATAAAAATCGAATTTATACAAAATATTCGCTCGGAGAGCTTGAAAATTCCGAATTTTACTCGAAAACTCCGGGTAAGTAGTAGCACGGGTAGAAGTTACTTTTAGTCAAATGGTGTATTTATACGCTTTACTGCAATTAACTAAAAGTAACTTGTACCGTATTGACTTTGAAGTTTAATTATACCTCGATTGTTGCTACATCAAGTAATCTATAATTAGAGCTATTGTAATTGCTGCATCATCCCAAGATGAATGATGCTGCTGATGTTCTTTAAGTACAATAACTGTGTTTAAAGAATATTAACAATATTACATTATAAGGGTAATGACCGACAGAACTGTGATTAGAGATGATGCAGAATTGGCAGATGTTATATAATCCCGTCCGGTGTAGAAACCATAGCTATGGGAGCTGAGATCCTGGTTTAATTGGTACTACCCGCGTGCATTACGTATAATATATACTTTTGCTTTTGTCGTGTAAACCGGGGCTGCTGTTACTTATATGCAACTGGAGATAATAGGTCTAGTGTACGCTGGAAAAGAATAATACCTGTCGCTTTTTTCGGCTTCCCCTCGTTTATAAATTTAGTCCTCGATAATATATTCCTGTGGCTAACGGAGTACACAGCACTTGGATGTTCCTGTTGATTTCATTAAGAGAGAGTGGCAATGGGTAAGGCTGTCAAATCACTCAAAACTAGAATCTCCCATAGAAAGTAGGACTAATATTAAAGATTTGTTTTGATTTATTTGGTTATGGCAATACAATGTGGGCAATCTGCCAAGGGGAATGCCTCCTGGGACGTCTTTTATGGGAAACTGGCCATATTTAGGCATTACTAATGTGAAAAAAACTGGAAAACTCCACGGCCTGCCTGTCGGCCAGGCTTGAACTCACAACCAACTACTGGTGTTCAATGGTTTTATCCACTCGGCCACTGTTGGGCTCTGCGGAAGAAAACGAAATGTGTAATATAAACAACATACATTAATCAATAAAAAGAAATGTAATTCTGGTTGTAGAGACTTGTGCAGGATGAAAGATACATTGTTTTCTTTATTCTGCAACATACATGTATAATATACATCTATATACAAGGAGCATATGAGTGGATCCTAGGGGGACCTACAGGGGCTTAAGCCCCCATTGACGCACAAGAAAATTAAAATTTATTTGTTCGGACTTCAAAATGTTTTAAAAAACATTTACGGTGGCAAATATGGTTTATCGTACCATCTACAATACAATAATTATGCACGTGTTAATAAAAGATCTTCTATTAATTATTTAAATAATTGTAAGTTTCACAGTTTTATATTGCTTGTTTCAAGCTTTTACACTGTATACATGAAATTTTTAATCTACCTTAAGGCAAAGCTAGGCTTTTGTTTCTTTTGTTTGCTTTATTAAGCATTCAATAACTATAGGCTTGTAAAAAGGCTGAAAAAGTAAACTTAACGATTAATAAATCTTGTAATATGTGCCGCATTGTTTACCACGAAATATTTTCATCCTATGCTTATGGTGACTGACAAATGCAAACTTTAAAAATTCCGTATTTATTGTAGAAAAGGCCACAAGAGATAGTGAAATTTCATAATTATGTTTGTTTTGAGAGCATGATGAAGTTGCTCGAGTACTGTTTATTGATATTAAAGATTGTTTGACAGTATGGTGTAGTGAAGATGACTGCAAAATTCATTCTCTGAACTGTTTAGCCATGGAAAACAGCATTTTCACACATCGCACAGCTCTGTTAAGTTATTGGGTATGTGCCAGAATGTTTGTGTTTCATTATCTAAGGTGATATCTGTAGATAAGAAGGAGAAGAGCATGGATCCATGTGAATCATTGATCTGAAGTGCAAAGCCATGTAGTATAAGAATGGAAATCAATACTTTTAATGAATTCATTCTTGAAAATATTAGTCACCACATATATCAAACATTTTCTCTCATAAACCAGGAAGTGATATAAAATAAACTGGCTCATTGTATTGAATTCTTGTGTATTGAGTACTTTTAAATCAAGTTTATTCTATATTAATAAATTTTCAAATTTATAATTGACAGGAAAATGTCAGAGGTGAAAAGGCTAGTAATATCGTTTGTCCAATTTTTGGGGGATCAGCTGCAGCACGGAAGTCTGTCGTCGGATGCCAAAGAGAGCCTGGAAGGTGAGACTTAAGACTGTACATAACATTAATTTGATACGGATACGCAGTCGACACCGGATTCGACGGACTAACAGGGAGAGATGGTTCCGTAATTGTCATTTATTTATACTCTCTGGAAGATGATTTAGTAGTATTAACCCTTAGTATGTGGAATAACGATATATCATTACCGTGTCTCTTAAAATGGTCAGGTAACAATATATTGTTACCCTATTTAAATTCAAGTTAAGTGAAATAAATAGGTTGCAGATGTTAGCAAATGATATAATTGTATTCTCCAGCTTATATAAGTGTAAAAAGGATGGGCTAAGTGTTATCGTAGGAGGATGCTGGAGAATTTTTGCAGGATGCTGAATTTTTATCAAAAGATGTTATAGAACTTCTTCAGTGAATAAACACTTAATTATTATTGATAATATTGTGGTATCGCATTAAAAATTCTATAGTATTATATGATTGTATTTAGTTTGTTATTAAAATGCAGACGATCATTCATCTTGTTTATTCTATTACTTCTCTTTTTAGTGGCAATTCAGTGTCTACAGTCGGCGTATGGAATCTGTCCAAACAGTGCCGATGAAGTAAACAAAAGCCAGTCTTTATTACAGATATTTTCGGACGCTACTCGAGAGACTGTCGTAAGTACATAAATTTTACATGTGACATTTATGTAGGCATTTTTACGTCTTTAATTTATTTGCAATCTTTACGTATATGAAATTAATTTGCAGACAGAAAGTTAATGTAATGATACTGAAATGTTTCTCTTGCTATAGACACACACAAGACAGAACTCTGTCACTTTTTGAATGTGTTTAAATGTAATGAAGTGTGGAATACTGCAAATAGATTGGACGACATAAAAATGAAATACATAACATTATTTCCTTGGTTAATTATAAAATGTATCTGTTTAGTGGTCGTGAGTGATTGAATGCTAATTAATATGTCGACAGTCTGCTTGAGATATTTGTGAGTTCTTGCATAGATCCTGCATATATGCGGATTTAGCAGTGGATAAAGTAGGGATTGAATTTCAGCAAAAATAAACCATTTGTATATACTCTAGCAGAAGATTTTAATAAAACTATAAATGTTTTTGTCCAAAAATGTTTGTTAAAATCTTGTGCTGGAGTAAGTACAAATGAGGGGTTGAATTACAGTTTGGTTATTCAGCAATGATTTTATTCCGATCGAATAACCGATTTGACGGGGGAACTTACTATTCTTATATCGCAATCAGTAGCTCTAACAATTGTTTCTCAGTTACACTCTGCTATAAGAAAATTAAATTTTTAACAAGTTCAAATTACCAAGTGAAATTTTTGTTAGTCAAAGTATGAAAATCGATTGTTTCTTCTGTTTCTGTGTGTAGCGTCTTTGTAATCCAAATGTTAATTTAAATCGTTAAACGTTAATTTTTTTTAAATAAATCGTAACATTTTCCTAACTAATTGCTGTTTGATTATCTACCAAAATTAACGTACTTTTAGGTTTATAATTAAAATTAATTTAGAAATATCTCACCGTAGAAAGACTTTAATGAGATTCGGTTAGGAAAATAGACATTACCAAATAAAATCACAATTGTAGTTGTAACAAGCACAGATCTTTGTCTTACCATTATTCTGATAGCTTTAGCAAGTTAAAAAAAGCATTTACAATGNCCTCGCATATTTGTTATAATCTTTCAGGGAGTTCTTAAAAGCCTCCTATTCACCTGTTAGCTTCCTTACTACCTTCCTATGCTCTGCAAGTTAACCAAGAACAATTGTTCCTGTGCTCTCTTGCTAGCTATGGGCAGTTATGATGACAGACTATGCGTGAGGACTTCTTGGAGAGTTGCTCATCCGATTCCATCCTGGGTCCCCAGAGCGGCAAGGTGAGGCCATCCGGTTTTTCTACTTATCCTGACTATTGAACATTTTTGCATAGGGGCCTTAAAATTGGAGTTATCCCATTAAAGATTGCTTCATTTTCTTTTAATACGAGGTCACCAGTGACCGAGTGGATAACACCAGTGAACAGGTCACGGGTTCGCGCCTGACCAACGAGTTGACAGCGTGGAGTTTTCCAGGTTTCTTCAAGTGTCTCACATCTATGTAGCGGTCAGTTTCCCATAGAAAGTTGTCAAGGGAGACATTTCCTCTTCGAAGATCTCCAACGTGTTGCGTTGCCGTATTTCATCAAACCGAAACAAAACCCTACAATACTGTATTCTTATATGTATGTTGCTGTTGTATTTTTTGCATATAGGTATACTGGTTAATTTAAAGTTTATTATGAACTATCACTTGTTACAAATCAGCAACATGCTGAGCAGCAGGAGGAACCTCGCTCCTAACGAGCGAAACCACCACGTGACGCGAATTTAGCAACGTAATTAATTGTTCTTTTGCCCCCGAGGGTGAGATGCAATTAATAGGCGCCATTTTGTCGTCACCGAAACACATTAAACGTGCGCGTGACTGGTTCCTTAACATATTTACTCAGTCCTCGAGTTTCCTGCTGTACACTTTTTTTTTTTTTTAATTTTGTAAATGATCCTAAAAGATGTCAAGGATGCTTGATTTGCATTTAATTGCCTTATCTGTAGGATCTGCAGTGACTAGGCATTTTTTTTTATTTCCTTGTGTTTCTTTTCACAATGGACGGTGCGTGAAGGAGGTACAGTAAATTCCCTAAGGGAAGCGTCTGATCGCGCGTGTCGATGCGTCGAAACGGAAGTTACGCGTGATTGCGCGTCGCGTTAAAGATTTATTTAGCGCCCGGTTTTAATACAATAATAAACTACTCTGTCTTATTATAGCTATTTATAAACACGTAAACCAGTTTTGTTTGTGTTAAGTGGCGCGAAAATCGTATAACTCGAGTAGCGCCTTCGGGCAATATGGCGGATGGATGATGGTTCGTTAAAGGCTCGAATAAGATGGCGGTGAAAAGACGGTGCGTATAGCTTACGTGTTACAAAATAATCTTATTAAATTTTATTTATTAATTAAATTGCTTATGAAATAAATTTTAATATGTAAATTTCTTATTTAATAACAAATTTAAAGAATTTTATTACGTTTTTAATTAGCAAAATAGATTCAAAAACGAGTTGGCGCATTTTAAGCAATATGGCGTCGGAAAGACGATTCGTTAATCCATATTTACTTTATTTCTAGGAAATTCTATATAAATATAATGTTAATAATAATTTAAACGGAAAATTTACTTTTTCCCCTCTTTCTTTATAAATAATATGATTTTCTCAGACGAATTTTTTTTATTCAGAAGAAATTATAAATATACCTAGAGACCGACCTCGAGAAGAACAATGTAATAACACCTGGAGTGAAGGAAGAGCCAATAAACGGGATTTCGAGGACGAATATAAACCTAAATTAACAAAATTACGGGGAATTGTCCCTATTTTATGTGACTGTTTGATCAGCTTTATTGATTTCTTCGAAAACATACAGATAAACTAGGCAAAACGTGACGAAACCCTTTATTAAAAGTGAAAAGTATTTTTACTTTTACTAAAATGTTATTGTTACCGATACACAGAGTTGCCTAAAAATCTTTTAACCATGTTTTGTGAACACTCGGACTTTGCTAAGGCAAAGCAAACCTGGGTAATATGAATGACAAGAGGGGGTGCCTCCCGGGAGGATTTTCTTTAGAGTAAACCATATTTAGGTGTTAGACATGTGAAGAAATGCATGGCCAGTCGATTGGCCAGGGTTGACTGGCTAAACCCGTCACCGATGCTCCGTGTTTTAGCCAGGTGGGCACGCGCTCAAGGTAGGCTCGTGAACACGAGTCATAAGCTGAATTTATTAGTGGCATAATTACTGTATTGAAGGAAACACTCGGTTGAAATAACTTATTTGAATAAGACAGAAGTTTATTCTTTACAATAGTTAACTGACTTTTGGGCTCCATACTCCATAGCAACAAGTCTGGCCTCCTCCTCCCTCAGCTCATATACACTATCTCGTACTTGTCTCTTTAAGAGTGCTCGCAGTCATTGGTGTCTAAGGGTAATTTGGAGTATAAACCTTTCACGGTGGAAAGTACCACAGAAGCCCCATAATTTTCTTTTGGTGTTCCTCGCATATTTGTTATAATCTTTCAGGGAGTTCTTAAAAGCCTCCTATTCACCTGTTAGCTTCCTTACTACCTTCCTATGCTCTGCAAGTTAACCAAGAACAATTGTTCCTGTGCTCTCTTGCTAGCTATGGGCAGTTATGATGACAGACTATGCGTGAGGACTTCTTGGAGAGTTGCTCATCCGATTCCATCCTGGGTCCCCAGAGCGGCAAGGTGAGGCCATCCGGTTTTTCTACTTATCCTGACTATTGAACATTTTTGCATAGGGGCCTTAAAATTGGAGTTATCCCATTAAAGATTGCTTCATTTCTTTCAATACGAGATCACCAGTGACCGAGTGGATAACACCAGTGAACAGGTCACAGGTTCGCGCCTGACCAACGAGTTGACAGCGTGGAGTTTTCCAGGTTTCTTCAAGTGTCTCACACCTATGTAGCGGTCAGTTTCCCATAGAAAGTCGTCAAGGGAGACATTTCCTCTTGGAAGATCTCCCACGTGTTGCGTTGCCATATTCCATCAAACCGAAACCAAACCCTACAATATTGTATTCTTATATGTATGTTGCTGTTGTATTTTTTGCATATAGGTATACTGGTTAATTTAAAGTTTATTATGAACTATCACTTGTTACAAATCAGCAACATGCTGAGCAGCAGGAAACCTTGTACATTGTTTCTGATGACGTATACATTAATTAATTACTGTAAATACAAATTTATTATTAACATTTTTCCATATAATATTTTCAGTGCCCAAGTATAGCGCGTTGTGTACCCTATCAGAAAAGTTCTTATAGTCAGCTTTTAGTTTGAAGTTTGCATCATCACGAATTCTATTTATTACAAAAGTTGCGTTTGATTTTTTTTATTTTCAAAAATAAGGGTGCATCTCGCTTTCCAGATGACCTCTTGGTCAAAGCAGTAAACTAATTAATTAAGTAATTATTTTTTAACAGGGAAATTAGAGTGGAACTTTACGTTTTGCCAGGAGATACATATATTAAAAATTTTGTCTACCCAGTGCCAAGTTTGCTCAGCGATGTGGCACTCAAAAAATATGTGATAGATATTTTGATTGTGATCACACCGAGGACAACGAGCAGTACTTACACGCTGGTAGGTGTGAAGATACTCCTCCCTAGTCATCACGATGTTGTTCAAAATTTTCCACGGAGGCTCCCAGCATTTACCCAGGTCTCATATAGGGAGCCTCCCAGCATTTACCCAGGTCTCAAACAGGGAGCCTCCCAGCATTCACCCAGGTCTCATACAGGAAGCCTCCCAGCATTTACCCAGGTCTCATTGCAATTGATCGTAGTATCCATTAGATTTTTGTTGATACTTTGCTTACGAATGTTCATGTAGACGGTACTGGACCTTAATTTATTACCGATTTGCTCATTATTAATTATGGTAGTAACAATTTCTCTCCATTTTATATATTTACTGCAGTTGTCGAGAAGAAAGGGGAGATTATCATCATTCTTAGTAATACGTTTAACAATAGGACCTAATATATAATGAGCGATGAGAGCAAGAGGATGGTTCTGATTTTTTATAGCATTAACCATATTAGCAGTAGCTAAATGATTTTTTATAGCATTAACCATGTTGACAGTACTGATGTTCATGATATCACATGTAATGTTGCCGTTAATATTAAGCAATTTACTTTTATTTTCATTGATTCTCATACCGGGTATACTGCCCCAGACACTACTTTTATAAAAAGTCAAACTCTGTCATAATTAAATAAATGAAATAAAAAAGAAAGTTAGTTCATCTTCCGAAGCAATAAAGATTTAAATAACGTAATTGTGTGGATGGTGGGAAGGAAGAGGCAATCAACCTCCCACTCTGGGGTGACCCGGAATGTAGTCATGATGAGCAGGCCCAAGAATTTTTCGGGGTGGTGTGTTTCGAATATGTCGGGCCCTGTCTCCAATTATTCGGCCACCTTAGCGTAAGCCTGGCTGAACCCACTGTGGGCTTGATAAAAAGTACAATGAGATCTGGGTAAATGCTGGGAGGCTCTTTGTATAGTGTCTGTAGTGCTAGAAAAATAAAAAATGCTCTTTTCCTCACCTTTTATGATTGAAACTCTACTGTTTTTAGGCTATATCTTTACAGATATTAATTATAATTATAATTTTTACAGTAATACAGACAAGTAGACAAATACATAAAATAATTTGATAATATACACAATATACATACATAATATAGAGACATACGTAAAAGAATTAAACTGTAAAGTAAAATTTCGCATTGTTTCAATTTTTGATGCATTACTTTAAGCCAAAGAAAGCATGTGTTTGTAGGTTGCATAAAAATATACATTTATCATAGGCCTATGTACTGTACATAGTGCCACCTCATATTTTATCAGACTTCGCTAAAAGCCATAAGTTCTTCTCATTGATACAAAGAATAACAATGCGATGGTAATAAATAATTTCAATATCATAACAAAAGAGCAATTTTCCAAGGAGCATCGTTACAATTTAAATGAACCTTTAGTACTTTGTAGGACCTTCTTGCCTAGATACAAGCAATAATACAGTAGGGCATGGCGACATACTGGTACTGTATCCTGCAACTGTTGATCCTGATTCCTCATACTCGTAGATGTTTGAAGTTGGCATTCCATCTGGTTTCATAAATGCTCGATGAGCATGCAAACCCATCGAGCGTTTGTGAGATGGAGCAATCTAAAACCGGGCATGCAAATAAAGTGTGGCAATGTTATGGATGCATTCCTGAGAAACCTTAGCTGTGTGTTGCCTGTATTATCTTTCTAGAAAATGACTGTTTGTAGCCTTGCCATAATAGGCAAAAGACTGAGCAGCGTGATTTCCTAAGCGTACCGCTGTGTCGTCAAGTCCCTCGTACCACTATTAGGGATGACCGATTGTCATTAGATTTGCCGACTTTCAGAGTAACAAATTCTGTAAAAAACACCAATTTAAAAATAGTGATGAGTGAAGAAAGCCTCCCTTCTAAATCCTGGTGGTCAATGCAGTTAAGGTTTCATTCTATCGCTCTGGATGACCCGAGATCGAATCAACTGCCAATGATATAAGACAACGCAATACATGTGTAATCTGCCGAGGGAAATGCCTCCTGGGAAGACTTTTATGGACAACTGGCCCTATTTAGGTATTACTAACATGAAGAAAATATAGAAAACTATACGTGGCTAGTCCGTTGGGCAGGCTCTAACCCACGACCAACTCCCAGTGTTTAGTAATTTTATTCGCTTTGTCACTAGTGGACCGTTTCACTCATACTATGAAATATGTTGTTAAGCATAATTTAGTATTTTTCTCATTTCTTGTTTCTTTCCTTCCATACATGTCCTTCATGCAATTAATAGCTGAGTCTTTTTTACATTTCTTCTATAGAAATTAATAATTACACTACATCTATTCACGGAATTTCGTATTACAGTTGTGAGTATTTTATGAAGATAAAAACACCAATTTTTCACATGTGTAAGTTAGAGATTTTTCACACTTTCACACATGGAAACAGCATGGTCTGGACAGTAAGATTACTTGACACCAAATGAACTCAGCAGAAGAAGAATGATCGTTGTGACTGTTAAATAAATTCAAACAAATAATATAAATTCCGAGTTTCAGTGCCTTCACTGAAACTTAAATTTATATTGAAGTCGCAAAAATCTTAAAATTTTGGAGTGCATATGAAGAGACTAATGAAACCCTACAGAATCTCTGAGATCCCCGATTGCAGTCGGTAGGTTAAGTCTACTTTCTTCCATTATACTGTTTCTATAAACAATTCAACAGTGGCGTGTCGTGACATTTGATGACAGGGAAGCTGTGTTTCTGTAAGAAGCCGACATCCAGGGGCAATCAGTCAATCGCGTGTCAGTGATGGTCAAAAGAAAATTATAATTAAATAGAGCTTCGTAAAGACAGTTGCTTCCATTATTTTCGTATAATTAAAATTAATACGTATTTATTTTTTAGAAAATACAAGGAAAGCGGCGCATCCACCGCTTCCAATGACGGCAAGCCACTGCAATTCAACAAGCAATAATATAGGTCTAAATGACAAATCAAATTCAGGCAATCAAATATGGCGGATCTCGAAAGCATTCGACGCTTTTTAGACGAATTCAACTTCATACACGCTAGCAATTCGAATATTACAGAAAAAGTACCGAATATATGACGAATACAATCAATTTTTCGTAAATATTTCGTTAATTTATTTAGAAATCCCACAGTTTAATGCACGTTTGCCAACGCGATTGCAACTCAATAGCGATTCACACGGCGATCGAATCAATTTAAATTTAAATTTTAAATTCAATTTCAACCAATGAGAAGCAAGAAACCAGTTGTAGCAGACGTCATTGGAATGTTTGATCAAAAGTTAAATAAAAACGACGATAAAAGTTTTAAAATGTAATTTATTATTTTATCCTCAGTTAAATCATTAAACAATATGCTATTTAAATAATTATTTAAACGAAAATTAATTAAAATTATTTAATAATTCTTTCACATAAGTCCACTTCCGGCAGTTTGGAGGGAGCAACGAAATTTCGCGGAAGAGTTCAGGTATTTAGTTTTAATTTTTCGATTTATAACTTTATTTTCGGTTAATTTAATACTTTATTTACGTAAATTTGATCCAAACGGATTATAAAAATCGAATTTATACAAAATATTCGCTCGGAGAGCTTGAAAATTCCGAATTTTACTCGAAAACTCCGGGTAAGTAGTAGCACGGGTAGAAGTTACTTTTAGTCAAATGGTGTATTTATACGCTTTACTGCAATTAACTAAAAGTAACTTGTACCGTATTGACTTTGAAGTTTAATTATACCTCGATTGTTGCTACATCAAGTAATCTATAATTAGAGCTATTGTAATTGCTGCATCATCCCAAGATGAATGATGCTGCTGATGTTCTTTAAGTACAATAACTGTGTTTAAAGAATATTAACAATATTACATTATAAGGGTAATGACCGACAGAACTGTGATTAGAGATGATGCAGAATTGGCAGATGTTATATAATCCCGTCCGGTGTAGAAACCATAGCTATGGGAGCTGAGATCCTGGTTTAATTGGTACTACCCGCGTGCATTACGTATAATATATACTTTTGCTTTTGTCGTGTAAACCGGGGCTGCTGTTACTTATATGCAACTGGAGATAATAGGTCTAGTGTACGCTGGAAAAGAATAATACCTGTCGCTTTTTTCGGCTTCCCCTCGTTTATAAATTTAGTCCTCGATAATATATTCCTGTGGCTAACGGAGTACACAGCACTTGGATGTTCCTGTTGATTTCATTAAGAGAGAGTGGCAATGGGTAAGGCTGTCAAATCACTCAAAACTAGAATCTCCCATAGAAAGTAGGACTAATATTAAAGATTTGTTTTGATTTATTTGGTTATGGCAATACAATGTGGGCAATCTGCCAAGGGGAATGCCTCCTGGGACGTCTTTTATGGGAAACTGGCCATATTTAGGCATTACTAATGTGAAAAAAACTGGAAAACTCCACGGCCTGCCTGTCGGCCAGGCTTGAACTCACAACCAACTACTGGTGTTCAATGGTTTTATCCACTCGGCCACTGTTGGGCTCTGCGGAAGAAAACGAAATGTGTAATATAAACAACATACATTAATCAATAAAAAGAAATGTAATTCTGGTTGTAGAGACTTGTGCAGGATGAAAGATACATTGTTTTCTTTATTCTGCAACATACATGTATAATATACATCTATATACAAGGAGCATATGAGTGGATCCTAGGGGGACCTACAGGGGCTTAAGCCCCCATTGACGCACAAGAAAATTAAAATTTATTTGTTCGGACTTCAAAATGTTTTAAAAAACATTTACGGTGGCAAATATGGTTTATCGTACCATCTACAATACAATAATTATGCACGTGTTAATAAAAGATCTTCTATTAATTATTTAAATAATTTTAAGTTTCACAGTTTTATATTGCTTGTTTCAAGCTTTGACACTGTATACATGAAATTTTTAATCTACCTTAAGGCAAAGCTAGGCTTTTGTTTCTTTTGTTTGCTTTATTAAGCATTCAATAACTATAGGCTTGTAAAAAGGCTGAAAAAGTAAACTTAACGATTAATAAATCTTGTAATATGTGCCGCATTGTTTACCACGAAATATTTTCATCCTATGCTTATGGTGACTGACAAATGCAAACTTTAAAAATTCCGTATTTATTGTAGAAAAGGCCACAAGAGATAGTGAAATTTCATAATTATGTTTGTTTTGAGAGCATGATGAAGTTGCTCGAGTACTGTTTATTGATATTAAAGATTGTTTGACAGTATGGTGTAGTGAAGATGACTGCAAAATTCATTCTCTGAACTGTTTAGCCATGGAAAACAGCATTTTCACACATCGCACAGCTCTGTTAAGTTATTGGGTATGTGCCAGAATGTTTGTGTTTCATTATCTAAGGTGATATCTGTAGATAAGAAGGAGAAGAGCATGGATCCATGTGAATCATTGATCTGAAGTGCAAAGCCATGTAGTATAAGAATGGAAATCAATACTTTTAATGAATTCATTCTTGAAAATATCAGTCACCACATATATCAAACATTTTCTCTCATAAACCAGGAAGTGATATAAAATAAACTGGCTCATTGTATTGAATTCTTGTGTATTGAGTACTTTTAAATCAAGTTTATTCTATATTAATAAATTTTCAAATTTATAATTGACAGGAAAATGTCAGAGGTGAAAAGGCTAGTAATATCGTTTGTCCAATTTTTGGGGGATCAGCTGCAGCACGGAAGTCTGTCGTCGGATGCCAAAGAGAGCCTGGAAGGTGAGACTTAAGACTGTACATAACATTAATTTGATACGGATACCAGATTCGACGGACTAACAGGGAGAGATGGTTCTGTAATTGTCATTTATTTATACTCTCTGGAAGATGATTTAGTAGTATTAACCCTTAGTATGTGGCATAACGATATATTGTTACAGTGTCTCTTAAAATGGTCAGGTAACAATATATTGTTACCCTATTTAAATTCAAGTTAAGTGAAATAAATAGGTTGCAGATGTTAGCAAATGATATAATTGTATTCTCCAGCTTATATAAGTGTAAAAAGGATGGGCTAAGTGTTATCGTAGGAGGATGCTGGAGAATTTTTGCAGGATGCTGAATTTTTATCAAAAGATGTTATAGAACTTCTTCAGTGAATAAACACTTAATTATTATTGATAATATTGTGGTATCGCATTAAAAATTCTATAGTATTATATGATTGTATTTAGTTTGTTATTAAAATGCAGACGATCATTCATCTTGTTTATTCTATTACTTCTCTTTTTAGTGGCAATTCAGTGTCTACAGTCGGCGTATGGAATCTGTCCAAACAGTGCCGATGAAGTAAACAAAAGCCAGTCTTTATTACAGATATTTTCGGACGCTACTCGAGAGACTGTCGTAAGTACATAAATTTTACATGTGACATTTATGTAGGCATTTTTACGTCTTTAATTTATTTGCAATCTTTACGTATATGAAATTAATTTGCAGACAGAAAGTTAATGTAATGATACTGAAATGTTTCTCTTGCTATAGACACACACAAGACAGAACTCTGTCACTTTTTGAATGTGTTTAAATGTAATGAAGTGTGGAATACTGCAAATAGATTGGACGACATAAAAATGAAATACATAACATTATTTCCTTGGTTAATTATAAAATGTATCTGTTTAGTGGTCGTGAGTGATTGAATGCTAATTAATATGTCGACAGTCTGCTTGAGATATTTGTGAGTTCTTGCATAGATCCTGCATATATGCGGATTTAGCAGTGGATAAAGTAGGGATTGAATTTCAGCAAAAATAAACCATTTGTATATACTCTAGCAGAAGATTTTAATAAAACTATAAATGTTTTTGTCCAAAAATGTTTGTTAAAATCTTGTGCTGGAGTAAGTACAAATGAGGGGTTGAATTACAGTTTGGTTATTCAGCAATGATTTTATTCCGATCGAATAACCGATTTGACGGGGGAACTTACTATTCTTATATCGCAATCAGTAGCTCTAACAATTGTTTCTCAGTTACACTCTGCTATAAGAAAATTAAATTTTTAACAAGTTCAAATTACCAAGTGAAATTTTTGTTAGTCAAAGTATGAAAATCGATTGTTTCTTCTGTTTCTGTGTGTAGCGTCTTTGTAATCCAAATGTTAATTTAAATCGTTAAACGTTAATTTTTTTAAATAAATCGTAACATTTTCCTAACTAATTGCTGTTTGATTATCTACCAAAATTAACGTACTTTTAGGTTTATAATTAAAATTAATTTAGAAATATCTCACCGTAGAAAGACTTTAATGAGATTCGGTTAGGAAAATAGACATTATCAAATAAAATCACAATTGTAGTTGTAACAAGCACAGATCTTTGTCTTACCATTATTCTGATAGCTTTAGCAAGTTAAAAAAAGCATTTACGATGTTATGACTGCAATGTAATTAAATACGACAACTTTCCGAGCCAGTTAGTAGGAAAATTGTAAATACTAGCATTAGGGATTGTTGGAGTACTGTACATAAGAGTAACAGTAAGATCATTAGGTGAAAGGTTAGTTTCTGATATGGTGATAATGGCCAAACCCCTATTATCTAAGGTAGTGTTGATTGATGCTGTCTTGGATAACCAAAAACTATGATAACATAGACATTTGCATACAGGTTTGCTTAGGATAATGTGAATGCAATGATTAATTTATCATCTTTGATACATTTGTGTGTTATCTCTATATCTGTATCCATGCGACTTGATAGAAACATTCTTGCTTGTTATGCCTGTTGATAATTTATTGCATTAGTTAAGAAATATTGCTATCGTGTTAATTTTATCTAAATTGTAAGTAAGAAATATATAAATATTTCATGTTCGAATGCAGAGAAAATTTATGATACAGTGAATCGTGTAATTTATTGCATTAGTTAAGAAATATTGCTATCGTGTTAATTTTATCTAAATTGTAAGTAAGAAATATATAAATATTTCATGTTCGAATGCAGAGAAAATTTATGATACAGTGAATCGTGTAATTTATTGCATTAGTTAAAAATATTTGCACATTGTTTTCCTTCCTGTGCTTTGATTCAAGCAGTTATATATATACAAGATAGAGTCAAAAATAAACCAAAATTTTGGCACGGGTTTTATTACATAACGCAAACTCTTACATCACATTACTTCAAAGTACACTTATGCAGTTATATTTGTACATTTTGCTAACATTCATATAACTTGCTACTGCAGGTTTTACGTCTGCTGCCAATTGGAACCTGAAACCCTGCAATTTCTTCTTATCAGGAGCTCGATAAAATTATAGAGTGATTGGGGATCGGTGAAGTGGCCTAAGGAAGTTAGGAAAACATTTTATGCTATGGTCAGGTATTAATTTACCTGTGCATCAGCTATTTGTGATCAGCGAATATTCAATAAGAATTATAATATGGAATTTCAATGATTTTACTTCGTTTGTGGCAGGACGTTTTTCGTCACCAATAATATTTACTATTCAACTTCTTCCTGACTTCTCGTGCATTTTTGTTAGCAATATATCTTATTTTGTCCAGTTGTTGGTACAGAATAGATGGATCACACTGCTTGTTGAAAAAGAGGTGGGCCAGATCTTCTTCTGATATCATTCTGTGTTTATTTTTAATAAGTCTTGCTAGGAGACTTCGTTCCATTTGAGGTAATAGCGTTCGAACTTCTATTGGAGATGCTTTGTATTTAAAAGAGATGCACTTGGGGATGAGTCCGTTCTTTCGACATTTTAGTGAAAACCAAAGTTAGGCTTTTTGTCTCAACCACGACGTTCTGGTATTCAATAAAGCAAAGAAGTGTTTTTTAGTTTCCATGAATGAAAATATAGTTCACTTCATGCCAGCGTTTAGAATTATATTTTATTATAGAATTATATTAGAAGTTATATTTTCATTCGTGGAAACTAAAAAACACTTTGCTTTATTGGATACCAGAACGTCGTGGTTGAGACAAAAAGCCTAACTTTGGTTTTCACTAAAATGTCGAAAGAACGGACTCATCCCCAAGTGCATCTCTTTTAAATACAAAGCATCTCCAATAGAAGTTCGAACGCTATTACCTCAAATGGAACGAAGTCTCCTAGCAAGACTTATTAAGAATAAACGAAGTAAAATCATTGAAATTCCATATTATAATTTTGCAAATGCAAATGTACCAGCAAATATTCATCAAATCAATAAGAATGCTTTTCCAATCTCTATTTCCTTGTAGAATTTGCATTTCCTGAAATGAAAAAGCAGTGTTGGAACATACAGTTCCAACACTGCTTTGACAAGTGCTATGGGTATCGACTGAAGCATGACTGTAAGATAAACCTTCTTTGAAGATGATGCGATGTAAGAGTTTCTGTTATGTAATAAAACCTGTGCCATAAGTTTGGTTAATTTTTTACAGTGCATTACGTATTAACACCAAGCTCATTCGGAAATGCTAGTGTTTCTGAACAAGCTCACTATATACTTAAGGTGGTAATGTTGTTTAGAATTTCCCAAAAGATTTTTTAGTTTCCGATTTAATTATCGTTATTATTATTTTTTCTTGAAGCAACTTCTAATGATATGAATTTGATAAAGATAAATTTCCTTCGTAGATAGTTAAATGCGAGAAAAAAGACTAAATCCTGTCAGGGAATAATTTCCAAGATTCAAAGTATTAATTTATCTACAGAGAGCCAGAAATAATTTTGTTGCCATTCAATTTGGATGATTAAATGGACACCATGTTGGAAAGAAAGACATTTGATTCACATTATTTAAACTGCTTTGTTTTGCAGTATATAAGATGCACTGAATTGTTTGTAATTTACCATATATTTGTACAAAAGTTATTTAGATTGATAAACTAAGGCAATGTTGTGATCCCAAGCTCGACTCTGTGAAATATGGAGTGATCGTAAGAGTCAAAGTTTGAAAAATAAAGTGTGTCTTACAAGCAGCAAAATAGGATAATTAAATTTCCTATTACTTTAGAATTAAAGTTTATTACAGTAGAACCTCGAAAACTCGGCCTAATGTGGACCGAAGGGTGGCCGAGTTTGTGAAAATGCCGGGTTATCGGGAATGGGGTTAAAAAAAATAAGTACGAGTGTTTCCTCAGTAAATACTGTACTGTACTTGTATGTATTGTTTACTTGAGAATACAACAGAGAATAAACTGCCCAAATACCCTTAAACAAAGGAAAAGTACGTCCTTTATGAAGGCATAGAGCCTTTACTACATGAAAATGAAAATTAATGAATACACTGTGTACAGTAATTTACCTGATAAGACAGACCTCAGAAAAATACTTTATGAGCACTTTTATACTTTTATAAAGCTGTCTATAATGAAAATTAATTAACTAAGGATTTTTTTGCCCTGCCAGGGTGTGGCCGAGTTATCCGGAGTGCCGGGTTATCGAGAGCTGAGTTTTCGAGGTTCTACTGTATTATTATATACGGGTGATCAAACAAAGTTTTCTTGTGAGGAGTCGGAGCAAAACTACTCAGCAGTGCCAAGGAGAAATTTCAGATGCCGTTTCTTAAATGTTTCTTGCAATCTGCAGTAGGGCAATGACTATTGCCTCCGGTTCGCAGTATTATCGAGACTACTCCTTGCAAGTAAATTAATTGTTTGACTGCTCATTTCGTAATTATTTAAGAATAATTTTACAATATTAATTATCATGCATATTAATGATTCCTAGAGTTCATTATTCTATAAAGGATACAAAATTCTTGTTTGTTTGTTTTAGGAGGTATTTTATTCTCTGCATGTATGATTTAATAAATCTTTCGTTAAAATTTAACTGTAATTATTATTAATTTAAATTGCGACAGCTTTAACTTTGTAACTGTTTGCATGCTTTCCTGAACATAAGTTTGTCTCCGCAAAGATTAAAGATTGGATCAAAATTTTATCTCGGATGGCAATTTGTAGCGACTGACCACGTTCTGTCTCGGATAAAATTCTGAACGCAAGTGCCCGTGCATAGATACAACGAGTTCATGATACACATTGTGCAAATATAAATTTACATTGTTTTGCATACATCATTGAATAATCGGGCTGTAAACAATGTTTACATTGAATATATCTCTACTTATTCATATGAACAGTAGAGAAAAATTCATGGGAAATATACATATACGTTTGTACGTGAGAAATTGTTATCCAATGTATACCACTTTGTCCTAAATTGTGCATTTCAGGAACATAATTACAATGTATATTGTGAGAACACTCCATGTAACTGTGCAGGTAATGTTTTGCTTTGTTGAACAGGTACAGTGCAATGCTCACAAGTCTGACGAGTTGGTTGGCCACAGTTTATTTGCTTACGTAGTACATAAATGCATACATGTACAGTACTATATGTGTAATAATTGCAAGGTGTAATCTGTATTGTCATGCATTAATTCTTAATTGCTAATACGGTTGTGTAGATTACCAAGCCAAGTTAATGGAGTTTACACTCCCATTTCAAACTCACTTTTTCCATGATTTATTTGTATAGTAACTAATAATTTGATAATTTAGATTAGTGTAACTGTTCCTCTGTCGATGCAGTTCAATATTATCATTGATATTAAACCCACAGTTTACTTACATTGCCGTAGAAATCCAATCTTTAATCATCAGTTGAATGACTTTAATCATGATTAATTATAAGCAAGTATCATGCTATTCTCTTATCTCTCTTCTCAGTTAACAGTGTGTTGTATAATGGAATTTAGTGCATGAGTTATGTTTACAGGATTCTTTATTGCTAATATTTAACATTAAAACAATAATAATTTAAACATTGTAAATTCTCTTCTCTTGATTTCATTCTAAATTATAAATGAGATCATTCTGGATATAGTGTAAGTTATTATTGGGAGTTGTTGACTGAAGATCGTCTCATCACCATTTTGAAGATAACCGTGAGGAATCCGAAGAGGGAATCGTGCTCCGAATGTGATCCTGCAACCGGCGGGAAGAAGCCAGCGGCCGATTGTGACTACATGCAGAACCATCTGAACGGATTTTCCGAAAAAGAAGGAATCGATTGTCCGTCTGTCTGCGCCGACCACACGACAGAGCAGCTGCAACTGACAAGGGGAAGACGGCAGTGTGCGGGAAGAAACGAACTCTCTGCAGAGGATTCTGTTTTGGGCAGCAGAAGCGGAATGGAAGCGCACCGGATTGGCTGCAATGGCATGCACGGTGAGACAAGACCTCTCGATCTATCTCTAGAAACATCCAAACACCTGCTGGAAAGGTTGTCACCCAAGGGTGGCTGCGTCCAGTGTGGCAAGGACGGGAGACTAACAAAACGCGGACGACCTCACGAGAGTTACTTTGGATGCAAACTGTGCAGGGTACATCTGTGTCGCAAGCGGAACTGTTTTGACATCTGGCACACTGTGTCCTGACGGCCCATCCTATATCCAAAGAGATTTTTAACTCCAATGCTCGAATTTTCTAGTCCCACCGTATGCAAAATCAAGATAGTGTCACCAGTGGGAGAGGAATGTCACAACTTATTTGCCTTTCGACAGTGGGAGATTACATATGTAAGAACACAACCTAATATACTGACACAATGACTTTGGCAGATTTCTCAAGATCTGCCGAAGTCTTCAATAACATATCATTACTATAATGCTTTGCCCACAACATTTTAAATCTGTGTTCTGCCAAATCATTGCATCTGTCACAAAAGTATTTACACAGTGTTTAAATGGATCTGTTGGAGTTTTGTTATCTCAAAAGAAACTTTATACGTATGCTCTAAAAATTACGCGAATGGTGCTAAAATTGTCGGCATTTTTCAAAGGCGTGATACTACGTAAAACGAGAATGTGCCATAAAAATACTTGTTGATGCACAATTTTGGGGATGTTATTTTGTTAAACACACTGCCAAAAAGTAGATTTTTTTTTTGCATGTATGAATTAAGGGATGATTTAAAATTTGCTCTTTCAAACTACTTAAATGTTTGCAGATCCTCTTTCTCAACAAATCTGAATATCTTACCGTGTTCTGGGTGTTAAACCGTTTTGCCAAATTTATGTAAATGTTTACATAATGTGTTTGTTCAATATTCAACCTATGCTCACGAACGACTTCCAAAGATTTTTTAAATAAATGTGCAATATTCTCCAAGATATAAGTTTCTGTCATTCTACAACCATAGTTTTGACCATAGAATAAATGAAAAGGTGGTGTAAATCATGTATGAGCAGCTTTCATTACATAAATATTCCTATCAAGAACATTAAAACTACTGTAAATAAATAGCTTACGAAAAAGCTGTACGAAATGCATACACAATAAAGATTTGAAATTATTATAGAAAAACAATGTGCGGATCCGTTAAATTCAGGTAAGTCCGATCGTGAACGTATTTAATAGGATAAAATAACAAAATACTAATCTTATGTTTCTCCCAGCAGAACGGTTAAAATTTGTTTGCGTTAATTTTTTGTTCAATGGGTTATCTCTACTTGTAGTCTATTACAAGTGGAGACGCCACATTGGTAAAATTTGAATTTATACAAATTTTCTTTGGTGCATTTTCGAATATCTAAGCAATTTCAACCCAAAGCAGGTCTTAGAAGTAGGCTTGTTTGTTGTGTTAATTCTTGCACCATTCTGCTGGAATAAATGTAAGGTTAGTGTGTTTGTTATTTTGTTTATTGCCTGGTTAGTGGAAGAGTGAAACATTTACTTAACGGAATGGGAATGTCGGTGTTTCATTCCATCCTAATACATCAAGTTTTCTGAGTTTTCTTCACATTAGTAACCACTAAACAGGGACCAGTTTCCCATGAAAAACCTCTTGGGAGACATTCGCTTCTCGGCAGTTCGCCCGTGTGTTGCATTGCCGTAATTGAATAAAACAAAACCTTCAAGTACTCGAGGTCTATACATGTTTGTCAACATCAAATAACATTTCTCTAACTCCTGATTTCATTGTCAACTTCTGACATTACACATTCCATTAACTTCGTTTATTAGATAATGTTTCAGTTTAAGTTTCAGTCAATAATAGAAAGCAGAATTTGTAACCAGATAGCATCTTATAGAGGAAGAGAGAAAACTTGCAAAGATTCTCCTATTGCATGACTGTTATACAATTTGAAATGAACAATTTGGGAATTTGTTGGAAAAATTGATTATTCTTTTGTTGTTTTTCCTTTACGACTAGGTGCATAGACAGACACTGGGCATTTTTGACATCAATCTATTCAGGAATATCTTGTTGGCCAAGACGAGTTTCAGGCATACACCCTCTTCTGTTGGCATTTTGTTTTGAGATACCTTGTAAAGATATACATCTTGCTTAAAAATTACTTATATTTGTGGTTGAACTACATAATATCATTAACATGTGCATAAAAAGTTGTTAATTTATCTATGTATATACAGGGTGGGGCATGATGGAGTCCCACATTTATGAGGTGAATTTAAAAAAAAAAACAGTACAATAATATGGAAAAAACATTTTATTTATTCAAAGAACATGTAATAAAGTTTTTTTGGTTAGGCTTTAAAAATGATGATGATAAATCTAGCTCCATGCAATACTGCTAGGAGGCACAGCTGTAAAAGCTGTGCCTCCTAGCAGTATTGTGTGGAGTAGCGACAAAGTGCATTTTCATCTGTCTGGCACAGTGAACAGAGTTATTTTATTAAAGCACATATGCGTGCATAACCAGCACCGCTAGGCATAGCTGGAGTAGCACAGTGAACAGGCAGAATTTTGTTATTGGGCTGCTGAAATCTCTAGAGAACTCCACAATGACCTCTTCACAGCCTGAAAGTCATTGTTTGGTATGCTTTGTCCTGTGTAGGCATTGTGGAGCCTTTTTCTGAAGAGAATGGCGTCACTGTTACTGTGACGTACTGGAGAATTTTTTGCACCCGAAAATGAAAGAATATGATACAAGTGGCTTTTGGTTTCAACAGGATGGAGCCACAGCCCACGTGAACTGTCATTCTCGTGCCATTTTGACAGAGATGTTCCCCAGTCAATTAATCTCTTTACGAGCAGCCGATGAATGTCCCCCTTGCTCCCCTGATTTGAGCCCCTGTGACTTTTTCTTATGGGGTATCTGTAGGCAGAGGTTTTTAAACATTGCCCTCAAACTCTACAAGAACTCAAGGAGGCCATTCGTGAGGAAATCGCCAAAATTCCTCCAGATATGGCGGTGAGAGTTGAAGAAAACTTCAAGGAACGGCTCCAAATGTGCATTGTCTGTGAAGGCTAACAATTGGACGACATCATTTTTAAAACTTAACCAAAAAACCTTATTACATGTATTTTGAATAAATGAAAAGTTTTTTCCATATTCCTGTACCGTTTTTTTATAAAATTCACCTCGTAAATGTGGGGCTCCGTTATGCCCCACTTTGTATATAAATTAATAAGTTTTTATGCAATAATGTGACTTGCGGTACAAATTGGAAGATCATGTATAGTTAATCTGGTCCTCTTTCTCTTATAATTTCCATGTCTGGTCTCGACTTTCATCTAACTCCATTCTCGATATTAATTAAGAAAGGATTTACAGCAGATGGATGACTGTAATATATTTTTGTAATTTTTGTGACATACCCTTTATAGAAATAGAAGGGCAATGCCAGTTTTGTATATGTAAAGTATGCAGGAAACACACAGAAGTCACATCAGTGGAGCCTGCATTACTGAAAACTTGTATGTTTAAGATTGTGCATTAGCAACACAAACATCTTAGAGTAATGCGTGCTTACGAGCAAGTGATATTGGTGCAACCACATTTAACTGGAGTTTTAAATTTACTCGATAGCCTTGGTCTAAACTTGAAAATCATAAGTTATAGTAGCCTAGTAATACTTTATGGCAATGGTTTCCAAACTTTCTGTACCTCTGCCCTCTTTTCTCAGAAAAAATATTGTTTTGCCTCCTCAATTTTCGTAACAATTCCATAAGTACTGTCCTTATAATTTATTTAATGGCCTACAAAACGATGTGCCTTATTAAATAAGGTATATTGTTTGCTGGGAATCTACTCTTGAGATGTTTTGGCAAGAGTTTGGGTGGATTTTTGGCATTCGAACCTAAGTTGTTCAGATGAGGGTTGTGGGTTAAGCATAACCGTTTTGCTGGCTCACTTTTTCGACATTGATTTGGCTTTTTATTTTGTTTGTTTGTATTAAGAAATGATAATTTGGTGAAAGCTGTGCACCTTCTCTGCCCACAGTGCCTTCCAATCTGAGGCGCAAGACCCAGATTGGAAAACATTGCTTTATGCGATATGTTCTTAGGGGAAGTAAAATGGGATACAGGAAACATATAAGATGAACTTTAGAAATGTTTCTTATTGCAGCGGGTGATCGGATAGCGAACACTTTCGTGAAAGACTTTTATGATTGGACAACGAACACTTTACTGAAAAAACATAAAAATAAGTGACGGAAAATAACGAATACCGATTGATTTTCCCTTGTCTTCAAGTAACAATTCGAAAGCTTTTGGAATGCGAGAGACGTCAACATCGACGCTCAATCTTATACCAATCGGACAGTATTCCTCTGAATTTTGAAACTCTCCCTTTAATTCCAGCTTTTTGTTTACCTTTCTGACAAATAATTTTTTATAGTCTTTGCAAGAGCACTTGTTAAGTTTTGCTTTGGGGGTTTATTTAAGAAAGGTGAAAGTTCAACTGTCCCATCAGATATTTGTTAATGTTTTAATACCAAATTTCAAAGTTTATACGGGCCTTGCATTTAAATCATTTTTTGAGGGCTAGTTGATTTCTGTTCTTTAAATTTTTGTAAGTGCTTTTCTGAACTTTTTTAAATAAAAAGAAACTGATAATATTACGGAGCCTAAGGAGTGTCAAGAACTACCAAATAAGTGATAATAGTGAAGGTAGGAAGTGGGCACAAGATATCTGATGTTGCTAGGCAGTATGGCTTGAACAGGTGTACAGTAGGCACAATCTTAGCTATGAAAGATATATCAAGAAGTCTCAATCTGCTAATGGAGTAATAAGAAATAAAGAGCATTTTAGAACTCATAATGGAAACTGATCTGACAACAGAAGAACTCTAAGAACTCTCAAATGAAGAATACCAAGAAACGCAGCAAGATGTGTTTCTTTTGAAAAAGAGGAAGACAAAAGAGGATCAACGTTGACATCTGCTACTAAAGATCTTTTGAAGAAATGGGAGGATGTCAGAACAACAATCCAAGTTACATCCAAACCAGAATAAGGTTAATGGGGTTGGGGATCGCTACAATTACAATACTATTAATTACTTCTGAAAAATCGTGAAGAAAAGAGAGAAGCATTCGATATTGGACAGATTCTTTAACCCTTACAAACGAAAAAAACATGACTAATAAAAATGCAAGACTGCATATATATGTGTTTTTACTATTACATATAAATAAATGTAGTAAAAAGTATATATTTTTTTTATTTTTTGGAGTCTCTAGAATGAATTATTCAAATTCCCATAAAAACGTATGGTAAATCAATAGTCGGTTAATGAACAGTCTTCAAATGGATTATGTTTGTTAACTGATATAAAATATAAAATTCTAATTCAGAGGTGGATGTGAAGTGTAAATATTTAAAAAAAAATTCCTTGCATTTCACCTAAAAATACGTTTAACTTTGCCATGTTTGAGACTAAGACATCTTTTTAGCAAGCCTGTTATGGGTTTGGTCAGGCCGCATTGGGTGGAGGACAGGGTTTTTGTACAAGGGAACAAGGGTCTCAAGAAATTCTTGGAGTTTCATTCAGCCTTCTGGATTTGATCTCAGATTCCCCAGATGCAGTAGGATGAACGTTAACCACTCAGCCGTTTAGCTGAGATGCAAGGAAAAGAATCCCCGAGTTATACATGAATTTCATGATAAATAATTTAAAGTGGAACATTAATAAATTTGTTGTGAATGGTAAAGGAAGGATGTTGTTGCAGATGACTCGAATGCCATCAGTTAACTTGAGAGACGAGTCCTTTTCTAATAAAGCAATTCTCGAGCAGATATATTATTGTCGAAATAAACAAATATAAAAACAATTGTTTTGAGAAGTTCTGTTAGTTTATATGCAATGAAATGTTGCAGATTAAAGATGTACTGTGTGTGACGAAGGCAAATTTTATAAAATAAAAAACTGCAGACCTTAATTTGGCATATTTCATGGTGGTAGCTAAGTCAAATTATGGTTCCAAAAGACATACTAAGACAGCATAATTTTCAAATATGATCTCCATAGAGCCCTTTGTACAAGCTCACAAAATATTTGCACTTATTTGAAACCAATGCCATATCAATTCAGTTTTCTTTTGTACTCTGTTATTTTTTGTTAAATTTGCTTCTGTTATGCCATGGATGTGAATCAGGAATAGGAAATGATTTGCCAATACTTGATAAATTGTACTGTGGGGATCCAAATGTATTCGAATTTGGATCCCCACAGCAGAAAGTTATTTTGTGTGGTCATCAGATCATGAGTACTATCTTGCAATTTCAGCAAAGTTTGCACTGCACAACTTTGCTGAAATTACACACAAATGTGAGAATCCAGACTCTCTTATGAGAGTTTGGAATAATAATAATAATTCGAATAGAATATTTTCTTTGTTATTTCCGTTATTTTTCCCGTTCTCACCCCGTTGCCCAAGGAATAGACCCCGGACAGCGAGTAACGACGCAATTCAATGACCTTCTTGACAGACGAAGTCATCCGAGTCGACCGCGGAAGCTCCCCGGAGACCTGCAGTGTGCGGATTAACTACAAAAGGTCACCTACAAAGGTCAACCGTACGGTGAGAAACATTACTAAAAATGGTCAGTCATCTCCCCAGGTGATGACGAAATTAATACTTATTGGTCAAGAGATGTCTCTGATGTCATCACCCATGACGGGGGAGACGATCATAAATCGGGAGAACTGTCAAAATCCCAGATTTCTCCCACGCTAAAAGGGTATAAAAGGGGAATGATCCGACACCTCGACAGCGATCGTTGGGGAAGAGACAACGAAACGGACTCTTCCAGCCCTCTCCACCTCAGGATCTACGAAGCTCATAATTGCTGCTCCATACAAGGTAAAAGACTTAGAATATTTCCCATTCTCTCTAAATATGCCAGAATTACTCCTCGAAGAGGTTAACCGAAAAACCCTCAGAGCGAACTTCACCAGGAAGAACTCTACAGTCAAAGAGCGACGGAGCAAACACCTCATATGGACATAGCCAAGCGGACAGAAAGGGACTTCGCTCCACATAGCCTTCCAAGGGCACTTTGAATAGAAGACGACGATCCCAGAGCGTCCTATGAACGTCTTATACGATGAGATCGTATCCTACGAGGTAAACCCTTGCCATAAATTCTCTCTCTCTCCAACGTGAGGTCTTTCTCGATCTTTTGGCTTTAAGTTAGGTTAGAATTTAGAATATATATATTTATATTTTGATACACGAGTGTTACATTTATTGTCTTTGTGTATAATCTATCATTGTTTTATTAAATGCGTTGGATAGTTAAAACCGTGTAGTTATTTGGACACCTTGTCATGACTTCCGACTCCTCCCCACTCACTTTTTTTTTTCGTCCTCCTATGCCATTCGACAACCGAGAGCGTGTCTTTCCAACCCGTGCAGATTAAGTGGTCATTAGGGTTCACCCCAATGGCCCCTTGCTACTCACACAAAATTGTAGAAGGAGTTATTAATAACTGCAAATACAGTCTAATTATAAAAATATAAGTATATTTATAATAAATTTTTTAACATATTTGACTGCATAAAATAGTGCCAGAGTATACATAAACATGTTTAAAGGTTCTGTTTTGCATTTTTGAGATATTCACGGGCAATAATCATTCTCTGTATCTGGGCAGTGCCTTCGTAGATTTGATATATTTTGGCATCTCTCATCAATTTTTCTACTGGGTATTCACTATTGAAACCATTTCCTCCAAAGATCTGAACTGCATCAGTGGCACACTTGTTGGCCACGTCGCCAGCCAGACATTTTGCAATAGATGCCCAATACGTGTTACGTTCTCCTCTTTCAAGCATCCAGGCTGCCCTCATCCAGGCCAGACGTGCTGTTTCGACTCCCATGGTCATTTCAACCAACATGAACTGGATGGCCTGATGCTCTGCCAGGTATTTACCAAAAGTCTTCCTTTCCATTGAGTACTTTGTAGCTTCATCCAGAGCTCTCTGAGCCAGTCCCACAGCTGCTGATGCTACTGGAGGTCTTGTTTTGTCAAAGACAGCCATTGCAATTTTGAATCCCTGTCCTTCTCCAACCAGAACGTTTTCTTCTGGTACAGCCACATCTTCAAATATTACGGCTCTGGTATCCGAGGCACGCTGTCCCATATTCCATTCTTTTCTACCATGCGACAATCCTGGCGTGTCGGCATCCACAATAAATGCCGTAAGAGCCTTACTGGCCGGACATTTTGGATCTGGATCGGTCCGAGCGAGTACAAAATACCAATTGGCTTTGCCACCATTGGTGATCCACATCTTCTGTCCGTTGAGAATCCATTTGTCACCTTTCTTTTCTGCTTTAGTCTTGATGGCAGCTACATCCGAACCTGCTCCAGGTTCGGTTACACAGTAGGCACATATCAGTGGTTCTGCCGTCATCCTGCCCAAATACTTCTTCTTCTGTTCTTCATTTCCCGATAATATTACCGGTGCCTGTCCCAGCCCATTAGCTTCCATAGCCGTCTGAATTCCAGTACATCCATACGCTAGCTCTTCCGCAATTAAGCAGGTATCAAAACATCCCAATCCTGCACCGCCATATTTAGTAGGTATGGAAAGATTCATCAGTCCTACTTCCCATGCCTTTTTGATAATATCCATAGGATATTCGCCAGTTTTATCATGGTGTGCAGCTTTTGGAATTATTTCTTCTCTACAAAATTTCCTAGCTAACTGTTGGTATTCCTCCTGTTCTGGTGTCAATTGAAAATTGTATCCTGTAGCCTTGGCACCTGCAATTAATAAAGTAGTAGTTAGCATTAGAGTAAATATTTTAAACTGAATTTTTATCTCTAACTTTTAAGTAATTAACCCTAAGTATAGTCACATCATTGCTTATTGAATAAGTTTGTTACTAATGGTTTTACTCCTAATGTCCAATTGGTGCTCCAAAATTGTGAAATGTGAGCTTTAACCGTGTTAGAGTTCTCACATTCTAATAAAAAATGATTGACATCTTACAGTTTCACATTAGTTTTGTGAAAATACTGCAAAGTCGACTTCACATCTTTAGCGAATGTAGTGGCATTTTATGTCGAGTATAATTATTAGTTTATCAGTTTTAATCCCACTTCAAACACAAATTAGATCAAATATTAGAGTTTAATGATTGTTATTTGGAAGAATTGCAGTTTAGTTGCTATTGTTAGCAGGCCTTTGACCTTTTCAAAGAACTTGATCATCATCATGAATTGCAATTAGAGTCACTTGCAATTAAGATTAGTCATCAGTAGCATTGCACTAATGTAAAGAGAGGAAAATTTTCCATCACAATTAACTTCCCGTAAAGATTTCTTTATCATTACATTTAAGAATATTTGGTTTGGTTGGATAGTTTAATGATACGGAATATTTAACTACATTGCACAAGTTACAACATATGGTAAATACCCTACCATGCTCTCTACTGCCATTTGTAGAGGTTATACTACACCATAAAGTTACACTGGAGAGAGGATCTAGAGAACTGCATTGGTAGTCCGGGTAGAAACATTGATTTCATCCCTAGGCATCTATTAAAAAGGATGCTAGACATGCAGAAACTGCAGCAAGCAGGGACCCACCACAAGCAAGATTTAATTTTTCCATCGTGTCTGTTCAATATAGTAACCTGATATCATATTGCGAAACTACCATGTGCTTCATCATCCGTATCAATTTTTAATATGAACCAGCAATTATTTATTGTGACATTGTCACAAAGCCGGGCTGCAATTTTTAATCATAACAACCTTTAACAATAGAGTCGTGACATTCACCTATCTAACAACCAGGAAAAATTTTTGAATTATTTCAAGAGGAACTGTATAGAATTTTTTACAAATTGTACAATTGTTTCAGCAGGTTTTAATGGTTACTTCTATAGAATTATAAGTACAGTTGATCTCCCCTATAACACTGTTGATAATTCCGTTCTATATGAATTCCATGTTGTACGAGTCACTTAGATTTTACAAATACGTGAGCCGGGCTGTGAACAGCTCGCGTATTTGTAAAATCTAAGTGACTCGTACAACATGGAATTCATATAAAACGGAATTATCAACAGTGTTATAGGGGGTCGACTGTATTATTTTGACTAACTAATGTGTTACATTTTAATTGTAAGCTAATAATTGAAGGCGCGAATTATTATTTTTTTAAAATAAGAATCACAGATAAGAAGCCAACAAATAATTTTAAGACGAAATATAGCATTACGATTTTCAATTCAGTTTAATGCTCCATTGTTTTCAGTGTTTTAGACACAAAAAATGGAATTTAAGAAATTATGTTTGTTGTTATTAGGGAAAAATCCTTTTAGTTTAATGTGTTGGTTTAATCTGAATCCCACTTTTGTGTTTATTAATAAATATATCCACACCATACATTTTTTAAAAGTGGATTTCCTAGCAATACTTATTTTTTATTTAATTTTAATTTTTCTCGCCAGGCGGTGTTTCAATAGTCTATGTTGCTCGCTATTTCCTGGATAATCAGAATATTGTAAACTGTGCGTTATCAGTTTTAATTGTTTCCTGTTGTTGAATATTTTCCTTTAATAGAAAATTTAAAAGGAAACACGCTAGTTATTCAATATTTATATTAAAAATTAACTAATTTTTCAAGTCTTCATACACTTAAATCCTACAGTTTCTAAGTTAATATGCATTAAAGAAAACTCGGCCTATTATTATTATTTTAAATACCATTGTTAATTTTTAATTTTCAACAGCAGATGGTACTACCAACACAGCGATGTTTTCCTCTTCAAAACTTCGTGTTACATAATTTAAATGCGATTGTTTTCCTTGAAATCTTTTTGTTGTATTTTCTTATTACTCAAATACAGTGTCCTGTACGTCATTGGATGGACCAAATTTCACACAACGTTATACCCCAGAAACAAAATTCTACTGTATATAGTATGACTATAACGGATCTTTTCTTTTTAATTGCGGTACAATCCGGTAATTACACTACTCGCGCTAATCCGAACTAATCGAGATCGGTAGTAGTACGGATTAACCGGCGTATGATAGTAAGGATGATCATGTAAGATACTGTTCTTTACGATTGCTAACTCAGACAAGGGTCACTGAAAGAATGAGCTACAGGTTGGGGGCATTAATCTCCAATATGAATAGACTTTACCGTGAAATTTAAGCAGCTTCAAGATATGAACGAAGAAATAGGAAAACAAGATAATGGCTGCGAAAATTACTTCCGCTTATATTAATAAAGTATGAAGAATTATTGGTTTAGACAGCGCATTGTTTTTACTTTCCCCGCTGTTATATATAACAGGGAAAGTTTGTATGGATGTGTCTCTGTGTGTGTGTGTGAGGGCATGCTTTTGTTTATCCAATTTGAATCTTGATAACTTCCATGTATATATTAATATAATAGCAGGGAAAGTAAATATATACCATCCACAGCTTTCGATTGTCACGAGTGTGTTGCGTATCGAGCATAAAACCCTATGGGAGATTCAACACTCTTAAGTGTGATGAGATTGGGAATATCTTGATGAAATAATTACGTCATCACTGATTTTTAAATTGTGCTTTGGTGTGCGCCCATTCCTAAAAAATTCTCCGGTCACTGAACTCGGCACGTGATCGAAGGGTACTAAAAAAATAAACACGTGTTTGACAGAAGCAGAGAACTCTGTTAAACCATTAACTTCCAAGAAGCGTTTTACAAGCTGTAACGAAACACTACAGAGCGTGCATGTTTCTATAAACGTGAAAAAATATTATATTTACTTTTATTGATTTATGTTATATATATACACACACAAACACTTCTCTCGAACACATAGGGGTGTATGTCGGTGACGTCATCTTAAGATGCGTAAAAGCCACGTGACACTCGAACTTAGGCTTGATTTTATGAACGGGGACGAAACGAAAGTTAATAAAATTAACGGCGATGACGTCAGCGCCGATAAAATATCAAATAAAAGATTAAAAATGGGTTCGATCGGCGAATGAAAGACGTGTTCGGATAGCTAAGAGGATGCTAAATAAGCGTGGCGAGTTTGATTCACGTGCGACGAAAGGTGACTAAGTGAGTGACGTCAAAAAACGTTCGGTGCAGCACCGAACGGCTTAGCTCTCTGGTTAGGTTCGCTTGGTGTAGTTCGATTTCGAACTCCTTCCGCTACGGGGCGAGAGGTCTTCTCTATCGATCGCTATGTTTTTACCAGATATAAAACCGAAATTTTCCCTTTCCTTCCAACCAAAATTAACCCGTATCCAAGGATAAATTTAGAAATTACACAAATTTTACGTACCAGTTTCGGTAGAAAAGTCCGCTAAACGACGATAGTTATTCCATACGGCACGTATTAAATTCCTATTGCGAGTAAACATTTTTTCTTTTTTCCCCCTCCTAATAGAAAATGTAGAAAGTCAAACAGCCAACCCACCCCTTCGTCCCGATCTCCAGACTGAACGTGAACGTGCTCGGTAAAGCCGTATCATCCAACCAATGAGGTAGTCCGTTAGAAATAAAACGGACTACCTCATTGGTCGGATAATCTAAGACGTATTTAAACCGCTTTTCTTTTTCGGGCAGCGTGCCAGGTACTGGAAACGGCGCATGCGCGATAGGAGATTTAACGATGTCGATGATTAAACGTACTTAATTTTTAATGTTTATATTTTTAAAATTAATTCTTAACGGCAATTATACGATATAAAAATGCTTCCTTAATTAAAATTGGAAATGAAATGAACGTATATTTTTAAGAATAATTTTGTTTTCGAAGGAACCTGTTCCGAGGTCAAAGTTCGTTAACCGACTAGGGAAATAACCGAGTTAAATTAATATACTGTAAAAATAATATATAAATAGACATATATATATATATAAATAATTTATTTTAAGAGACGATTTATTTGGATTTTTTAAATTAAAATCGATAACATAGAACTTCTTTTATCACTAACAGCGATAATATCACCGACAGATGGCGACATCGTTACGTCGGCGGAACGAACATGGCGGCGATAACACGATTCAGCACAAATGTTAACTTTATGATTAATAATTTGTTTAAATTGTATTTAAATGTAAAATATATCACTTTGTTTTTTGCTAATTAAACTATTTTCTACATAAAAATGTGTTTAAGTAAATGATTTATCTTTAAATCACTGTCCTCTGGGCACCGAGATAGTAAGAAATTCATCGTCCTGCGCCATCTTGCGCCGCGACGCGTCGCGGCGCAAGATGGCGCGTCACTCATCGCAAACAACAAATCATCAATTCGTACTGAGTCATGATAACTTTTGATAAGTAATAACTTGATAAATGTAAATGAACTTTAAAAGTTCAAATTCTATCAAAGGCAACTTTTAAATAACACTTTTCGTGTTATTGACAAGTCCACAATACTTATCTCGCTGAACAATGTCCTGTGTTTTATTTAATCTCCCGCTCTTTGGGCTTTAAGAGACCTTTTTAGCAACCCATTACGGATTCGGCCAAATCCACAACGGGCCTGCCGGGTGACGAGTAAATGTCTCAGTGTCGTGTTCTTACCCTTGAAGCTCGAGCCCGAAAGAACGTAATTACAGCGTATTCTTTTATTTATTATTTGATTTTATCGTCCTTTGTAAACATTATTTGTTTATTTCTGTGTATAGTAGCAGGGTATGTGTATGTATATCATAGAAATATAAAGCGGATGTTGTGTGTTGAAGCGCTTTCTCCTCTGCCTGCCATGTTGTGTGGCTTTCTTCCGCAATAATTAATTAAATGCTGCGGCTACACTTTTTATAGGTAAATAAATGCTTATGATGTTCTTTAACTTGTTTTTTAAAGGAAAACAAAGTACATGTATAGAGTTTTAGTGGGAATACCCGCCACTCTGACCTTGCCATATAACAGGTGGACCAGCACCATTATCGTTGAATCCTGCCACACAAGTGATTTTATCTGTTTTGGGTGGCAGTATTGAACCATTATCCAATCCAGATGATCCACCATTACCACTTATTATTACGTGTGAGAATAATGCCGAATTAATGCAGCTTTTAGGGGAAATATGGAAGTGGTAGATGATCCACCGTGATGTAGGTTTTAAACGAAATTTCGAAATTTGTAAATAAAATGAAGACGTCAATGTTAAAAACTGTTTTTAACCACGTCATGTAACTAAAATGTCAACACAAATCTGATCAATTTAAACTAAAATAACGAAATATTTGGTAGAACAAACATATTTCCGAAAGAAATTTGAATTGAGAAATCATTTTGAGGGAATAATTTTGTTTGTGATAGGCTCACTCTTTATCAAATTGTATGGTCTTGAAAAGAACCTTTCGTCATAGTCCTAAAGTACTGTTTCATTCAACGAAAATGTTGCAGTACATTTTAGTTGACAGTTTGCAATAGGCGTGAAGTACTTTAGAACACTGTATTCGTCTATAAAGTTGCGTGTATAAGTGTAGTGAAAGCTAAACACAGTGGTTATCATTTACCAATGAAATCAGATAAGAGAGACTTCAAGATACCAGCATGCATCTTAAAAGAAACAGCATTGAAATGCAAGAAATGATGACTCGAATGTGAAAGTGAATGTCAACGAATATGGCGAGAAAACAGAAAACATGCTTCATAAATGTTAGAGGGAAGAGATTTTTCCACTTATTGTTTATTATTTCAAACATTTCCTGCGTATTTTTCACAAAGAAAAGTTTTCGTTTGATTGAGCAGTAAGTTGGTTCGTCCAACTCACTGCTCAATCAAACGAAAACTTTTCTTTCTTTCTTCCAGTTCCTCCGAAAGAAACCTAAATGAAACAATACACGGCTTCGAATTCGTTTCCATAGTGTTGTTTGATGATGGGGTAGATTGGCATTACTGAACGGTTCGAAAATACTAAGACAGTGATGAATACATGAACCAGGAATCTTAAGAAGAGCAATTTTGCTTTCTCTTCTTCCTCGTAAGTGCTTTTCGTGAAGTGGGATGTGAATTTATTTCTCCTGAAAATGGTGAACTGAAGAGCAACGTAGAGACGATATTCATTTCTGCTGCAATTCAATGTATTTCATCGAATCTGCAAATTGCTGTAAGGAAAAAAATATATACGTTTCACTATGTAACTTTAATTACGGTTCAACAAAGTGAATCAAAAGTCCGTACTCAAAGATAAAGATTGGAAATATAATTTCTATGTAATGGAAGAACAATGGATGCGAAAGGTCAGCTATGGAAGAAATCATGGATCGAGCTCAAGAGCTGTCTGAAGATCGTGTTCAATAGCAGAACTTTGTTGTAGCCCCATGCGCAACATAAAAGGACTATAAATAATAAATGAAGTAACTTTTTCGATTTTTGGCTCTTTTTCCCTGTTGGCACTAACAGGGATTTTTATACATGAAAATGGTCGGGAAATGTATTGTTCCAACTTCTCTAAACAACCAATATTGGAATGGGGGTGTAGCTATCTAATCGCAGTACATGCAAGTTTAGCATCTAAATATTGAAGGAAGCATAAGGTGATAATTCCTATTAATGTGTAATATGCTTTTATACATGACAGATTATCATCGAACTAGAAATTTACTAGTTGTAATATTATTGTAATATGTAGAAAATAGTCTAGTGTGATAGTTTATTAAGCTTCATTATAGATATTGTAAATCAATTGTCGGTTCTTTTCTGCGGTTTAAAGCTTTCAAAAAAGAATGCCAACTGAAATGGGGGTTATCAGTGCCGGATTTATACTATTTTAGGCCTTAAGCTAAGAAAAAATTGAGGCTTTTCCCCCAATTTTTTTAATTAGATAAATATGGAAAACAGAAATGTACTTCTTGTCCATTGGGCAACAGAACTCCACTGTTTGTGAAGTCCATGACTAATCCTTCTTGTACTGTCATGTCTCACCCTATCAATCCCTCACTAGAAAGATTAATTGCTGCCTCCAAAACACAACACAGCAAAGAAAATTTGTGATCCCTTATCTTGAATTGTGGTTTCATGATACAGTCTACAGGAGTTTTCCTCTGCCAAGTGTCCAGCTAAAAGTGTGTCCTTCGCTTTCGTGTCAATTAGCATTTTTGTTGGAAGGCCATTTATGTAACACAAAATAATGGTGTCTCGAGTTGTTCGGTTATTGCTACTTCACTCTTTCCGTTTGATTTGTCTGCTGATTGTGGATCGAATCTGACTCTTTTCCCTTTGTTTCCGGCTGCTTGATTTCTTGGTGAATTATTTCTTCTCTGTCCTGGCGGAGTGTGAGAGTTTCTGTTTCTGTTGATTTCAAAGGTCTGCCCGTATCCGCTTCGACGTAAATTCGCATTCTGGTTGAAATTTGGTAATCCACGATGGACCGGAAAAATTTTTCTTAGCAAAATATCTATGCTTTATTAATTTTTTATAAAATTTTTACTTAGAAGAATGGCCAGTTTTTAGTGCACAATGTAGAAACTCTTACTTTTAAAGTGAGCTCTTTTTGCCTATATATGTCTTGAAAACACTTGTCAAAAAGTCGTAGGGCATTTTTTACGTCTTTAGTTGCTCTCATCCTCTGCTGAATATTGGAATTTCATCCCTGAATCGCTCTTTTGATTTAGGGAATAGATTACAGTCTACGTAGCAAAATCAATGGGTAAGAGAATTGAATATACAGTGTAACCACTCGTACACTTATACTATCCTATTACCAAGACAATTGGCACTTTCTGGAAATAGTATTTGAGTGTACGAACTCTTAGGGTGCGTTTACTTCTGAGTTAGCAGTGCTAATTCTGATAACCGGATGTGACGTCATTAGCACGTGTATTCGTGCTTGCTTGTCCAATTCGAAAGTGAACACATACGCTAACAAGAAATATGGCGGTTTCCAGCCATATTTCTTGTTAGCGTATGTGTTCACTTTCGAATTGGACAAGCAAGCACGAATACACGTGCTAATGACGTCACATCCGGTTATCAGAATTAGCACTGCTAACTCAGAAGTAAACGCACCCTAA